ATGAGTATCATGAATTCCTTTGTGAATGATATATTTGAACGCATTGCCAGTGAAGCCAGTAAACTTGCAGCTTATTCCAAGACGAAGACTTTAACTTCACGTGAAATACAGACAGCCGTGCGTCTGTTGCTTCCAGGAGAACTTGCGAAGCATGCCGTTTCGGAAGGTACGAAAGCAGTAACCAAGTATACCTCTTCGTAATATCTTTTTGTTTTATAACATATGGTGTTTGTGAACACCTTTTCTCGAAGAACTTGTTGGAACTTTTGTATTTTGTGAATTGTTTTTGATATCAGTCAACAAGGTCATTCAATAAAGGAGGAGTAGTATAAGGACCTACGAGAAGTTCCCCAATGCTTGATTCATATATTTATTTTGTTTATATTCTTTCTAGAGTAGGGATTCCAAGCAAATGTAAACAAAGCTGGAGAGTGTTTGCCGTCAATTTGCACAAAGCCAAACGTGAGGTTTTTCTTTGTAAAGATTCTGCCTTTAGAACAGGACAAGTTTCATAAAATTGGTTGAAGCGTTGACTTAGTTCAAACATATAATCGCAGAGGATATTAGGCTTCAGATCCCTATTGCCAAGTGATAACAGTTGGTTCATAAGAAAAATAATAAGATAGATACCTTTCTAGTAAATACAACATTTCTTCCAACTGAAGCAACATTTTAGCAAGAGACAATTCGGTAGGATCATCCAAAATGAATTGTATACTTTCTGACTGTCCATCACTCAGGTCTAAATCTCCCTTGCGATAGATTCCTTGTATCCTTGCAAAGGCATACAACATATAAGGTGCAGTATTACCTTGAAGGGATAACATTTTGGTATATGAAAACTGATAATTGGAAGTTCTATTGTTCTTCAAATCTGCATACTTGATTGCTCCAATACCAATGACATGTGCTACTCTCTTTATATACTCTTCACTTTCTTCTCTTCCTTCAGCTTGTAAACGTTTTCTGAAATCCTCTTCTGCTCTACGAACCGCTTCTTGCAAAAGGTCTTTTAATTTGACTGTCTCACCTTCTCTAGTTTTGAACTTTTTTCCTCCCTCACTTTGTACCAAACCAAAAGGAACATGCTCAAGCTTCGTCTCTAGTTTGGCATATCCTATCTTTTTGGCTGCCTAATGGATATAGAAATAAGTCACTCCACTTGGCAATATGCTGTTATAACATACTTCAAATACTTGTGAAAAGTGCAGCGATTGACCCGCATCCGTTATATATAAAATACGGTCTGCCTTGTCTTCCTTTACACGATAACGTATTGCAGCCATATCTGTAGTTGCATAGTTGAAACCACCATCGCTCTTTCGAACTATCAACGGCTGAATCTTTCCTTGCCTACCAGTATGTCCTCCAACAAAGATACACAAAGCTCCTTCATCCCTCACTGCCACTCCCGTATCTTCCAGTTCTTTGCATACTATTCCAAGCCATTCATTATAAAAGGATTCTCCTCTTTCCGTTAATTTCACATCCAACATGTCATAAATTTGCTGAAACTCCTTTCGACTTTGCTCACACAAAAATGACCAGGCATGAATAGAGTTTTCATCACCTGCTTGTAAAGCTACAACTTCCTTTCTTGCAGTTTCTTGGAATACACTATCCTCGTCGAATCTTCTTTTAGCTGCTTTGTAAAACTCTACCAAGTCACCTAAACTCGTAGAACTTGTTTCCATCAAAGCATCTGGTTTCATTTCTTTCAAGTATGCAATCAACATTCCAAATTGTGTTCCCCAGTCCCCCACATGATTGATTCTTAACACTTGGTGACCTAAGAATTCCAATACTCGACATAGACAGTCGCCTATAATGGTGGATCTCAAGTGTCCCACGTGCATTTCTTTGGCAATATTGGGACTAGAAAAGTCAACCAATACACGTTCCTTTCTTTCTCTGGGTGATATACCGAGACGTTGCGGGTCTAAACAACAGGTGAGCAAAGGCAACCTGCATTGTATGGCTACAAGTACCTGCCAGCATTTTTTGCAGTTGAATAGCAACATATTGTTTCTTCAAAGTAAAGTTGACGAATCCTGGTGGTGCTACTTGAGGCTGTTCACAAATGTCGTTCATTTGAGTATGCTGGGCAATTTGTTCAGCAACTTGAAGGGGATTCATCTTTCTTTTCTTAGCCAAAGACAAAGCTGCGTTTGATTGGTAATCTCCAAATTCAGGACGTGTAGCTGCAGTGAGTTGTGGTTCCCAATTATTTTCGTCGGGAAATAAGTTGGTAAGTGCTTGGGTTACACGATTGGCCAGCAGTTCCCTGGTTGTCATATCAGACTGAATGGCAGCTATTGGATTGCGTATAGTCCTTTGAATAAACGACTGCTGTGCTTTTCCTGCGTTGGAAAGGTATGCAATCCAAGGTGACGAACTTTTGCTGACACTTACCTCTCAAAGGATTTCGTCGGCACCCCAAAGAAGATAATATATTTCGAAATATTCTCGGACGACTACCACAACGGTTTATACACGTAATGGCTGGACAGCTTCTATCAACAAGAGGCTTTTGAAGAAATAGAAATGATAACCGAAAATAACCGACGACGGTTAGGGCTCCCGTCCAATTCCCAATAACGACATAACCTCTTCTTCCTTCTCCTCCTATCATGATCTCAAATAAACCAACTTGTTCCCATTGAGAATATTATTCAAAGTTGTATGTTTACCAATATCCATTGAAGAATAATAAAGTCAAATAGAATTTTTGTAGGAACATCTCTTGAAAAAAAGAGTAGAATATATGCATCAGAATATTGGTATTCTTTCTCAAGTTTCCAATAGGAAATAGAGAAAATATTCAAAGTTATATTTATCTTTTATGAAAGGAAACCAATTCTTCCAAAGCATCGTTGCTCTTGAATCATGTGGCGGTTGCGTCATGTTCGTGTCACACCAAACAGACTCAACTCACTTTACAATACTTCAGTAAATAGGCCATTTCATGTTTCGAAGTAAGCTATGTTTATTGTGTTTTATTATGGACTGGATCTCAAGTTTTGTAGTTGCCTGGCAAAGGAGGAGAATGTTTCCAAGCCGTCGAGTAACCAGAATATAGGACAAGATAAGAAAACAGAGGATTCTAGTGACAAAAAAGATAAAAAAAGTATGTATTCTTCATATGTCAATACTGAATATACAAAGTTATCTATTCATAGCAACCCAAACAAAAGGTTTTCCTTGGGGAAAGTTGACCTTGGTTGGTTTATTATCGGGAGGAGTTGGATTGGCAGCTTATTATGTTGGAAATCCTGAACAATTTCACGCATATTTTGACAAATATAAGGATGCAGTGGAGTCTAAAGTTAGGTTGGTCCGTTGCTTTTGGAAGATCGGTCAGATGATATAGTGTGAATAGGTACTTTACCGAACCTTCTCGAAACAAACTATTACCAGACCCTATGCCACAATATGCAGGTGGGTTACCGCCACGAACTTTGGTTCTCGACTTGGATGAGACTTTGGTTCACTCTACTTGGAGTCGAGCAACAGGTTGGAAAACAGCAAAGAGACCGGGTTAGTCATAGTGCCTTGCTAGTATAGTCACTCTGTCACTGATTTGTATTAGGAGTGGATGCTTTCTTAGCTTATATGTCTTCCTTTTATGAAATAGTGGTTTATACTTCTGCTATGCCTGGTTATGGAGAACCTATTTTGGAAAAATTGGATCCAAACGGTTATATATCTCATCGGTTATACAGAGACGCCACGAAATACGAAAAAGGAGTTCATTTAAAAGATTTATCAAAGTTGAATAGAGATCTTGCTCGGACTATTATAATAGACGATGATGCAAATTGTTTCCGTCTTCAACCTGATAATGGCATTCGAATTGCTCCATTTACGGGAGATGTGAACGATCGATATTTGTTAGACTTGATACCCTTTTTGGAGTATATTGTAAGAGAAGATATTCCTGATGTTCGTCCTGTTATTGGCAGTTATAGAGGATTAGATATTCCATTGGAGTTTGCAAAGAGACAACAATTAAGGTATTTGCTATTTCTAATATATTCTTATCAAAGTTTGAAGAGAATGTTAGATCTCAGGAAAAAGGACGGGATTCGAAAACTTCAGCAAGTGCTCTTCGTGCCGTAACAGGAGGAGGAGGAGGAATGGCTTCATCGGAACATGCAATACAAGAGAAAGGTGCCGAACCTCCTCCTGGAAGTATTTGGAATAGATTGCGTCAACATAAAGGTACCACTAACTGATGAAGGAAATTTTTTTCCAAAGGCCACTATCAAACTATGCATCTCATGAACATAGTGGGTACTTTATACTCTTTCAGTGCCATCCCTGTATAATGATAAAAGTCATTTGTCACAATATGTCGCATGGCAATTTTTGAAGATAGCTACTAGGTACTTAGTGGAAGGACGAAAGTTTTTCTTAGAGTAAATCCATTTTTCTATCCAACCTTACAAATGATTCCAAAGAGCGAAAGGCGACCCGACGACTGCCAACGAGACAAAATTTCTTTATCGCTATCGATAGGTGGGTGGTGAAGCCCATTTCTTATTAAGGACGGAAGAAGCAACGTGTCATGAAACAGTTTCAAATAGTGAGAAGTTTGATAAGACAATGCTGCAGTCGTCCTTGTTTTTCAGGTTTGGGTTGGAGTAGGGATTTCACCACCTTGGAACAAGCGGCAGTGGAGCAATCATTGGGACCAGACCCTTCTAGATTGGAAACGAAACTTTCCACCTCACCTGGTCCTTCGGATAAGATTAAGAGCGGTGAAGTTCGTTGGGGCACCTTGTTTACAAACCATATGTTTGAGGCTGAGTGGCATTTAGAAGAAGGTTGGTCAGTCCCAAGGGTTGTTCCCAGACATAGCATAGAACTAGACCCTGCAGCAAGCGTCTTACATTATGGATTGGAAGTATTCGAAGGTCTCAAGGCACATCGAGGAACAAAAGATGGAAAGGTTGTCAAGTATTTTTTTATTTTCATTTCCATTGATTGGTATGAGTAGATTCGGTTGTTTCGGCCTGACAAGAACATAAGAAGAATGGCAGTTTCTTGTGCAAGATTAGGCCTGGCAACTTTTGACCAGCAAATGATGTTAGAATGCCTACGTCGTTATGTTATGATTGAAAGAGACTGGTATGGTGTCATATCTTCGCTCTTTGATTCATTCTGACAAAATTTGCTTAGGGTTCCACACGGTCGAGGGACAGCACTCTATTTGCGTCCAACTTGTATTGCCATTGATCCTAAATTGGGAGTTGCTCGCTCCAAACGTAATTTATTTTATATTATTGCGTCTCCAGTTGGTTCGTATCTAATGTTTTGTCTTTGAATGCAGCAACGGACATTTGTTAGGACACTACTTCCAAGGCGGGAACTGTGGAGTTAATCTACTTGCTACTACAAAGTATTTCCGTTCTTTTCCTGGTGGTATTGGCTTTTGTAAAACTGGAGCCAATTACGCTCTTGGAATCGTACCAAGTGAGGAAGCGTCTCGTCTAGGTTGTCATCAGGTAATTTGGAAACTTAAAAGACAATGTTGTTTTTCTAATGAAGAATAATTTAAGGTTTTATGGCTATCAGATGCGAAGAATCGATTTGTAACAGAAGCAGGAGTAATGAACTTTTTCGTTTTATTCAAAGGATCTAAAAGACCAGAATTGGTTACGGCACCTTTGGATGGTACTATTCTGGATGGGGTAGTAAGAAGTTCTATTCTGGTTCGTTCTGCTATTCTTGCCAATTTGAAGTTTTATAAACTATTTGTTAGGATCTTGTACGTTCCTGGGGAACGATAGATGTTTCTGAACGAAAGTATTCCATCGATGAAGTTGTACAAGGAATAGTTAATGGTCAGGTGATCGAAGCGTTTGGCTCAGGCACAGCATCTATTATTACTCCCGTAACCGGAATTCACTATCAAGATAAAATGTATCCCATTAACTCTGAAACAAATAAGAAAATAACTCCGCAGTTACTGAAAAGCATGCAAGACATTTTTTATGGTGAAGTTGATGATACTTTTTCATGGAATGTACAAGTGGATACTGAATAAATGAATATGATCAACTAATATTGTTATATGGAAATGAATCTTAGACTTGGGTATTTTTTATAACGAAAGAGCATTTAGTCAACTTACGAAAAGACATATATTGTCGTCTTTTGAAAGATACTTTCCATATTATCCTGGTGGCAGTTTTGATTTTGGTATGCAACCATGGTTTGTGGTTTTACTTTGATTTCATTATATTCTTCCTTTTTCAATTATAGCCTATGAGAGTCCTTTTGAGTTTTTAGATTAGTTATGTCTCAACTTCAACAAGTTTCGATGTTATAGCTCAAGGATTTCAAAGGAATGTTGAAAAATGCCTTTTTGTAACCATTTCCAATTGGACTTGGCTATGGCTGCTTTCAATCCTTCATCTTGGGCAAGGTTCCTTTCGTCTTTCTATCATAATCTGCAACTTTCAACTGACTCTGTATTCTTTCTAGTTCTCAATGGTTTATTTTTATTATAAGTGCTCTGCTTTTATTGGGTATCTTTGGGATCATAGCGAGCCAACCAAGTAAGAAACCGATTCAAAGACCTCCAGTTTCAAACAAAATACGCAAACCCCCCAAGCTGTTTACGTTGGAGGTCAGAAGCACTTGTTTCTATTTACATTCATATGACCGAAAAGAAATTTAAGGAACTACGTGCGTACGATGGGGAAAACGGGAAACCCATATACATTGCAGTTCAGGGTCCCTTTGATCAGACGCCCACAGTATTTGATGTTTCTCGCGGTAGAGACTTTTATGGACCAGGAGGACCTTATCATGTGTTTGCTGGAAAGGTACGTTAAAGAAGTAACCTTGGAAAGTACTCAAGCTTGCTGGGAAGAATGCCAGTCGTGGTTTGGCAAAGACATCGACAGATCCTGATGACGTTGAAGGGCCTTTGGATGACCTTTCTGAAAGTCAAAAGGATAGTTTAAGTCAGTGGTACTTGCGGTTTATGGAGAAATATGAGAATATAGGACATTTGAAATTAGAAGACATAGAGAATATCAAGAAGACAGCATAATATTTATGGAATGAAATATGTCCATATTTGTGTCTTGTTTGTTGCTCATTGTAATAAAACTAGTTCAAAGTTGGCTGTGTAGGGAAACGTGTTTGCTTCTCAATGAAACGGATGAAGAAAAATTGCAATTGAAAGAGGAATGACCACAATTGGCCAAATCATGAGTTGGAGGGGCGCAAAGGAAAAGCCAAAAAAACGCACTTCCAGAATGGAGAGGCGGTACAGCGGTTCGTGACGATTCAACCTGTTTCGCATATAAGAAAAATTGGTTACAGCAGCAATTTTTCTTTACTAATAGTGGTTAAAGCAACTGCTGTTTTGCCATTCTTTTGAGAGCCGCCAAGTAAAAGGAAACAACCGAAAGATAACAGTAACTCAAGTTAGAGGAACAGTTGTCTTTTGATATACTCGAGTTTTCCTAGTTGTACAGTTGATGGCTTTCGTGCAACTTGTTGCGCTCATTCTTCTTCTTCTACTGATCACCATTTGTAGTGTAGCCGCTGAACAAGAAATCAACAAACAGAATACCGTTGCAGCTATAAGAGACAACACACAGTCATCAAAAATTAGCAAATTATCACTTCAAGGAATATTACAGCCAGCGCACGTTGCTTTTGATCTATCATCAAGACCATGGAATTCAAAAGGAACAGGAAATATCATACTGCAACAACCCTCGATAGCAGGAGTGGATAGAATGACATATTCCCAAACAGAAGAAAAGGTTTCACTGAAAGGGAAAGGTCTCGATAGTGAATGGCTGGTCCCTCTAACTCAATCCAGAAGAAGTATATCGGAAAGAAGGCGACAGGCTACGGAAACATCTGCCAACCTTGAAGGAGGCCTAATCACAGGTATGGAATAACCTTCTATTGTAGATTATTCGAATCATTCAAATTGCTTCATGACAAAGTGGGAGGCTATTATACAAATATTTCAGTCGGTGGACAGGATGTTTATGTTTTAATAGATACGGGTAGCTCTACTTTGGCAGTTATTTCGTCAGATATTGAAGGAAGAACTAATGGAATTCCATTCTTTAATAGTTCGTCCTCTACGATGATCAGCTGTTCCTCTCCTCAGTGTCAGTCGAATACTTGCAGTTCTTCACTTTGTCAAACCAATTCCTGCTCCTCCAATCAGGCATGTTGTCTGAATTTAGGAGACAAATCAGGATGTTTTTTCAATTTACAATATGGAGATGGTTCAGGCGCAAGCGGAATACTTTTTGAAGACAATGTATCTTTGAGTGGTATGGCGGCCAAATGCAGTATTGGTGCTATTGTGAACGATACAAAAGGTAACAATCCAATCTTCTACGAGTCCCTTTAGTGTTATATTGGTTTTTAGGTTTCCAAGTAGGTGAAGCACTTGGAATCTTGGGTTTGGCATTTTCTCGATTGGCTTGTAACCCAACCTGCATTACACCTTTCTTCGATGAATTAGTCAGTCAAGAAAATATTACAGATATCTTTTCCATTTCTTTGAGTCTTTCAAGTGGAACTCTGGTATTGGGAGGTATTGATCATTCTCTTTATAGTGGTCCTGTGAATTACGTTCCTATGGAGAATAGGTAAGTTGATAGAATGTTACTCTTAAAGTTAGTAATTTGTGGTATGCTTTTAGGAGCAGCAATACCTATTACATAGTGGCAAGTTATCTTTCACTTTCATACTGTTGACTGTGACTCAAATTCCTATTATACGTTAGGCTTCGAATGGTTTGTCTGTAGATGGGACAGTGTTGAATGAAACGGATGGAATGATGGCTGCTGTGGACAGTGGAACGACCACATTAGTATTTGATGAAGCGACTTATGAACTTTTGCGTTCCTATTTCCAGTCACATTATTGTAGCGTTCCTGGTTTATGCCCATCAGCAGGTTCCAATACAACTTGGTTTAGTAGTGTAAGCACAATTTATCTTCTTCATCTCAGTTTTGTCATTGCTCTTTTATTGTAGAATTTTTGTGTAGTTTTGGACGAGCAACAGCTACAAAATTTGCCCAGTATATCTTTGCAACTAAAGAACAACGTTGTCTTGAGTTTGAATGCGACCGACTATATGGTTCAGGTTCAACAAAGTTTGACCACTGGTCCATTTGCATTGGCTTCAAACTCATCTTCCCAAGTGACTACGGCAACAGATGGAGGAAAATCAGTTCGTTGTTTGGCCATCAATAAGCTACAAGGATTGAAAGAGATAAGTGGTTTAGATATGATATTAGGAGACACCGTTTTGAGGAAGTATTACACGATTTTTGATAGGCAAAACAGCAGAATTGGTTTTGCTTTATCTACCAATGATGTAAATGACTAACAGCATACCAACTACTTAGTTGGTGTTGTGAAATAAACCAATCTTCAACCTTTCCATTTCTTGGCCTTGCAAGAAAATCTGCCAAAGGAGGAGTGGAATGGCGCTTCCCATTTTTGAAACGGGCGAAACTATCAACTGCAATTGTTATTGTTGTTGGGGCTTTTGTTGAGAATGTCTTTATCATGTTGGAATATTATCTTGTTCGCTACTGTGATATTTGTAGTATTTCACATTAACTATGTCTCCACTATGCACAGTGTAGTCAACGGAGTTTCGAATAATAAGCGACTAGGAGCTTCCACTCACCCGCCGACTATAGTTCCTATAAAGTCGGGAAGAATGGACCTTTCGAACGTTTTTGACTTTTCACGTCGTCAATGGGCCACGAAACTGGTAGAAAGATTGCAGAAACAGGAAGATATTCTACTTGAAAATGTTACTTCCAGACTTTCCTGGAATTTTGGGTACGATAAACCGAGAAAAGTACAAAATCTCGTTTCGAAGCGTCATCTTATGGAAAAAAGTGTCAGCAGTTTGAATGGGAAGCAGAATTGGAGTCAAAAGAATATAGTTCGTTTTCCAGAACAACAGATTTTGGGAGGAGTTGTCTCAGGTTTGAATTTTTTTACCCAAGTCGAATTGTTGAAACTAAACTAAAAGATCTAGTGGGTATGTATTATATTGAGTTGGATGTAGGTTGTGGACAAATTATACACGTCCAAGTGGATACAGGAAGTTCAACCATGGCAGTGCCACTATCTGAGTGTGTCAATTGCAAGCAGCACGATCGCCGATATGACTTCTCCAAGTGTCCAAACGCAACGCGTGGTGAAAAAATACCTTGTGATTCTGATATTTGTGGAGCAAACACTTGTTATTCTTCATATTGCGGTTCTTGTTCTGCTTCCACTGCAGCTTGCTGTTCTCAAGTAGACAATTCGAAATGTGGCTTTATCTTACGTTATGGTGACGGGGCTTTTGCTCAAGGAACTGTGATACATGAAACAGTTACTATTGCAAATATTACTTTCAAAACTTATTTTGGTGGGATTTTGAAGGATTCTCCTTGTAAGACATCGTCACTTGTTATTTCGATTATGAGACTGAGTTTATCGTAGCGTTTGAATTAACTGAAGTTGATGGCGTGTTTGGTTTGGCATTTCCATTGCTTGCGTGTAATCCGACTTGCTTGACACCTGTTTTTGATGATATGGTACAAAAGGGTCTTGTAGAGAGAGATATATTCTCTATACATAGTGACCTTGAAAATGGAGTTTTGGTTCTTGGTGGGAGTGATGACCGACTTTATGATGGGACATTGGAGTATTCTCCATTGATAAACGCGTAAGTGAACGTTGGTTTCTTTCAATTTTTCTACTCAAGGAAATTCTTGCAAGGAATGAACCAGAGTTTTATGAAGTGGTAAGTGCAGATATGATCAGCTTGATTTTATTCCTGAGTTTTTATTCAAAGGAATGTGAGGAAGTTACAGTCTCTGGTACAAATGTTGATCTTCCTCATTTCAAAACAGCAGTCGTAGACAGTGGGACTACTCTAATTATATTAAGTTTGGATTCCTTTTTGGCATTAAAGCGCTACTTCCAAGCCCACTACTGCAACGTTAGTGGTCTTTGTGGCGAAGACGGTGACCCTGACCTTAGTTGGTTTGATCCGGTAAGTGTGGGAGGAGAAGTTGGGAAAACTTGGGTTGAAATCTCGCCTTTCGAATAGGACTACTGTGCCTTGTTAGAAGACAGTGAAATTCGACAACTGCCTAATATTGAATTTCATCTGAAAAATGACGTTCTTCTAATTTTGGAGCCTGAGGATTATATGTTGAAAGTTGAAAGTCCCAATCTTTTGACTGGCGAAATAGAAATCTATCGCTGTTTGGGCATTCATTATATGCAACATTTGGAACGAATGGGAAATGATATGATTTTAGGAGGTACTCTTTTGCAACGTTACTATACTGTTTATGATAGAGAACAGATGCGTTTGGGGTTTGCCAAAGCCAAAAGATGGTCTGATGTGAAGCAAGTATTGGACGAAACAAGACAGCCTGAAAAAGGAACGGATAATGTGGAAGCTTCTCAGCCATCACAATCACCATTTGCTTCTACGAGTCCAACTCCACGTACGAATGAGGAACAAGGAGAACTTTCTCATTCTTCTTCGTTTTTAGACATTCTTTCTAGTTATAGACTTTGGATAGTTGTTGGTGCCTCTATTGTAGGTGCATTTGCCATTTTAAGTGTTGTTGGCATCATTTTATATAGACGTCGAAGGAATCGTTATGCACATGTAGACGAAGCTGAAGCTGCGTCGTTGACATCTACAGGAAGAAATGACCAAGATGATATACAACTATCGACAGAAGAATCATCTTCTTTAATGCCAGGTACACGAGCTTGAAGGAATTTTTGAAGTTTGTAAGATTTGCGACTGTACAGATAAATAATTTTTTGTTTTTCCTTTTGCTCAATGTTTTCATTCCAATCTTTTTGCAATTGGAATTTTGAAACTTAATTACAAAAAGGAAATGGATCAAGAAACATACCAAAAACTAAGAGAACGCGTGGTATATTTCCTAAAGCTGTTGAAAACGATAAAGTCAAAGCGTCTAACTCGTTGGTCTGTTGAAGATCTTCGCAATGCTGTCAAATGGGCTAAACTTATTGAGAAACAGTTGGAAACTATTCCAACCCAAGTTGTCGATGAGATTCTACGGCAAGAATATGCTGGAGTAGATAGTGTAGCGTTTCGTAATAGTCGCAATTTGCTGTGGGAGAGTCTTTTGGAGAATCCTGCAGTGGCACAGCAACTTTTGGATTCCATGTTTTCTGTTAGTGAAGATCTTGAAGAAACAGAGGATTCCTTTTTACAAGTTTTAGCTGAACATGTTTCAAAGAGTTGTATTTACGAAACTTGTTGTTGGACCATGCAGAGAGAACTTTCCACGAGCCCTTGTTTTTATCTTTTGAGTTTGGTGGATCACTTATGTTGCAATAGGAATTGTGACGTCGAGTATCATTCTTTTTTTGGAAATTCTGCTCCACCTGACACGATCATTTGTTCTCATTCCGTAAGTGGTTTCTACCAGAGTTTAGCATACGGAGAAGCCATAGTTGTTCAAGAACAACAATACTTTAACAAACATGGTAACTTGCTACTGGAACTGAAATGGAAGGAAGTGGCGAAAGATGGTTCACTTTTGCATCTTTTTCTGAGCATATTGTTAGTTGTTCATGAGAAACGTCCAAATGACGAAAATGGCAATGTTGTTTCGATTTCTGAAACACAACAACATGTTAACTTTTACAGTCAGTTGGAGCAACAGGTTCAGGTATATGTGTCTTCCATCTTTTCTAGTATTGACTGGTTGGAGCAAAATCCTATTGTTTGTGTAAAAGTGGCAGAGCACAATCCATGGTTTGCGAACCTGTTGATTCCTTATGTGTTGGATTTTCTCGAAGATACTTTGGGAAGATACAAACTACAAAATAGTTCATTGGAATTTTCTAATTTGACTTTTGGAATGCAACGAGCTGCAAACATGTTGCAACTTGTTATCACGAAAAGGTAACTTTTAGTAACATGAGAAAGGTGCACATTCTAAACAGTGTTGAAAGGAAATTCTTTGGAATAGTTGTGGATAGATTGCGTTCACTCATGTTGACTATTCCTGACATGCCAAGTCTATTGAAGAAATGTTTGGATTTCGATTCGTAAGGAGGTTACTCATTGAATCGGTGGATTGAGAAAAAAATCCGTCGGTGGAAGGAGAGACAGTTTGATAAACCATGAAACTATTACCAAGTGAGCTTATATATTTTTTTTCAGTTGTGAGTTTATCTGAAAACTTTATTAGCCACACCGTTGGAACAAGTAGAACAGCGTGCACTTTCTTTGTTCAAAAGCACTTTTCCTGAATCTGGACATCCCCAAATCATCGCACACGCACCAGGTCGTGTTAACCTTATTGGAGAACATACCGACTACAATGATGGTTTTGTGTTACCACTTGCACTCGAGATGCAGACAGTCATAGTGGGAAGCAGGAATGGAAAGGACACTTGTCGCGTTGCGTCAGAGGCTTTTGAAGGATTGGTTTCGTTTAAACCAAATAAAGATCTGAAACCAGGAGATCCCCTCTGGTCTAACTATATCAAAGGAGTAGTTGTCAATTTTTTGCGCAGTGGTTATGAAGTTCCAGCCTTTGATGCTGTCGTAGTTTCAGAGGTTCCTGTCGGTGGTGGAGTTAGTAGTTCTGCTTCTCTCGAAGTCGCTATTGCTACTTTCATAGAGGCAATAGGAAATTATCATCTAGAACCTTCTAAAAAGGCCCTATTTGGACAGGCTGCTGAACACGAATTTGCAAATATGCCTTGTGGTATAATGGACCAGCTAATATCCGAATGTGCTATACAAGATTGCGCTTTATTAATTGATTGTCGCTCACTTGCTTTTGAGCCAGTTGAAGTGAAAGATCCCGATACTTGTATTTTAGTTTGTAATTCCAACATCAAACATCAATTGAGTGGTTCAGAATACCCTCTGAGGAAGCAACAATGCAAAGATGCTTTAACTGTTTTGCAATCACTTGATTCGAAGATAACTAGTCTTAGAGATGCGAATCTGGTACGTGAAAGCAACACAAGTATATCAGGAGGATGATGTTAAGTTTGATTAGGAACAATTGAATCAAGTGAAGGACAATATGAGTGAAGTTGCCTATCGACGTGCACGTCATGTTATTTCAGAAAATGATCGGACACTTGAAGCAGCCGAATGTCTGAGAAAGAATAAATATGAAACGGCTGGCAAGCTGATGAATGAGAGTCACTTTAGTCTGAAGAATGACTATGAAGTTAGTTGTAAGGAACTGGACTTATTGGTGGACCTTGCAAGTAGTGTTCCTGGTGTATATGGTAGTCGAATGACTGGTGGTGGATTTGGTGGTTGTACCGTTACTTTATTAAAGAGAAGTTCATTATCATCTTTGTTGGAAAAGGTAAGTTTTATTTTTCTTCTTTATTGAATGTCTGATAGAGTCAATCAAGTTTGAGAAAGAGTATGAGAAGCATACGGGAATAGCAGCAACTGCCTTTGTAACACGTCCAGGTTCAGGTGCCGGCTATAAAAAGTTACAGTAAAGAATACGGAGCTACTCAAATGTTACAAGTCGCCATGGAACACAGAGATATGGCTTTCATACTCTTCTCCCGTATCTCTTCATTCACATGGCAAGAATAAAATGGATTGCTCATTTCATAATTCCTAGTTGGAAGATTGTACCTGACTTGGATTCGCTGTGAGCAAATAATAAACTTTGTGACAAAAACATGGTTCATCGAAGTAATGGATAGACTCTCTCTCCTTTATTCTTGTTGCACTTTCAACACAAGTTTCCCTACAACTCTCCCGGTTTCTAACCTTTCCATTGCCTGTACGACTTGATCAAGATTGTAGACATGTTCAATGGAAATTTTCAATTGGTTCTGTTCAATCCATTCACTAATTTCACGTAAATGAGCTGGCTCCAGTGTAATAATAATAGAATAAGCAGGAGCTCTCCCTATCCAGTGTTGTAACTTTCTCTTAGAAACCGCAAGAGAAACGTTTAAAACAGACTTCCAATCCAAAGCATGTTGATAAGAAGACCCACCAGGAGGTATAGTACAAACAAAACGACCCGTCCTTGTAGACATACATTGACAAGCAACGTCCCAATACTCATCCTTGATGAAACAGGGTTAGCGCTACAATCTTCCCAAACAATAAACAACCACCTACAATACCAATCGTATCCAATAGAATATCTGGTTTGCAATCTCTTACTATATCAATGATATGAATAGACTCATAATCGTACACTTTATCTGCCCCAATACTCTTTACAAAAGACATATTCGCTTCACTACAAACTGCTCCAACAAAGCTAGCACCCAATAACTTTGCCATAGGAACAGCTTGTGAACCCACTCCACCACTTCCACCTACTATCAAAACGCGCTCTCCTCGATGAATTTTGCCGTATTTAACCAGTCCACAATATGCAGTAAGACCAACCACTGGGAAACCACAAGCCTGTTCAAAGCTTATATTGGTTGGCATTTTGTGAATATCATTTTCCTCTGCTATGCAATACTCTGCAAAAGAACCTTGAGTTAAACAAGCTCTGCCAAAAACTGCATCTCCTTTTGAAAACAACCGTACTTGAGAACCAACTTCTTCCACAATTCCAGCAAAGTCAAAACCTGGAACGTAAGGTGGTCGTACTTTGCGAAGTAAAAGTGCGAGCAGTCCTCTGCTTATCTTGGCATCGACAGGATTGATGGCAGCTGCTTTTACTTGAATACGAACTTGAGAAGACTCTAGAGGCTTGTTCGAAAACGGGATAGGAATATCTTTCACTTTGAGGGCCTTGGAAGGCTCTCCAAATGTTTCCACCACAACAGCTTTCATTTTTCAAATGAAAATATCGGAATATTTAGAAGATTCTAAAGCAACTGGACCAATGGACAGCGATAAGAGCTATGAATATATGCAAGCGATATCGTACAGAGAAGAAAGGATGAAGCTATTTCGTCATAGAAAGTGATCACTAAAGGTATTGTTTGAGTGACAACCTCTGAAAGCAGTATCATTTTCATAAGCTTTCTTTATCAAAAACAAAAAAACAATCATTTATTTTGCAAGAAACTTCCCCAAAGGTAAAACCGCTATCTAAACTACGAAAACCCTTGTCTTATTGCTTAATATGGTTGGACGAGGTACCACTGACTCTGAGAACACAGGAGTCTGCTGTTGTTGAGTGTGTTGGCTCTGAACTTGAGAAGTGAATGAATTTGCGGTGGGAGTTGCGCCACATTCAAACGCTGACTCATGTAGTGCACATAAAAGGCATAACTCACACTCAGGTTTCTGCTGTACACTGACAATATCTTCATAAAGAGTTCGCCTTTGCTCATTAATCTGTTGTAATTCATATAAAATCCTGTTCTCTGGATTGAGTTGTTCAAAAGTGGCAGTTGGAGAAACTGTCGAGAAAGCATATTCTTCCACTGCTCCACAAACTGGACATGTCTTAAGGATACAGTCGTATTCCTCTTTTCTCCTTTGCATATAGCTTTGAAGAGTTGTAACATCCCGAGAAATGGTATTGATTAAGTTTTCAATGGACCCTTCAGGGGGACCTTGAAGACTACAGGAGAGAGCCATAGGAATGAAGAATAAAAGGAAAATAGTCAGCTTCATGTTTTTGTCATGACAGTTTCGATTTTTGCCATTCTATTTAATGACATTTATTTCTAATTATGGAAAACGTTGCAAATCCTGGCAATCTTGACAGTTATTGGCTGCTTTCATCAGAATCATGACGATTCAATCTGAATATAAACTAGAGACATCTGGATGAGTTGTTTTCTGTAATGTTTAGTTCGAAGCGACATTTTGTGAGATAAGCTGAGTCTATTGTTTTACAGCTAAACAAAACGTTTTCAGTACTTGCTGACTCTATCTTTGTTTCGGTATCCTCTTTGGTGTTAAATGATAGTGGTGTACAAGTGAGAATCAAGCTGGAGACTTGTATCCATGTAAACCTTAAGTTGTAATAGTCTATTCATAATATTCATAAAACTTTTCTAGAAACCACAAACAAAGCACATTTATTTGCGTGATGAACAAATACCACAAATTTGTTTCGAAACCACTTTAACAGTTGATCACTGGAAGAGCTCCTTATAGTCCGGACTGTAAACCATTTCCACTGGAACACCACCAAGATGAACAGCATATGTCTCCAGAGCAACATGAGACAGGCCTTCTCCACCTTCTTGTCCCCAAACAGCAATAGAAAGTTGATTGCTTCCTCTTGGGTTAAGTATTCCAGTTGGTAAAGCAAAGAAATGTTGTGGTCCCACATAATTAATATAATGACCGAGCATCCAGCCATTTAAGAAGATAAGAGCCCTGTAACGACTATTCGGGTCTGTATCTTCTATTCGTACTCCAATGGAAGCATCGACACCTTCAGGTATATCCAACTCAAAGGTTGTTCTATACCAAGCAACACCTGCATCTGAAAATCGATGAGGAAGAATAATTTGTTCCCAGTCTTCATCTGGAAAACCTGGAAGATACCATCCATGACGTTCTCCATACAAACCACCATTATTGAATGGACCTCGAGCTGAATCAATATATTCTTCACCTCTCAAGTTACCTTGAATTTTCCAATATATAGGAATATCTGAGGTATCACTATTACAGCTACAACCACTTATCAATCGTGCTTGTACTAAACCTCTTGGATGTTGCCATTTGTTATGAGTATTGGTATAATCTTCATCATGGCCCATATTCTCCAATAGAATAGCAATCACATTGTCACCTTGTGATACTAACTCTTCCTTCTTGAAATAAAATGTTTCTGTTCCATTCTCTGCTGTTCCCAAAAAGTGACCATTTAGCCATACTGAATAAACACTAAAATCACCACCTTCTCCTGTCAAGACTATGCCCTTAACTGTCTCTTCGGAAGAAAATCGACCTCGAAACCATACATCTCCTACATGGAAACCATAATCATCCATATATAAAACAGGAAGAGTTATAGGCTTGAATGGACAATTGGTATGATTCTTATCTGCAACTATCCAATCGCTATCATCAAACGATGGCTCCTTTTCCGGTGTTCCATATTTGAATTTCCAAAAGTCTAATGAAGGTAAGATAACAGGCGGAGGTCCTGGAAGTGTAGTAACCAAAGTAAGTGGACTTTCATGTTTCACATTCTCTAAATATTCACCATTCCACGTAAGGTATGTTGTGACTTTTGATGGCACTACTTTGAGTTGCGTTTCAATCTCAGTATCACCTCTCAAATGTAACCCTCCATCCTCCGTATACTTTGCGCTTCTTACTAAATAAGGACCACTAACTAGCACATCCCCTTCATTGGATTCTATATTCCACCACCTCTTTGCAACCTCACGACTAGCCAAGATCAAATAAAGTGGTCTTTGTTGAGAAGATATCATCAAACGAATGACTTGACTTTGTTGATAGTTGATACGCAATTGATTGCGAGAAGCATCCCAGTGCGAGTTTTGCAACTGACCTTCAAAAACTTCAATAGATGGCTCAAATACGGCATTCTGGAAATAAAACAAGAGTTCTCCATATTGCATTTCTCCGAGATAGAAAATGGCCGTATCAACTTTTCCAGATTCTCCTTGGACAGTTGTATGAGTCATCATTTCAGCAGTAGAATATACAAGATATTGGTTTCCAAAGTTATAAAAGCAAGGTAGCATCTTGGAGTCCCTTCTGTCGATCAGAATATAAGTTCCTTCCTCACGAGGTATCTGATAATCTCCAAGTATACCTTGAACAAGAATCTTTGTCGTTTCTTTCGTTATTGAAGTACCATCTTGATGTCTCAAGATATATAATTGGGTTCCATCATCTTTATTTTCTCTGCCTTGTAAATACAAAGTGGGATTGGTAGGACTTGCAACTTGAATAGAATCCATCTTCCTTAAAGGATGAAAGACTCGGAAGAAATTTGCCATCAACTTCTGTTCCGAATATTTGTCAGTTAGTTGACGCCCTTCATTTATAGCTGCACCATAATCATAGGAAGTATAAACACCAGGAAATGGTAGCCAGCCCCAAGTTGTTCCACCAAACGTCATGTAAAAGTTTAACATAGTTTCTCCTTGTGCAATTTGATTTTGATAAAAAACCCTTTCGAAATCTCCGTTTGTCAACTCATAGCAATAATAGTATCCTGGACCAGCCCAAGGATCAAAAGAACCTCCTTGATATTCTGGGTTGTACATTGGCTCTGATGGATTGCTTTCTGCATGCGCTGTTGCAAAATAGGTAGGAATTGCATGCCATTCAGAAGGATTCCTACAGTCAAAACCTTGAGGATAACTATCTATTCCTTGAATGTCCACTGCTCCTGGACCCGAAGTCCACGTAGATCTATCACCATATACATTGGTTGTTAACGGAACAACTATTCCATCCTTTCTAAATTTAGCTTCTAACAGTTCCATATACTTCGCACTAAGGTTTCCCACGTCATATTCATTTTCCACCTGAACCGCAATAATAGGACCGTCATAAGGACTTTGAAACTTTTCCAAGTGTGGGTCGACCGCAGATAACCATTGCTCCCAGGCAGCAGTATAATATGGGTCGTCAGTTCGTGCGAGTCCTTTCAAAGATGACACTAACCAACCTGGAAAGCCTCCAGCATTGGTTTCAGCATTGATGTAAGGTCCGGGCCTAGAAATAAGATATAATCCTACTTCTCTTATCATGTTGAAAAGTCTGTCAATATCTCGAACTCCCTCGAAGTTATAGAGATGAGACTTTGGAGAATGATATGACCAAGCAAAGTAGACTGTAGTTGCTGACATTCCAGCGGATTTGAGTTTCTCAAGAATATCTCTCCATAATGAAGGACTTGGTAAACGCCAATAGTGGAAAGCTCCAGAATAGATGAATTGCCGTTCATCATCTATAATGAGGGAATATTTATCATATGTTACGTTTCCTGTAGTATATTTTCCATACACTGAGCTCATGCATAGCACAAGAAATAAGAATACGACCCATTTTCTTGTCGTCATGACAAAGATTCCAAAATAAAAAGAAGAAACATGATAGTGGAAAGAGCATTTAAAAGCCTTTTGATGTCTGGTCCTTGGGTTGTCATTTGGAAAAGTATAGATGTGATTACAAGAATGCCCCTGTTTATTCATCGGTTGGATTTAATGGCTATGCTATTCCAGAGGACCAGATGTTTTTGCCGATTTTTAAAGGCCTTGTTGATGATGAATTTGTCTTGTGTATCGCCCCCTTGTCTTTCATTACTGCTGCTAAAATTACATATGAGACGTAGGTTCATAAAGATAGCTTGTTCTAATTTGGATCTAAAGGTTTCAAAGGGATATTGCTTCGATGAAATGGAGATAAGATCTCTTGTTTACATTGAGTCATTCTTTTTAACTTGTTTCTGAGTTAAACGTATGTACTCGAAATTTTGTGTGAGTCCTGAAAAATGGAGGACTAGTTTGATTCAGCAGCGACCTTTATAATTTCCTTTTAGTCATCTTCCTTTATAGGAAGAGTGGCATGCAAAGCTTCTTCTACAAGGGCCGTTGGATAGTCTATGCAGCTTGTGACTGTTTCAATAGTCTTTCAAATTGACCGTGATTGTCCTTGACTGCGAGGGAAAGTTTATCGAATAATATTGAAATACAACCAAATACATTAGGCACTTGAACCACCTAACTAAATACTTGTAGGCGGTTGCTTTTCACATGTTTTAATGTCTTTGCTGGTTTGTTTCAAGCTCTTGAAATAGGAAAGTATGCTGTTCTCACTCGACATTCAATCGACAAGCACTAATTTGCAGAAGTACCACTACACTCGCTTGTAATTGGAATATCTGTTTTTTTTCACAAGATTCACATTTTTCTATTGTATCAAGTGATAAAATTGCATATGAAGCAATTGTAGAAGACAAGGCCTCCTGTCAATTGTTCCTTGGTAGGCAATTATTGTTTCTATGATCTCTTTATATTCGGTTTTGCATTTCTCCGTTGTCCTTTGAAAGCAATCCTAATGGAAGATAAGTTTTCACAGAGACAACAATCCAATCATGGCGAAAACTCATCCGAAATAGAATTGTAATGTAGAAGATTGTTGCACAAAGTTGATTGTAGAGTTGAAGATGGAATCAGTAACAACTTTGCAATGCGAGCTCTCTGATTTTTTTCTCAAATCACAAGGAAATAGAACATAAGGTACTCTTTTGGGTTGCCGATATTGTGGATTTTAAAACTGTCACGCGTTTACAGGTGCAATCTGAGATTATTGTAGCAAAAGTTCCATGGAAGAGGGAGAGTTAAGATTATTGGAAGTGGATAATAGGATGGTATTGCCTGCTTTATAAGATCCAAGGTGAATATCTCAAAATCAGTCTCATCACAACATATTTAAAAGAATATCAAAAGTAATAGGCAACTTGGTAGACCAAGAAAAGGTTACAAGCGACTTAGAAACTGCAGTCTCCAAAAAAAATTTATGACAATCTACCAAAACAAGCAGTAGTGTTTGTATATCAATGATACGAGTAGAAAACTTGTTAAAAACTCACAAATATCATCTCAGTCAACGATACTGTTGCGTTCCGACTCAACAATGGCACGAGCAACTTCATGAGAGTCATCAAATTCCATAAGAGAATTACCAGAAGATAATAAGTTTCCAATACTCTTCTCTGGAATAGAATGAAACTTTGAGAAATTCTCAAAATCTGCAAAATGTTCGTCATGTAATTCTACAAACTCTGTCAAGGAATTGCTCCGATGTTGCAAAGAAAACGAATCAAACTGAGAGTCCATTCCAGTCTTTCCTTCCATCAAAGGCATCTTCAAAAAGCTGTCACTATTTGTCTCTTTTTCTTGCTTTCTTTGATACAAGTCAACATAAGATGACCTTCCTTCCCTTTCCAATAAGAGTTCAGAAGTTCCTACTCTGTAGTGGCTTGCATGGATCAGATCATTTGAAACGTTTCTAGGTTCTGAAATTCCTTCAGAAGTGGTACTCAACTCTCCTCCACTGGAATCTTGGTCGAGACTCATAGTACGAAATACTGTGGCATTTGAAAACCAGTTCATTCTCTTTGTAATATCCTGATCTCTTTCACTGAAATCCCCACTCTTGAGAGCATCAGAAGACAGCATTTCATTCTCCAGTCTTGCAGATTTGTAACTTTCAAGAGAGAAGCTATAATCATCACCATTCATATTCCTCTTTCCAATCGAAGTTCGACAAGACGGTGTTCCTGGAGCAGATATGCAACCTAAGAAAAGATGTTAAACAATTCTTTCTTTCGACTAACAAGGAACAAATATACTTCTTCGTTCATCTGAGGATCCATTTCCAAATCCAGGTTGGAGTTGGCTATGTTGTAGTTCCTGTCTCTTGGCTGCTTCTCTTGCTAGTTTCAAGTAATACTTCTGCGCATGTGTTCGAACTTGAGTGGCATTTCGAGTTCCAACAAATCGGGCGATGGCTTTCATGTCTTTATGACCAAATCTTGCCAAACCTTCAAGAAAACGCATGTGCTCCTCTGCTGTCCAGTAACGACTTTGAGCTTTCTTTTCTTGTTTACTTGTTATTTCCCAACCTTCATGTTGCTCCTGATAGTTACGAGTAACCCTATCATTGTTTGAAGATGTATCATACGCATTGGTTGAGTCCAGAGGACCACAAACGTCGGAATCTGTACAGTTTAAAATTTCATCGTCATGCAGTTATGAAAAATACTTACTTCCATGTTGATAGGTGATTGCCGACTGTTGAACAAAAGAAGAGGAGCCGTTTTCAAATTTAGAACTATCTAGTCCGTGTCGATGAAGTGATGTTAGGCTCAGAGCAAGCTGTCTATTGTACAATCGAAGTTTCTCAATTTCCACCCTTGCATCATCCAAGTCTTTTTCCAACTGCTCAATTCGTTTCTTCTGTTGTTCAAGCAATTGGACACTAGCTAAACTACCCTCTGAACTTGTCATTTTATTACTTGTAGCTTGTTGCTTGTCTCCACCTGCAGAAACAGTAGACCACGGTAGAGGGGTTTGTTCGTTAAAGTTTAGTTTGTTACATTCTGCGTTGTCTTCCTTATCCTTGTCAATGTGTTCCATGTTCGCCTTTTGCCTCTGTCTCCCATTCTCGCGGCTTCTAGTTGACCTCATCTCTTATAAGTTTTAGTTTCCAGACTTTTACAAAAAGAGAGATGACAATCTTTCTTATATTTTTCCTTAATAGTTATTAGCTAAATGGATATCTGGTCACACAGCTGCAGCGTTATCACAAAATTGGCTTCTCTGAAATTCCCCTCCAGTAACCCAAGAAAACCCTACAGCCCAGTTGTTTTTTCCCGACAGCTTTCCTTCAATATATTAAAATATTTTGGAATGGAAGTTTCCGAGAAAACGAATTGCAGCCGAGTGTCACCAAAAGGCAACGACTCCAGCTGTATGCAATAAGCGGGTGCAGGAAACAACTTGTCCCTCTTCCTTCAAGCAAGTCTAAATACTCACATCTGATTGGCTGATCTCACCAGTGGTTGGGAAGCGATCCTCTTGCGAGACTGATGCTCATTTCCAATTTCCATTGGCGCAACACTCACCAGTCGACGACTGACTGGCTTTTCTGGACACAAGCCATGTATGTAGTCGATTTGACTAGACTCATGGAGTCCATATTGTCTCATATTGTGGAGCTTTGTTTACTCATCGCTAAATTACAATGTATAAACAGGAAATGGGAGGACTTTTGTTGACATTTGAATATCACGGGTAAAGTCATGGGTCCCACTATAAGTATTCTATTGACCAAAGTAAATACGCTGTCAAAAAAGCATTTTTGTCGTCTTAATGAAGCTTGAAACATAACATCGATATCAAAAAGACTCTGAAAGATAGTGAATTATAATTACGTCATAGTTTCCATAACGATATTCTCAATAATATAAGAAACAAGAGCAACTGCGTCATGTTTTTCCTTCATTCTAGTTTTGTCAATAACATGTTGAAAGTAATGAAAACGTGACAGAACTGGCCAAAGATGTCGCAAGCTTTGGGTATAAGCACTTAAAGCTGAAAAGTTTTCCTGTGCACAGAATGGCATTTCCATAAGCGATTCGAAATGTTGTTATTTCCTTGAGGGAATTGTACCGATGGCTGCCGGTTTTTTTCGAGGCACGTCGTTTGAACAAGATGCGAGGTTTTCAAACAAATGGAAAAAGTTGCTGTCTAGTACCAAGTTTCCGGAGATATATTCACAGCAAGTGCAAACAAAACTTGTACAGCTAGACGCTATACGTGCATGGGTTTCCACGAAACTACAGCATTTGTTGGGTTTTGAGGACGATGTAAGCGCATACTTGAGAAAAAGAGATTTCGTAACCTTTTTGCTTTGTAGGTTGTTGTAGACTTTGCTCTTTCGTATCTTGAAAGCTATGAAACTCCAGACCCTCGTGAACTACACCTGAATTTGAGTGGCTTTCTAGAAGATAAAACCTTTACTTTTATGGAGCAACTATGGAGTTTGTTAGTAGAAGCACAACAAGAAGCGAAAGTAGCAGATGGAAAAGTCGTCTCAGCAGGAGTACCACCTTCGCTAGTTGAGGAACTGCGAAAGCAACTGGAGGACAAACAAAGAACTAAGGAAACAGTGGAAGAACAACTAAGAGAAAGAGTTCAAAATTCACCTGATTATAATATACAGCCAAGTAGGTTACCAAGTGAAGTGGAAACACGAGAAAGGATCAAACCCTCCAACTGGGATTCGGACTCTGCAGGTTCTCCTGTAAGGCAAGTGGAGAGTACACAAGCAGGTGAAACAAGACGTTACTCGGAAGGTCGACATAGTAGAAGAAGCAGGAGAAGAAGATCTGTTTCTCTTGATAGGCATAGACGACGAGAAAGAACACCTTCGAAGTGTCATCGTCACCACTATCATCGTCATCACCGTTCACACCGGCACAAGTTGAGATATGGAGAGGGAAAGGAGAGTAGTTTAAGGCGGAGTAGTATATCACCCAGTTCTGCCAAGAAAAGAGAAGAAGGTGAGAAAGTTCCCTGCAGTAAGCATCTCGGGGTCGAAGGAGAGAATGTAGAGCTGGAGAACAAAAAGGGGCATTCTCGAGTCTCGAAGGATGATACTGTTGAGTACAACAACTCCCGTGATTCGCTTTTAGCAGAGTTAGCTCGAGTGGAGAGAGAAACCGAGTTGCGTCGACAAGCTTTAGAAAGTATGAAGAAACAAAACAAATGAGAAACCTATTTATTTTCACATATTCAAAGTCTCCTTAATAGTTTTGTGTATCAACAGACAAATGCCCTTCGCAAAAGTGATGAAACAGCCTTTGTTTATGAAAGGAAACCTACTATTTTACTTTCTATCCATGTGAGACTTTCTAGTCGTGAGAAATCTTTTCGTAATGAGACTCTGGATCAACTGGCCAGAAATGTACAACTTTTTCAAGTATAAAAATATACGATAAGTAGTCATTGAATATTTACAACTGGTTGGGTTTATTGAAATTGACAAAAAATCCTTGTTAAGAAAGTAAATGGAGGATGCTTTCATATCTTAAGCAAACAAAGAATAAGCAACTTTCTAGACCCGAGTAGTGTTCAGGAATGAGCACATCAAAGTCCTTGTGTTGTTCCTTTCATACTTAATGCGACCTTTTTGCTAAAACATTGTTTTGATATTCCTTTGTTTAGCAAGATACTCACAAAATATGAAATATCATAATATTCATATCTGAAGAAGAGAAGTATTGTGATACGAAAACCGCGGGCCACAAAACTCAACGGACTCGTTCTTACAAGCCATTGTGGAAGACCCTAGTGCAATGTTCGTCTATCACTCCAAGTGGCAAAAGTAATCGTTCTTTTTCAAGAAATGCTTTAATAGTCGTTCATGGAACCTTTTTGTTGGCTGCAATAAGATTGAATTGTGTGTGCAATTTGAATAATATTACAGGTCTTGTTGGTTTGAAGAAAATGGCAAATGATGATGCCAACCTAATGTGGTTAGAAAAGTATCGTCCAAAGACTTTTAATGATGTCTTGTCACAACAAGATATAATCGTTACGAGTAAGTTTATTCAAAGAGTATTGACGTCCTTAACAGTTTTCTAGTCTTACGTTTTGTAAACTCCAATAGTCTTCCCCATATGCTGTTTTATGGTCCTCCTGGAACAGGAAAGACTTCCACTATATTGGCTTGTGCAGAGCATATGTATGGAACCAACTTTAAGTCCATGGTCCTTGAGTTGAATGCTTCAGATGATCGAGGAATAGACGTTGTGAGAAATGAGATCAAGGACTTTTGTAGTACACAAAGAATTTTTGCTACAGGTGTAAAATTGGTTATTCTTGACGAAGCAGACGCTATGACAAGTGCTGCTCAAATGGCCCTTCGTCGTATTATGGAGAAGTATACAACTAGTACAAGATTCTGTCTGATATGCAACTATGCCAACAAAATTATTCCAGCCTTGCAGTCACGTTGTACACGTTTCCGTTTTGGACCTTTGAAGGAAGAAGACATCCGATTGCGATTAGGACAAATAGCGGAAAGAGAAGGGTAAGTAGAGAGTAGTTTGATTTTATTCAAAACATAGTTTATGTTTATTAGAGTTGTTTTTGAAAAGGATGCTCTGGAAACCATCATTCAGTTATCTCAAGGTGATATGCGTAGTTGTATTAATATTTTACAATCTACTTTTCTTTCTTCTGGAAAGGTGACTTGTTCTACTGTTTATGAAAATACTGGCAATCCTTCTAATGAGGAAATGGAACAAATAATGGATTGGCTAAATGAAGAAGATGACTTTAGTAGTTGTTATGACAAAGTGAAGAAGATGAAAGCAGAACGTGGGTTTGCACTTATCGATATCTTGCGCCAGATACATAAAAGACTATTGACAAGAAATATGTCGCGCAGGGCAAAAGCATATTTGTTAGAAAAACTGGCAGATATAGAGCATCAGTTTGCTTTTGGTGGTTCTGAACTACTTAATCTTTGTTCCTTGATTGGTTCCTTTCAAATAATGAAGACGTTGGAAGTTTTAGATGCCGCACCATGATTGTTGAAAGTGGTTCCTCAATCAGAATATTCTAATAAATAATCTATGAATAATATCTTTAAGCTTGAGCAATCGTGATCATAGAAATGCGACAGCTTCTTATAAGGGACTCTGTGAAACAAACTTTAAAACAGTGGAAAGAAGATGAAATAGCGTCCACAAATACTCAAAAGAGTCTCCATATGGATATTTCAGTAGTTGGTTGGCTTATTGGAGTTGCTGACCTGGAAACTGTTGAAGTATGGCATTTTGTTCGAAACTCGCCCTTTACCAACTCCAACGATCTTCAACATATAGATCGAGTACTGTTGAAGGATATTGGATTCTACGCAAGTGCTTTACCTGGTCCTCACATCCAGTTATTGGGACCTATTTATGTTTCTCATAGACAATCCAAGCGAGGCGTAGTAGCGGAGTTTCTATCCACTAGTCTTGATAAGGCACTTTCTATGTTCAGTATTGAAACTTATTCTATGTATGATCTTAAAAACGAGTCTTTTTATATCAAGGATTCTTCTTCAAGCTTATGGGAAACTATTGATTCAACTGCTTTAGTGGAAAGTTGTATGCAACGGGACTGGTATTGTTTTTATACTCAGTTGAAGTTGCCTTGTTTATTTTCTGGTGCAAGAAGAGTTGATTATTGTTCAGCAAGTGATTGTAGTGGACTTTGGGAAACTTTGGAGAGTCGTATGGAGTTTTTAAGTGTAGAAAAGACTGACTTTAAGCTGTTACGTCAAAATGAAGAGTTGAAATGTGAACTACTTGCTCATTCTATTGGATTATCTCCTATTGCACAACTCAATGTGGCAGATGTTCGTGAATTGGAGCGTCATATTCAAGTTGTTCCTATTCTTTGCCGTTATTCACTTGTTTCCAAGGAGAATGCCGTTCAAGGTATTACTGTATCTTATGAGAAAGTAGAAAAAGTTGAAAGAATACCATTTTCATTGCAAGTTTGTTGTTTATTATATTCTCAAGATGGAGTGGATGTGCTAATTGAAAGTTTGAAACGTCAACTTTGTAACCAATTCAAGTATTTGACTATTGTACTTGAAGAGTTGCCTTTAGAATGGAAGATATTTAAGCCTACTAGTTTATTGTTTCCTGTGATGGGTCTGTTGCCTTGTAATAGCCAAAATGAATTGAAGAATCATGAAGAGATGAGGAGAAAGCATCACGAAGCATTTCATGTGGATAAGTTATTTCCATATTTTCGTCTTGCTGTTGCTTTGTTTTCATGGAAGGAACAAAGGGAGCGAATTGATACAAGTCACTTATTGGATGTCCATAAGAAACTAATAAAAAAGAAGTCAAAGTCATCTCAACATGAAATACAAAGAATAGTGAGAGGTTCTTATCAGTATTTCCATTATATGCAGGTTTGTATAGAGTCATTGATAAATGTTTGAACTTACACAAATATTGTTTTATCTTCTCAGGACGGAATACAAGACAAAGGTTGGGGATGTGCTTATCGTTCCTTACAAACTATTATTTCATGGTTTCGTTTACAAGGCTATACAAGTCAGAACATTCCAACACATCAACAAATACAAGAAATATTAGTAGAAATGGGTGATAAGGAGACTACCTTCATAGGTTCCAAACAGTGGATCGGAGCTACCGAAGTTTGTTATGTGTTACAACATTATTTAGGAGTCGAAAGTAAAATCTTGTTTATATCTTCTGGAGCTCATGTAGATAACTATGCTAGGCAAATCATACAACATTTTGAGCAAGAAAGTACTCCAGTCATGATAGGTGGTGGTGTATTGGCGTATACTTTGTTAGGTATTGAGTACAATGAATCTACAGGAAGAGTTCAATATTTGATACTGGATCCACATTATATTGGAGAGGATCATATGGAAGTGATTATTCACAAAAATAAGTGGTGTGGTTGGAAGGACTCGAATATATTCCTCAAGGATGCTTTTTATAATCTGTGTATGCCAATGCGACCAAAGAACGTTGTTTAAAGTCACTATCCTTACCAAAGAGTAAATCCACCATCCGGCATGATCTCTCCACCAAACATGAAACTTGAAGCATCACTTGCAAGAAACACAACTGGACCTTGTAAATCTTCTACTTCACCCAAACGATTGGCTGGAGTTAGTCTAACCCAGTAATCCATGATAGGTTTCAAGGCTGGAGCTTTAGCATTATTAGAAAACTATATATTTGATATTTTCATGTAGACTTACTATTGGTGATAGGTGTATTGATGTAACCAGGAGAAATGCAATTGACATGAACACCTCGATCAGCCCATTCAGCTCCCAAAGTTCTAGTCAACTGAACTACACCTGCTTTTGCTGCGTTATATGCCGCTTGTTTCTGTGGATGATTCACAATATGTGCTATAGAAACAAAATCATTCAATGGAAAGCAAATATCAGAATACAGTCAGTCATACCTGACATGGATGCTGTATTGATTATTTTACCATAATGTTGTGGAAGCATCCATTTTGCTTCTGCTTGACAACAAAGAAATACTCCCTAACGAATTCACACCCATAAAAGTACAACAATAATATCGCTTACTGTCAAGTCGACATCCAATGTTTTCTTCCATTGCTCCACTGAAGCGTTTTCAGAGGCATACTTTTCCTCTACCCCACTGAATACAATTCCAGCATTGTTACAAGCAACTAGATTTTCAATCTTTTCTTCGTTCAAGCTCAAATATACTTACTGTCTAATCGACCAAACTTGGAAGCAAACTGTGAAATAGCTTGATTGATTTGATTAGCATTAGAAACGTCCTATAAGTAAAACAATGGGCTTCATTTTGGACATCTTTCCCAATGCCTATGAAGCTATTCTTACTGCTGCTAGCGCTATGATTTCCGTCGAGGAGAAATGGGCATTGAGCTCTTTTTCCGTATGACGAAGTGTTTCTGACTCCAAATCCAAAAGACCCACAGCAGCAGCTCCTGCTTGAGCAAGTGCGATCGCCAGTGCCTTTCCTATTCCCTGGTTTGTGCCGATTAAGTCGCAAAAGAATCAAAAAACGAGATACTCACTTGGGCTGCCCCTGTGACGAGAGCTATTTTACCGTCTAACTTGAATCGATCCAATATATTTTTGTTATAAAGAGACATATTGTCAAAGCCAATACAGTTGGTAGGTTTCTTCCAGTTGAAGAATTTTCAACGAAGCGAGAAAATTCTAAAGCAAAGGAGAAGGTTTCATTTCTATTCCTGTCCTGTCGACAACAAGGGATGAAGATATCTCATTCATCTATTATTAGTAATCTTTGTCGATTTCGACGATGACTGAACAGTCCGTTGCTTACAAGTTGATTTTATTACATGTGCATAAACGAAGAGAAAGAGAGAGAGAGAGAGATCGAGCGTGTGTAGAGAGCGAGAGAGAGAGAGATCAAGAGTCTGTAGAAACCAAAACTCCATATGCTATCAGATGGATCGTTACGGATCAAGCATAGCTTCTTACACTATAAACAAGATACTGTATATAACTTTGTGAAGTGTTCCAGTGGAATGAAATCTATTCCTCAATAAGACATTGTATTCAATACAATGACCTGCACATAGCTCAAATGGAAGCAAGAAAACTGCTTCTCTGTATTTATATCTATATATCTATATATCTATCTATCTATATCTATCTATATAGGAATATGTTACATTCATATTATATTGACTTTTACTTCAGTTCCGAAAGCAATAATATTGAACATTGCAATGACAATATTGGTTCAACTCGAAGAACAAAGTTTCGAGCCTTCTAAAAACAGCCATATACTTTTGCACAAATCGATGATATTTCAGTTTAAAGGCCTGACTGAGAAACTTCCTACTTGTTCGCGATAAGGATATGTAGCAGACTTTCAGGCAACTAACTTAAAACCGTGCATATTCTCTCTTCACTATTCGCAACTTGAAGACATGTATTACCCTCAACTCCGACAATCAATTCTCAGTCATCCAAGTTGGCCAGTTGTGTCTCAAAGGGCTGAGAAATAACTTCGAGAAAATCACACTTGAAGGTGATGATTGATGCTGACTTCACATTTCTAGAATTTCCGTTGCGAAGTGACACAGATTGAGAGGAAATGAAATGTCTTTCCGCATCCCAATCGACAGGATTGAAATTTCCTCCCACAATAATCGCGTCTACTCGAATGAATGGTCATTTTACTATGGGATGTAGGTTAATCAATTATCATATCAGATATGTCGTATCGGACTTCAATCGTCATGTAATTTGTTTAAAATAGCGTTGGTTGTTCAATGCTTATTAGTTTTTATTTGCAAATATGAAACCAGTTACTGTCTGTATATTTCTTCTAGCCTTAGTTATATCCGTTGCATTTGCTATCCCTGCTCCTCTCAAAGCTGCTCGTGCTCATCAACATGTGAGACAAGATGCTCAAGCAAAGGTGGAAGCAGTAGACAAGGTTGACGCGAAACGAGGAGAATACTATTATTATTATGAGACTCCAACATATTATTATTATTATGAGACTCCAACATATTATTACTATGAGACTCCAACATATTATTACTATGAGACTCCAACATACTATTACTATGAGACTCCAACATATTATTACTATTATGAGACTCCAACATATTATTACTACTATGAGACCCCATCCTATTACTACTATCAAACTCCAGAATACTACTATGACTATTATGAACGCCAACAGCAGTCTACAGCCAACCTGGAGCAAGTAGAAGCTTCCTCTTAATTGTCTGTTCGTTTTTTCATTTGGCATGTTCAAGAAGCAAAGACTTCAGAAGTGAATATGTTGAATAAAATATGTTGATAACTTGTGCATCTTTCGTTTTCAATCCCTTGTTTAATATTTTCATGTTATCCGTGTCTCAGTCATTGCAGTTGTATGATTTAGACGTACTTCTCGTCGTCAACTAATTAATTGAATACATCTTCCATTGGAGGTTTGCTGATTCTGCTCCCTGCCAAAGATTCTATTTAAACTATGATTAAGGAACAGAACATAACTTCGAATCTTTTTGTTATTACCTTGTCTGGAAATAGAGAAAATAATTGGCTGGTTGACTTTCTATGGGTTCTAGATAAGTACCAGTTATGTTTGAACGGTATGTTGTTATTTACACGACTCCTGGTTGGTTTCTGAAAGTTGCTCGTTGTAGATATCGAACAGTTTGTTGCTGGTGAAATTTGTACCACTACTATTGTTGCAGAGTTTTCAGAAGACAAAAGTTCCCTTATTGTGAAAGATATCTTGTTGTTTGGTCACGAAAACAATGTAGAAGTTGATTTCGAAGTCATTAAAGCCAAACAAACTGAAATCGTGCCCTCGAACAATAGTGATTCGTACGCTATAACTTTTAGTAAAAGTGATAAAGTCCCAGTTGGGTTTTTTGCTGAGTTGACTGGTGTCTTGGCAGCTCATAAAGTAAACTTGGACTTTGCGGAACGGCTTTCTGAAAGCAGTGACCCTCTAGCTTGTTATGAAATCGTTGCAAAGTTGAATATTCATAGACCCATCTTTACAAACGAGACTAATGAGGCGGATTCAGTTGATTCCTTATCGAGTATTCGCAGCCAAATTTTGGCTTTAGGAAAGAAGTATTCCGTGGATACTGCTATTCAACGTTCGGATCTATTGCATCGAACAAAGAGACTGGTTGCTTTTGATTTGAGTTGGACTTTGATATCAAATGATGCTTTAAATATTGTTATTGAAGCTGCTGCTGCCTTATCTGAGCCGTCAGTAGCCAAGTCACTACACACACGCTTATTGGAATTGCAACGATTGCACCAAGATGGAACATTGGTTGGTGATGAGTATTATTTAGAACGAGCACAACTTTTGAGAGGCTTTTCTGTCTCCAACATTATGCAAAAGATCGATGGTCTGCTTTCTTTTACTGAAGGATCCGTTTCCTTGTGTCGTACCTTAACCAAATTGGGGTATAAGACTGCCATTCTATCTTCTGGTCCCCATTTCTTAGTAGAGCATGTTAAACGCTACTTAGGAATGGTAAGCATAAAGATGAAGAGGGGAGAATGGTTTGATTACTTTTCATAGGATTTTGCATATGGAAATATTTTTGAAACCGATGCTATGGGCTATTTAACTGGCGAAATAAGTCATCCTATTATAAATGCCAATAGAAAAGCAGACTTGCTACAAATGTTAACTATGCAAGAAAGAATAGGTTTGGAACAGGTTATTGCGGTAGGTGATGGTCCTGTCTCGTTAGAAATGTTGTCACTTGCAGGAATGGCCATTTCAGTTGATCAGGTATAGTATTTCTATTCATAAGAAGAAGAATTGCTGAATGGTATGATTTGAATATAGCCGGATGCCACAGATTTGGAAGTTGGAGCTCATTTATGTGGAAAAAGCCTTATGACAGTTCTCTATTTATTGGGTATTCGAGGACGAGATGCTTTAGAAATGTCACGAGAGAGCTTTGTTTAAATGTTTAGAGACACTGCATGTTTTCTTTGTGGCGGACGAATTCTTTTTCCAGAGTAGATGTGTAACAAACCATTCATTTCCATCTCCATAACCGAATAGTTCAGCACAAGCCATCCAAAATATTCTCCAATAATGAAACCNTTTCAGAGCTTCCTGAGAATTTTGATAAGTCTTTTGTAAAATATTCATAATTTCTTCTCTATGATTATCCATTCTAAGCAACCAATGTTCACTAGTTTGCGCATAATGCTTTCCATTCATTGCCCATTGCTGAACAACTTGAAGATGTTCCTATATACACACAAATATATATTCAGAATTTTCTGAGTTGATATATATATATTTTCCTACTTGAAAATATAGTAATAAAGAAGCACTCGGCATCGTTCCACCACTGAAGAAATATCTTCCCATCCAATTGAGTTCTCCATCACTTTCAAAATGATAAGGAAACAAACGATGACAAAATATATGAAGAAACAATAATCCTTGCGGTTTTAACCAATTGGCAACTTTTTCTAATAAAAGTGGATAATTCTTCATATGCTCAAACATTTCTACAGATACGATTCGATCAAACTGTTCAGGTTTTGTATACCATTCGCAAATATCTGCTTTGATAACTTTCACATTCTGAAAGCCTTTTTGTTGACAAATACTTTCAATATAATTTTGTTGAAGTGCAGAATTACTGACAGCAATAATATTACAGGTGGGATACTTCTCTGCTACAAATAAAGTAAAGGATCCCCAACCACAACCCAAGTCTAAAATATCTTGACCACTTTCTATCTTTGCTCGTTCCAAATAGAGATTCAAAGTATATCTCTCTGCCTCCTCTAAACTACAATAAGGACTTGGAAAATAACAACCTGAATATTTCAAGTGTCTTCCAAGTACCAACTGGAAGAATTCTGGTGGTAGTTCATAGTGTTGTTCGTTGGCTTTCTCGGTCAAAACTGCCACTGGATAAGTTTTTATTTCTTGAATAAATTGCTAAACGTTCTTTTTGAGTAGAATCGACTGACTGGAAATAGCAACTTACCTGAATATATTCATAGTCCGACTCCACATTCTTCCTTTCAAGTTGTTTTAGTCGTGACTCACAAAGTCTACGAATGATCCATCTTATCAATCCATCGGGAACTTTTCCAGTATGAACCAAATGGAGACCTATAGTAAGAACTCGAGAGATGGGGTTCCATTTGAGGTTAGACATGTTCCTCTCCATAACCCAAAATCTTTCATTTTTGATTGGTTGGATTCTCTTTGTTCTACTTGAGAGACTTGTGTATGCTTTCTTCACTTTATGAATAACAACCAGGGACCCAAGATAGCTATTATTGGTGCAGGTATATCTGGTTTGGTTGCAGCTTGGTGTTTATCTCATCATGGTTATAATGTCACTATCTTTGAGAAAGAGTCACAAGTTGGAGGTCACGCCAAAGCTATTCCAGTTGAGGTATTTCTAAATACTTTGTAAGCAATCAGTTGTAAAATTTGGATAGGTTGAAGATCAGTCCCTGTTGGTAGACATAGGTTTTATGGTGTTTAATGAAAAGACCTATCCCAATCTGGTCGCTATTATTGAATACCTGAATCAGTCTCGACAGACTTCAGATATGTCGTTTTCCTTCTCTTTAGGAGACCAGTTTTCTTGGTCCAGTGACTCTCTCAATACTTTATTTTCTAAAAGATCCAATTGGTTGAATCCTTCTTTCTATCGAATGTTGTATGACATATTTCGGTTTAATAGACAAGCAACTTGGCTAGTTCATCAGTGGGAAAGAGAACCTACTAGTGCAAAGGAAAAGAAATGGACTGTGGGACATTTTTTAGAAACATACAACTACTCGTCTTTCTTTCGTGATTCTTATTTATTGCCGATGGCTGCTGCTGTTTGGTCTTGTCCATTGGATAGTATTTTGGAATTTCCACTTTTATTTCTATTGCAGTTCTTTTATAATCATGGGTTTCTGCAAGTATTCAATAGGCCTCAATGGTATTGTTTGAAAGGTTCGAGTCGTTCATTTCTATCAAAGCTGATTGAAGATATGAATGTAAATATTCGTTGTAATGCTCCTGTAGCACATGTGATAAATGTGGAAAGGAACTCAGACTTGTGTGTTCGTATATGCTTACAAGACCAAACGGAAGAAGAGTTTGATCAAGTCATTTTTGCCACTCATAGTAATACTACGAGTTTATTGTTGTCAGCCGAACCCAATCCAACATTGAGTGCTCTTTTGAAAGATTTGCCTTATTCCCATAATGATATTTATATTCATTGTGATGAGAAATGGTTACCTCGTGAGAAACGGAATTGGTCAAGTTGGAATTTTCTTTCGCCACCCATTGATAGAAAGAAGAACAGGGCTCCTTGTGTAACATATTGGTTGAATCGTTTACAAAACTTGCCTTACACATTACCCATATTAGAAACCCTCAATCCTTGGGAGCCTCCTGAAGAGTCTAAAACATTTGCACATTTTGTTTGGGAACATCCACAATATACTCTATCTTCCCAACAGAGTCAAGAAAACTTGCAACAAATGCAAGGAAAGTATCATATGTGGTATTGTGGAGCTTATTGTGGTTATGGTTTTCATGAAGATGGCATCGTTTCTGGAATTCAAGTTGCGTCGCTTCTCGTAGGAAAGGAAAATTTTAGATATTTTTGGAATTCATCGAAAGAACATGTAGTAGAAAATAATGTTTGTCACTCAATGATATCCACATCTTTTGGAGATAGAGACCGTTGGATGGATTCTTTAGGGAAGCTCTGTAAACCAGTGGTTTATGAATGGTTGAAACATTTTGTGAAAGTTGGACGATTGTTTCTAGTGGATATAGTTCACACTTCAAACGGTATGGAAAGTATTCAGAATACATCATGTTTTGGACAGGAAAAAGCACAGCAGTTACAATCGGTAACTATTCATGTGAAACGCCCTCGTTTCTATCTTCGAGTACTGTTATTTATGGATATTGGTCTAGCAGAATCATACATGTATGGAGATATCGAATTAATGGATGTTGAAGCATTATTGTGTTTATTGAATATATTAATTGAAAATAGAGACCAGGGAGGTTTGAATGATTGGAAATATTCACTCTTTCGTTGGACAGGTGGCTGGATAAATACCTTATATTTGAAATGGTGGAGAAGAAACACGGTTCAGAATAGTTACCAGAACATCCGTGACCACTATGATTTATCGAATGACTTGTTTGCTCTATTTTTAGGTTCAACGTGGATGTATTCATGTGCATTGTGGCGACGTCCATCGGATAGCTTGGAAGACGCACAAATGGCAAAGATTGAACAGATCATTTCCAAGTTGAATGTCAAGACAAGTCATCATGTGCTGGAAATTGGTTTTGGGTAAGTTGTCACAATGCGTTGCTTAGCCATCTTTTGAAATTTGTATCGAGTTGGGGAGAATTGGCAATTCAACTGGTAAAACAAAAGGGATGTAGAGTAACAGGAATTACCTTGTCAGAGGAACAATTTCGTTTGGCGAAACAGAGAGTAGCTGTGGAAGGTCTTGAAGATAAGATAGAGTTGCAAGTAATCGATTATCGTCTAATGAAGGGGCAGTTTGATCGCATCGTTTCCATCGAAATGTTAGAAGCTGTGGGTCATGAATATTTAGGAGACTATTTCGCTGCACTGGAGAGACTATTGAAACCAAATGGTTTGGTTGTATTGCAAGTGATTAGTGTTCCAGAATATCGATATGAAGCATATCGTAGTTCCAGTGATTTTATTAACAAACATATCTTTCCGGGAAGTTGTTGTCCTAGTCTAACAGCTCTTTGCACTGCCATGAGTCAACACTCTTCTCTGATGATGTCCAATGTAGAAGATATCGGTTTTCATTACGCTAAAACTTTGGCAACATGGAGAAAACGCTTTTTTGATAATCGTGAAAAGATATTGCAGTTTGGATTTGACTGGATATTCATTCGAAAATGGCTTTATTATTTTTGTTATTGCGAAGCTGGTTTTGCTTCTCGAACGTTAGCTGATTACCAAATCGTCCTTGTGAGACCTGGAACCAAAGATAATTTTTAATATGGATAGCTATGTCATATTCAATAAAACCATGAGCTGAAAAAATCTATCATTCGGGACCACACTAGCCATACTCATTACATTGCTTTCTCTCAGTGGCACAGTATACACTACTTACCATTTTGACTATTGTTTGGATGTGAATAAAATGGAAATTTTCTTTTCCATAATTGATAAGCTTCCTTTATATCGTCATTTGATGTTAGTCTTCTAAGCATGTCAAAAACGAGATGCGTACCCAGTGAATAGCAAAAATAACTTTCCATGTCATGAATGGATAACGAAACAAAAATATCAGCAACGATAACAGTGACCAAGCATGTCTCTCTAAATCTAGACTTGCAAACAGAATGTTGTGCTGTTGATGTTTCAGAAGCGTCGTCACTCTCAAGTTTTCAATTGGATTGGAAAAACACCAGTTGTATTCTATATTTTCCATTGGAAGAAACGGAGATACATGAAATGCTTTCGGGTGACTCTTCATAACTATCAATGACGAAGACAACGAAGCATCATACTGAGTCTCTTTAGGAACAAGTACTTCAATATGTGACTCTAACCACGGAATATTACTGATAAGAGCAACGACTGCTTCTAAATATTTACCCGATTCATCAAAAACATAGAAAAAACTCACAGGGTTAAAAGAAACACCAAAATATCTAGGATGAGTCAATAACCTTACAGGTCCATTTATATTTTTGTGTACTTTTTCGGATACTATTTTTCTCACTTTACTGCTCAACTCTTCAAGAGACTGCGAGTTTAAATAATCCTGACAACGAAACCAAACCAAAGCAGGGCCCCAATAAGAAAAGAGAGGCCAACAATAGGCAAGATATGAATGTCGTAACAAGTCCAAGTCAAAATATAACATAAATAGTCGATAGACAAAAAAGTTTTTCGCAGGAACAAATCGACTAGCACAGAAAGGCTAGTGAGATAAAGACAGTTAGTTTGACGGTTGCCAACAAACCGGTGAGAAAGTTGTCCACAGTATAAACCAAAAGGAGAGGATCCCATGATCAACAAAAGATGGATAGATAGACTATTTCAAGAATGCTTTTCGTATTTTACAGCTTGACTGAACCGGCTTTTGTATAAGGGACGCTTTCGTTCCTTTATAGACACAGCTCTTTGAGTGTCCAAATTCTCGATAATGGCTGTCCCATTCAATAATACACCTCTTTGTTTGGCATTCTCTACCAGTGCGAACCAATCTGTTGAATGATGAGATAAAGCTTTCATATTTCCAACAATGAGTAAAGAATACTTTGCTCGAGTTATGGCAACATTCATTCGACGAATATCTCGAACAAAGCCAATTCCTTTTTCGAAACTACATCGAACACAGCTGAGAATTATCCAATCTTTTTCTCTGCCTTGGAATGCATCCACAGAGTCAATCTCTACGCCTCTCAAAGAAATATGATGTTTCTCAAATGCTTGCCTGAGCGATAGAAGTTGACGCCTATAAGGTGTTACAATTCCAACTCTCTTTTTAAAAGGTGTATTCGTTTCATTAGTTTCCTTTGGTAAGTACTTGTGTTGAAAATATTTGTATATACGAGCTATAATATCTGCTTCCTTTTCGTTATAAAATGAGCCACTTGAAGAAGAACGAAATTCTTTCCCATCCGAAATATCAATCACAGCATAAGGACCTAACCAATCGAGTATAAATGAATGCAGCCAGACACAAGAATGATATACCTAATAGAGGCTTCAAGAAATCACTGTGACATATATGTGATCGGTTGTCATTACACACAGAAGTGTCATTTTTCAAAAGACCTTGATAAAAATATTGATTGGGAAATAAACTAATTGCAGGATGCATTCGATATTGAGTGTCCAACATGATAACAGGTCGACCAACTCGACAGAAACGTTCCAATAAACTTTGACCATAAGCTGTACCCAAGTCTCCACAACTAAATACTGTAGCTGGCAACTGTTGAGGATCACCAATTAAAACACATCTTTTAATCTGAAATAGAAATGGAATCAAACACGCAGGTTCTGTTGCCTGTGCAGCTTCATCAATAATGACTGTATCAAACCAAAAATATTTATCCATTTGATTCCTTGTATGCGATATGGCAGAATTTCCACTTAAAGAGAACAACAAAAATGCTCCAGACAAGGTACAAAACACAATTTGTGCAGTTTTCACATAAGATAAAGTAAGTTCGGATATAATTTGATCCTTTGACCTCTCTTTAGAAAATACCAAGGTAAGTCTATTCAAATCTCTTTGCAACTGTTCCAATCTTTCATAATTTTCCATTTTCTATTGAATCCATCCATTCAAAGGCTTCATCAAAAAAACAACATTCTGACTAACCTTTTCTTTAGAGGAGCATTTTTCAAACCTCATTCTACAGTTTCGATATTCTTCATTCCATTGAACTAACCATTTCTTTTTCAAGTCTTCATCGACACAATATTGTTCATGATTGCAAGAATTCGAGCAAAATTGATTATAAAAGACAAGTGCCTGTCTTTCTGCAGTTAGTGCCTTTGTTGCTTCTGATACGCGTTCATTGGCACCCATACGAATCATTTCTGGCTGATACTGATTTCCGTCAACGTCAACAAAGCTGTGTTGCAATAACTTCGACATCGCTTCGTCCACAGCTGCATTGGAAGGCGCACAAATCATTACTCGTGGCTTCCTTATACTTCTTGAAAGAGAACCAAGTGTCTGATCTAATGAGCCTAATAAGCCTGACAATAAAGTACTTGAAGAAACAGAATCTGTATCCAAAGAGTATGTCTGATGCCCATTCCGTTGATACCAATTCTCTATAAGGCTGTCATAATACAGTTGATAACCGTATACATGAAGTACATTGAGAATAGCCAACAAAGTATTTGTCTTTCCTGTTCCTGGAGGACCCTGAATTAAATGAAATCCAGTTGAACTAGTTACACAGGAAGCAACTGCTTCATATTGTGAAGCATTTAATTGCCACGAACTACTAACTTTATCTACAACTGCCATAATCCTTTGAAATTTTGGATTGGGACCTTTCAAACATCCAATAGAAAAACGTAAGCCTTCACATTGAGAAGGTTTCAGTATCTCCAATTTCAAAGCATATTTACTTAGATTCTCTACTGCTAGAAATTCTCTTGATGCCGTAACAACTGAACCAATAACTTTGATGTACACTTCACTTATTTCACCTTGTTCACGGCTGCGTTGACGAGTTTCCGAAAAGTTATTCCCATTTAACGGAGGTAACGAAAAGTTGATAGAGGATATCTGATACTCAGGAAGTCGAATTCTAATCAAAAGACTTCCCTCTGGTCTTTGATTGAAAACTCTGTCAACAAGAAATAAAGAACTTTCACATAAAGTCTGCCATGAGAAAACATCTCCAGAAAAAACAACCAAGATATCGCCCTCATTGATATTCACTACAGACTCTTTTTCCGGAAATAGTAACACATCTAAATACAAGTATTTCTTTCGTAGTTGCGCGCGTTGAATGGTACCTGAGAAAACAAACATACTTGTGGCGCCATTTTCCAAACTGAAACATTTCGCCTCTTTTCTCAAGTTATCTCTAACTGTACTCTTTCTTTCCCAATGTTTTCGACAATTCTCTAAAGCAGCAACAATAGACGATTTGAGATCGTGCTGAATCAACTGTCGAAAGAATTTCTTATATTCCTCTTCCGACGTGAATTCCAGAGCAGGAGAACATTGAAAGGAATTCTCCTCATTTCTCAAACATTCTGCAGTGAGTTGAGATATTTTCCAGCTCAGCACGAGGTCACTTATGTTGGTTGAGTTGTTCTGAACAAAGTTACTACCGCGAATGGTTTCATTCATAAAATTATTTTTCACCAATTGAAAATGTCCATTCTCTTCTCGTTGCCTTTAAAAGAATCGTTGGCTTATCTCTTATCCTCCAAAAACCAACCTCAAGGCGATACTCCTTCTTGGTTTGTGAAAGAATTTCAAGTAGGTTGCTTCCTAGTGTAATAGAATGTAGCTAATTACTTCAGCCAGCGTGTGGAGGAGTTGAGTAGAAAGTTGAAAAAGGAACAAACCTTTACCATTGCAAAGCTACCAAACAACCAACTTAAAAATAGATATGTTGATGTAGTTCCTTGCGATGAATATTGTGTTACTGTAAAGTGTTGTGATTCTGTGGAATCGGTATATCTGAACGCTTCTTATATTTCTGATATTTTTCCCGGAGATGATAGAATCTACATCGCAACCCAAGCACCTATTAAGAGTTGTACGAAAGAGTTTTGGCATATGGTATTACAAGAGGAAACTAATATTATTGTTATGGTCACTCGTTTGGTAGAAAGAGGGATGGTAAGTATTATTTTTGGTTTGGTTGGAGGACAATAGTTGATTTCAAAGACTCAGTCAAAATGTGACGTTTATTGGCCAACTAAGGAGCAAGAAGTATGGAGTCTTGGTTGTATTCAACTTTTTTTGGAAGATGAAGTCGTAGTTGCAGAAAAGTCCGTTATTCTACGACATATTCGACTTTATCACAAGTTATCGGATGGACAGGTGGAAGATAGACTTGTATATCAGTTTCAGTACAACGGTTGGCCAGACCACGGAATACCTACAGAGAAAAGTTCCTTTACATTCTTATTAGAGCAAGTAGAAAAGCACCGGCTGGGAAAATCTCTAGTCGTCCATTGCAGGTAATGAGTCGCATAAGACTTTCAGAAACACGACTTGAATATATGCAGTGCTGGAATAGGACGAACAGGAGTGTTTTGTACTTTAGATATTCTTCGGCGGTATCTTTCTTCTCATTCTTTCTTGCAAGTGAGTCCATTTCAATTTTTATAAAGTTATACAGTCATATGTGTTTTTCATTTAGAGATTGAAAGCCCTTGTGGATAAAGGTGCAGACAAGGAAGAAATTGCAGACTTTCTAGTCAACCTCGTATCGGAAACTGTTGTACAAATACGCAAAAGGCGGCCTGGAATGATTCAAACTGCTGAACAATTTCGGTTTTTGTTTGATTGTTTGACACGGAATTTCGACGCGTCGTGAATCTTGTGTTGGTTAAGGATGGAATCATCACCTTTGCAAGTTCAAGAGCGTCCTATGCGGAAACCTATTGTATGGTCCAATATTGGAGTAGGTGCAGCTCTTCAGTTGTTTGAAGTAACGACTTTGGGACAGCCTTTTGAAGTTATTAAAACACAACTTGCTGGTATGTATGACAACTCGAAATATTTCTGATGAGTGTTGAAAATACTGTATGCCTTGCTTAGCCAATCGAAAGGACAGTATGATTTCAGCTTTGAAAACCATCTATTCTAGAGGAGGTTTATCAGGTTTTTATCAAGGACTCATTCCTTGGGCCTGGATTGAGGCTAGTACAAAGGGCGGTGTTTTATTCCTGGCGCAAAATGAAGCTTCTAGTTTTATTGCTTCTTTAGGCTTTTCTCAAACTATCTCAGATACAGCAGGAGGCGTATTTGGTGGTGTGGCACAAGCTTATACTACGATGGGGTTTTGTACATTTATGAAAACAGTAGAAGTTACGCGTGATAAGACAGGAGCTGGAAAGGATTTGTCTACACTACAAGTTGCAAAGGAAGTATTTCGAACCAAAGGAATATCTGGAGTATATCGTGGAGTAACAGCAGTTGCAGTTAGACAAGCAACCAATTGGGGTTCCAGATTTGGTCTTGCAAGAATTACTGAAACACTTTTCAAGGGTAAGGATAAGGACAGAAAGTTATCAAAATGGGAAGAACTGGGTGCAAGTGTTGTTGGTGGTGCACTTGCTTGTTGGAATCAACCCATCGAAGTTATTCGAATAGAAATGCAAAGTCAACTCAAGGCCGCTGATCGTCCGGAGAAAATGAATATATTCACTTGTGCTAAATATATTTATAAAAAGAACGGAATATTAGGTTTCTATCGAGGTGTAACTCCTAGAATTGGATTAGGTGTCTATCTTACTTGTGTAATGGTGTTTGGAGGCGATCAAGTAAAGGAACTGATACGAGCAAGAAAGGAAACCAAACTTGATAAACAGTAGAAATGGAAGAACGGATAAAAACAAATCACTAGAAAACAATTTTCACTTTAGAATTGTTTGCACAGTCGCAACTTTAAGAGACGCGAATAAGGAACGAGTCACACAAATGTTTATGAAACCATTGGCATATATAAACACTACTAGTACGTTGTCTTCAAGTCTTTTTTACTCACAAAAGAAAGCGGCTGTCGAAAAGAGTTCCAAAACAGGTTTTATCGCTCAGCCTAGTAGGCAGCTTGTTTGTCGTCCCAAAGACGGTCGAAAGTGGAGCAAACAAGAAATAATTTATCAGAACAGGAAACATGAAACCTTAGATTGTGTAGCCAGTGCAGACTTGGATATTCCTCTTTTGGAAAAACAATTTTCTGTTGCAGACCCTCAGGAAGTAGTCAACTTTGCCCTATCGACCTTTGGTGAAGAAGTTGCCATAGCATTTTCAGGAGCAGAAGATGTTGTATTGTTGGAATATGCAAAGAGGTCAGGCAAGCCTTTTCGAGTCTTTGCTTTGGATACTGGACGGTTGCATCCCGAAACGTATCGTTTCTATGAGAAGGTTTCAGAATACTTCAAAATTTCCATTGAATATCAATTTCCGAATGCTGAGGAAGTAGAAGCTCTCGTTAGAGAAAAGGGCTTGTTTTCCTTCTATAAGGATGGACATGGAGAGTGCTGTGGTATACGTAAGGTAAAGCCCTTGAAGAAGAAGCTTAGTTCATTGCGAGCTTGGATGACAGGTCAGAGGAAAGACCAAAGTCCGAGTACTCGTTCATTTGTTCCGACTATTCAGATAGATCCATCATTTCAGGGAAAAGATGGAACATCTCTTGTTAAGTTGAATCCACTTGCGAACCGGAGTTCGGAACAAGTTTGGTCGATGATTCGTGCTCTAGAACTTCCTTATAATGAGTTACATGAAAGAGGTTTCATATCTATAGGATGTGAACCATGCACTAGACCGGTTTTACCTAATCAACATGAACGAGAAGGAAGATGGTGGTGGGAAGAAGCTATTCAAAAGGAATGTGGTTTGCACAAAGGTAACTTGTCTTCTACGGGAATGGAGGAAGTGGCCTCTCAGTTGGTAGAAAACTTGATAGAAAAAGAGCCAATCGTAATTTTTGCACGCTCGGATTGTCCCTTTTGTAAGCAAGCCAAAGCTTTGTTAGATGCATTGAGCATTGCTTATAAACTCGTAGAGATGGATAAAGTGGAGAATGGGGCTGAGTTGTTTGAAGTTTTAAAGAAGAAAACAGGACAGAAGACTGTGCCAAATATTTTTATATCTCAAAAACATATAGGAGGATGGACGCAGTTGGAACAACTTTATCGAAGAGATTTGCTGAAAGTCAACATCTCATCGTTACAAATTTCATGAATTCAAATTGGATTTCCGTCAGTTTTTCAGAGTCAAACAAAGGGTATCTATAGCCTTCAGATCTCCAAATATGGCTTATCGAGTATAGTTGGCAACAATAAGAAACGCATTATGGATAGTCACAATAAACTTTGGGTAGATAAACATCATCCAAACCGTATAACCGAACTGTTGGGTGATGCTACTGTTCAACGTCAGCTATTACATACCTTCATAGGTTGGAAACAAAGTGTTCAAAGCTCGTCCAGTCTCATTGATTCTGATCAGTCGGTTTCCAGTTGGAAAGGTTCACAACGTTGGGAAGGAAACAAGAATACTTTAATCGTTTGGGGCCCTCCTGGCATAGGGAAGACTGTGGCCATACCCATGCTGTTGCAGCACGTGGGTTTTCAGGTGCACTATATTAGTGCGATTGAAGAAAACGGCTGGAATTCACTTCTATCAAAAGTTGAAGCTCTAAGAAATAAAAGTTGTTTGTTTGCCAGTCAGTTGCCGCCTTGTATTGTATTGGATGATGTTGTTTTTGCAGCGGGCCAGGTGACTAATGTAGACAAGTGTATAAAGATATTGTCAGATAATGCTAAAGGAGGCGTTAATTCAACAGGTGCCTTGAAGTATGTGCTACAATAATAGTGGATTGAGGGAGATTGACGATATTTTTAGGAACTCGGTATGGGTAGTTATTATTTGCGAAGATGCGTATTCAAGAGGTCTTGCAACTTTGCGTCCATTTGCCAAAATTGTTCATTTTGGTCAGTCAGATACGAAAAGCTTGCTATTTCGTTCGATGCGAGTTTTAACCAATGAAAGAAATGAAGCCAATGGCCACGATATATCCCAACAAGAAAGAGACTTTTTAAAATATTTATGTGAAGCAGCAGCTGGAGACATTCGTTGGGTATTAAATCAGTTGCAGTTTGTCCAGAACCATTTTCAATATTTGCCAGTCTCCTTTCAGCAATTTGACGACTTTAAGGATCTCTCTAGGAGTAACATGATAGACATCATGAATAGGTGAGTGACAATCTCGAGGCATGATTTTCCTTTCTATACTTGTTTTAATCGTATGATTAGTATTTTTGAATGTCAAAATAAGGAACAACAGATTTACTATCGATATTTTTGTGGATTATCCGTTGCTGAATATGATTCCTTGTTAGATATTTGCCCAACAATTGCTATGACAGCGGTAGAAACAAGCGATGATTTGAAGCAATTGACTGAAATATTTGATTTACAGTTCTATGTTGCGAATTTATCTCGACCTCTTTCTTATGAAATAGAATCAGTTGTAAAAGATATCGATGCAGTTATTATTAAAAAGTATACACAACTGATAAGGAAAGTTCATTTCGTGAAGCATTTTCGTGAGAAGCGACTTGAACAACAAAGAATGCGAACCAATATTGCTGCTCTCCAGGAACTTCGTAATGTAAGTTTGAGCCATATTACTGCTGTATGTTTATCAATAGTGTAGTCTTGGATGTCTTCCTTTGCAAGATTTGATAAGACACAACAAACTGCAGAAACTTACCCACGACTAACTAGTCTTATCTATCACTCTATCAAGAATGCATCAAAATTGACTGAGATAAAGCAGCGCATTGAGGTATCATTCTAACAGTGAACGGATGAACTTATATATTTCCATTTTCTCTTTAGGCTATTCAAAAAATTGCGAAGATTTTTCGTTGTTATGGAATTTCAGTCACTTGGGAGTCGAAGGACTTATTAGAAGAGGATGAGATGGAGACTCAACTGACGCATCATAAATCTTGGAATTTTGTTCCTACGCTTCCTCAGTTGTCTTACTTTGAAGATATGTCTCCTTGGCAAACAGAAACTCAATCTTTTATGGAAACGCTTTCGATTCTCATTGGTATATTAGAAAACCCTGAAAGTGAAGTGGAACATTTGGCAAGTCAAAAAGAACGAGATAGTTGGCTTACTGTAGATTCAAATGCCTCAACAACAAATGGAGACGAAAGAACTGTCACGCATGTTTGTTTTCGATTCCATGAAGGGCATTCGAACGCCATTTTAAAGCCGGTAACCATAGATATGTTTAGTTGTTAATGGAATTGAAATGGATGAGTTTATTTGCCAGTCAAATGCATGGAACATGTATATACTATTCATGTCAAGGTACCTGTTATGGAAAATGAGACAACTCCCATTTCTGCATCTTATCAACACATTTTCTAGACACCGCATTCTAGTCCTGCTCAAAAAGTACAAGAAAGTTGTAGGTTCCGCTCTAAGCAGGCATTGATATTTCAGTAGAACTGTGTTTCGTCTTATCTTGTTGATTCTTATTCACAAGGTCACGAATCGAATTCAAGTCCACTCGAATACCTGGACCCATCGTAGACGATAGTGTCAAACCCATAAAATAGTTCTTCTTTATCGTTCGATGCTTCTTACTCGACAGGAATTCATAAAGATAGCAACAGTTGGTTAGCAATGACTCTGTCGACCAACTTTTCTTCCCTAAAACTGAATGTACATTACTATCCCTACATGAAAGGCTTAGCAGATACAAAATATGTTTGGAATAAACACAACGTACGGATCGTTCTCAATCCGTAGATAGCCCTTTTTCAATTCTCTCACTGTCAAGTCAATATCTACAGTTAGAGTTCCCATTTTCTCTGTCGGCATCATTCCTCGTGGTCCTAATATTTTCGAAACCGAACTAAGGCCCTTTACACTTGACGGCGTCGAAACAAGCCAATAAAACTTGAAGCGTCTTTTCTTGATACGTTCCAATAACTCTTCATATCCAATATAGTCTGCTTTTGCTTCTTGGGCAGCTTCGATTTCCTGAGGATCCTTTGTAAACACCGCAACAAGTGTGTGCTTTATTGGTGATACTGGATACAAAATCTTATCCTTTATCCGTTGTTCTGGTTTACGATCGTCAATATTCAACGAGAAACAAGCCTACACGAGTATGTAACTGAATAAGTTGAAACGTGACAAGGAAGCTTACCTCGATAGTTTCATCAAAACCAGCGTTACTTGACTCCTTCACCATACCTAGTGCCGTCTCAACATCATATTGTTGGTTTTTATCATAAGCTAGCTTTAAATTACTCTCAGAATGATTCGAGTGAGTTGTCGGATGACTGTTGCGGGATTTTGTTTTAGTTCTTTCGTCAAGTGAAGTCTCGTCAACAACTGAGTTGGCCTGTTCGACTGTTGGTTGATTTTGTCTAACTTTGAACGTTTCTTCTTCGTTTACTTCAAGTTGAGTTTGTGTAAAGAGATTTTGGTCTGGAAATCTTTTGAAATCTAACACTCGACTTTTTCTTTGTGCAGTTGTTATTAGAGACCAGAGTGGACCTTTCAATAACTGCATTCTACCACTTTTTAATCCAAAGGCCAATACGCTGTTCTATGAATTTCTGGACGGATGATCTGATTGCCATTGTGATTGTTGTGGAATGACAATGGATAGGGTTTCCTTTGACTACTTGCAAAAAAATTCTAATTGAACCCCAAAGTTATCGTTTGAACTGCAATGCAATATGAATGGAATTTTTGTGTAAATCGTGGTTTTCTGAAATCGAAAGTTTTTTTTCTCGTCGTTATATGATTAGAATCATTTAAGATCTCTCTTATACTGTTGACAGCTAAACGAAATTTTTTAGATTGAATATCATCTTTGCAACTGAATCACTTTTCTTATCTGAGAGTCGGTGAATTTTCTGTATAATCCACAAAAGCAGAGTTTTGGATATATGGTGTCTTGAGTACTTTTGAAAAATGATTACTTTTAAATAGAATTTTGATCGCGAACCAAATACCTCTAAAGTATTTGTCGTTACCTTTGCTATATTTTCTCTTGGATCCAACGGGTCTCATGTTTGTTGGAGCACCTTCATCTTTATTCTAAGGCTAAAAATGCAGTTTTCTTTACGTGGAGAACGAACGAATGGGCTTTAATCTTTTACTGAATTTCCCTATCGTAAGTAGTTTTTGTAGGGCTTTGTGTTTGTTCTCAAGTATTGAGAGCTTGTGCAGTTTTTAGCTGTCCTTTCCTTTGTTTCGTTTCTAATTGTGGAAAACTCTCTTCTATTCAGTCAACAAAAGATAGGAAGGACAGTCCAAGTGAAATCGATAAACAACTTTTTCCCTTTCAGTCTTTGAGAACTACAGTACATAGAGTTACTGTTCATTTCCAACAGACGAGAAAGACAGCGTAGCAGATAACTTTAAGGCTGTTTTGAGATATTCTTTCGGTATCCACTTTACCAAGAACTTGGACAAGAAAGTTTTCATTTTAGTTACATTCAACTTGTATGTACCTAAATTCTGTTCCTTTCAAATCACTGCAAGTGTGCACTATTGCAAAATCGACATCAACAATGGCCTTCAAATAAATTTTAGCTTTGAAATATATTAAAAGGTATCTCCGAAATAATTGAAAGATTCCACTAGTGCATCAATCAAGTCATTCTCCTGTGTACTCTACTCAAGAGCGCTAGTTGAAATAGTATCATTTAATAGAAATGTAGAAACCTGCAAATACAGCATTTCTTTTATTCTCAGCAATCATCAAACTCCTTTCTTACAACCATGATACGAAACAGCCAATCACTAAAGCTGCAGAAGTTGATGATAGCAAAAGACAAACCACAAAAATGTGCAAAATATCAATGTCAAAAGGAACGTTGACTCATACAAGTGAATCATCAATACCCAATTTTGTAAGAGTCAATGAATTCTGTCTCCTTCTCTGAAAATATTCGCAGACAGTAGTAACATTAGATACTGTGAATTCTGTCGAGGGAAAAAAGATAATTTTCAAAAAATTCAATTCTGTAAAGGCTTTTGCTGTATCCTCTTTTACGATAAACTTTGAACTTTGAAAAAGCACAACTTGCAAAGAGCAAACTATAAAGAGTACAAAGCTGCTTTAGCACCTAGATAACCCCAAAAGAGCTATTATTTCTTCCTATACGAAGAATGTAAGACTTTTGAAAGCTCCGCAAATTCAAGGAAGGATCTGTTGAGCTCCAATTGACTGCTACTCTTCTTCCATTCGCATCCATCAGCTCCTTGAATAAGTGAGTCACTATACAAAAGTTCCTTGCGTTAAGCACTATGCAGAAGACTCTTGCGAAATATAACCTAATGGTTACACAGGTGGAGGCCTATTTTTAGATATTTGTAACAAGAATCAAAGACAACTCAAAGTTTTGTATAAACAAACAGTCTATAAATACAAGAAACGTTCATTTCCGTTAGGAACAAGTCAAACGTAAAGAAGAAGAGAAATAATTTTATCCAATTTGCAATACAAAGAATAAAAATGTCGTCAACTCGCACGCAACATTCAGCGGAATAAAATGAAACAATTTGTCTGATTCTTCTGCTAAGTCAAACAATCTTATTTCAAATTATACTTGTGCGTCGCCAGCTATTCCTACAATATTCTAAACAACACATAGCGAAACAGGCACTAATTCTCAACTATGCAAATTCCAGCTGCGAGGCAACTTAGGCCGTTTGCTGGTCCAGAAGCAGGATGCGCAAAACCAAAGTATGGATAGTTCGTTTCAGCAACTAAAAGAGTCAAGCAGACAACTCATAAAGCCAACACAAAACAAACTTTGTCCAACCAAAATAACTAAAACTATGAAGCCATACTTGCCAAGTACTCCACCATTACTACTGGAATTATTGATCGCATAGCCAGCTCGGGTCGCATGACTCCCATCGAAGCAACACCAACGTTATTCTTAGCTGTGCTATGCGCTGCACCTAAATCTAATAGACAAGTTAAACAAATGCAGGTGACCAGAAACAATTTTTTAAGCTCAATTGAAAACACAAGAGCACTTGCTGCACCGATAAAACCAAAAAAAGGAAGCCGCTGGAGGACACGAAGACTCAGTGCCAGTCTGTTCGACCCAATTTCGCAAAATAAAAATACCTTAAATACATTGGTAGTGAGAAAGATATGTAAAGATTCCAAACTTTATTCAAGAAGCAAATCAAAAATACTCTGACAACCAGTATAGCAGGGTCACTGCATTCTACCTTTAGAAGTTCATATGTCATACGGCATTAAAGAGTGATATAAAATACAATCAGTTAAAGATGATTCATTCAAATTTCTCGTTCTGGTTGAAAGAATAATTATTCAACACTTCTTCTAAGGTCGCAATGTCTATTTAATAGTCTACCGCAACCAAAAACTTTTTTACATAAGAGTTGCTCTATGGTTTCAAAAAAGGCAATTCTTGACAGATCAGAAAAGTACGTGGACAATCAAAGTTAGTCAATTAGTTACCAAATCTAATAAAACAAACGACTGATTACAAATTCTTAATCGTTGACAGAAGAGTTCTGATTCACATGTTGACAAGTACGAATAACTTCATTCATAGATTGCGGCTTTCTTGATAAGATACCACATTTAACGTTGTCTGAAATGGTTTCCGACTCATCAAGTAGATGATCGCTGTCTTGATCTGCTTCATCTGCTATACCAGTTTCAACAGATGGTTCTGCAGCGCTAGTCGAGCAATGCAACAGCTTCGTTGGCCGTTCAACAGATAAGAAACGTGTACAACTATTGCTTGAGTCAGGAACCCCAAGATATGGATCATTATTAAAGATGGCTTGAGTGAATTTACACGTTCTGGGCAACTTAGATGTTTCCAAATCATCTCTGTCTAGTGATGAAGGACAGTCCAGTGTGTTTCGTCTACACTCAAAGGTATACAAACATTTTTTAACTGCACCTGAGTACTTCAAGTACTTACGCCATCTACCTTTGTCAACTTTTGAAAAATTCTCGGACCTATAAAGCACTGCTTCGGCGTTATCCAAGCTGAAAGATCGGTGCCTTGGTATCTGATAACCCTCCAAAAGCTCGCCTTGATACGCAAGATTTGCAATAGGCACGGCAAGAGATGTATCTACTTTTTGAGGAATATCAAAAGAAGACAAACGCTGTCGTTTCGGATTCTGGTAAAGACCAAATGTCGCTATATCTTCAGTTCTCTTACTATTCGAAGAGAAAGTGGGAACAGGGACTGTAAATTCACTCAGTAAGATAGGAACCTGCCCTATGTAACGACTATTTTCTTCAATTTTCAACGGCTTGGGAAGCTGTTTGCTGTTCACTGCTCTTTTGTGAACGTTAGTTGCAGACTGCGCAAGTGTTGCCTTGTCCAGGCGCCTCTCTCCTTTAGCTTTATCTTCACTACAAGAACTAACCTGTTCCACAAACTTTTTTCTTCGTGGACCAACAAAAGGAAGGGAGGGACCACAACCGTTCGTCTCTTCAGCAGCCTTTTGGAAGCCGTTAATACTGTCCTTAGAAGAAGCCTTATGCTTTGCGTTTATCGTATTCAACGGAAAACATGAAAATGTGTTTCCCATAGTATGCAGAAGAGTGCTGTCTAGCTCAAGTACACTTAACTAGTTTCCAATGAAAGAACAATTCTTGTAAATCAATTCATTTTATCTGTTGCCAAATATAGAAACAGGTGATTGTGGCCCAAATGCAAGCCACCCATCAGGATCATTCAAGCGACCATTCAATAAGATGTGAGCAACGTGTCATTCTGTCAAATTTTCAGTATCGATTCGATAATGGCGGACGACGAAGGTAAGACTGCAGGCTCTGGCGATCCACAAACACCTTTTTGGCGAAAGGTTAAGACAACTGTGCAAGAGTTTTTCGAGGCACCTTACGAAGAACACAAGAGTTGATTTCGAAATTCTTTTGAAAAGTTCGTCGGAAGATATCTGAGAAGATTTGAGCAGAACCCAAGTCTTTCAGAATCTTTCGATTGTGACACAATTCTGGTAGTCCGTCTTTCAACAGTTCTTTGCGAGGAGCAAGACCGAAGAAGATGACGTCTTCACAACTGGTTTTTTCAATATTATGACGGAGGCTTACAAAACCGAAGTTTCCGGCGTGAGTCTCCTGACGTTGCTATATTTAAAGAAAAATCGCGTGGTTTTCTTTTACAGAACTAAGCAAAAATAAATTTATTTATTAATATCTTTATCTTTTGTCTAGTAAGATACAGAGTAGAAGAAAACTCTGCTCCTTACGAAGGGTGCTCCTCCTTACTACTTCAGATAAAAGTTCGATCGTGAGCCAGAGCCTGTTTTGAGAAGATCAGGAGTCGCAGATGGTCTGTAAGTCTTTGAGGCCATATCTCTCACCAAGTTGCTTCCCTCCGAATGCCGCTGTAAACTATATCCTTTTGTTCGCAGTTGCCTAGCTGTGTCTAATGAGAAAGGACTCTTGGCTCGTGGAGTTGTACTGTTGTAGCTGTTTGAATTGAGTTTCCTATAAGTAAATTCTTTCGACTGCATTTAGCAAAGAAACTTTTGTGTAGCAAATAAAGTGGATACCATTTGTCATCGGTCGATAGATCGGACTAATACAAGTTGCTGTCCGGGAGGTGTGTTCTGTGCTGCGAGGAAGCATGGAATAATTGCTTAATGATGGACTCTTCGCTCTAGACTCGGAATAAATCCTTCTTTTTTTCAGTTCCTGGTTTTCTGAGGCAAGTACTTGAACTTCATTCTTCAAACGAGTTATCTCTTCTCGATAAAGTTCCATTTGTCGTAATGCATTTTTGCCAGCCTTTGCCTCCTCTTCAGCTTTCCTTACCTGTTCGTTCTGTTTTTGAATAATGTCCCTCACGTTTTGGAGATGTATATCCCTTTGAAGCCTGTGATAAGCAATGATATTGATAAGCTGTTGCAACTCATCCTCTATTGAGGAGAACAAATATCGACGAGTTTCTTCAGGAAGCCCTAAACCTTGACCACACAGTGAACATGTTTCACATTCCTGTCCACAGTAGTCGCAACGACCCCTTTCTCCACTATTCAAACCAGTACAACCCCTACTACAAAAGAGGTGACCGCATGAGGTGAATATGGCATCTTGAAAAGAATGCAAGGAGTTAGAGAAGTCACTCATTATATGGACAGTTGACAACTTACCGTTATCAACGAGTTCCTTGGTACAAATATTGCAAAAGAAATTCAATACTGTAGAATGCGACATCTGTGAAAGCAAAGTGGAAGAAAATTACATCATAAGAGGGGAATCGTAAGAATGAACGTGCAATGGCGCCAAATTTCTAAGCATTTTTTATGGATGTTCATTCCCGGCATAGCCAATAGGACAAGCTCTGAACAAGAAAGTTGCCAAAGAAGGTTCATTCGGAAAGAATCCTGGTTGTCAAAAGAATACTTGCTTGGCTTATAGTTTTCTTATACTACCTCCTCTCAAAAGTTTAAGCAACTAAGAGTTGAAAGTGCCAGAAACAACGTGAAAGTTCGGGAAGCAAAATTTATTGAAGCTGCTGTGGGATAAATAAGACAAGAGGACAGGATTCGCCTACTTTTATTATAGCCATTCAATCTGAAATAGAAAGACTCACGAAACCTTAAACGGTCACGAAATAAATCCAAACATACTGAAAACCACGTTCGCATTCTGAGGTCCGATTCGAAACTACGGACATCCCTCCTACGCTGAAACTTTTGGAATTCTGGAAATCACTCATTATTCTAGAAAAATTCCATCTTCGTTGGAGATTGCCACAGTTGTTATGGAGGGTTCGCCGGGTACTTGTTCAGTTTGCCTAGAGCGAAGTATCAACACAACGTTTCTTCCTTGTCAACACGAGACAGTTTGCAGTTTTTGCACCACACAACTAGACTCTCTATGTTGTCCTGTTTGTCGAACAGCTGTTTCTTTTGTTCTTTTGAAAGGTCAAGAAAGTGACGTCGGAAATTTGTTATCGGAAGTAACTGGGGCAAGTGACGGAGTTATACAGACGAAGTGGTGCCTTTCTTGTGTGATTCGTTACAGACAAGAAGTTGAGCTCTACTTATCGAAAAATGTTTTTAGCATTTTATTTACTGGCTTCACTTCTCGTCTGAAGGAACTAGTGAGCCGACTTTCTGTTTTTACACAAGAGAAAGAGCCACAGTCTAGGTTTTTAGCCGACGAGAATCTTCAGTGGGTTTTTAAGCCTTCAGAAGTTGTTTCTCGTGCAGGTGAGAGTGAGAAATTGAAGTCAAGTTGTTGTCCAAACGGTTGCTTAAGAAGAGCATCTCATTATGACCAACAGTGGGGCTTCTCATTAGCCTGTGAACAAAGGAAAGCAACGAAGGTCATAAGTGGTTATCCTTGTAGCTTCAGCCACTGTCAGCTGTGGGAGCTTGTTCGTCGTTTACAGGGTCAGGAATTGCTTCCTCAGCTTATTGTCTTATGTTTTTGTTCGTCCTCATTTTCTTCGTTTCAGCAAGTAATTGATATGCATAATCTTATTTATAGATATAAAGAGAATTATGGTGCAGTGGGTCTTCCTGCAATTATATGGGTAATGCTAGACTCTAAAACGCAGAAGGATCAAGGTGCACGTGGTGATATGGTTTCGTTTGATGTTATTAGAGAAGAGATGCAAAGAATAGTGCCCTATGATCGCCCCAACGCCGTTGTTAAGATTTCTTCTGACCCTGTCACGGAAGAAAGAGACTTTGAAACATTCCATCGTATCACAACTCAGCTTATCGAAGCACACAGACATAAGACACCGCGTAAATGGCTTGTTGGGAGTCAATCTTGTGGTAGAGCAGACGGCTTAAAATTTTTCATCTGATTCTAGTTACATACGAACTCACGATCTCTAAAATTACAACAAAACAGAAGCCGAAAGGATATTACTTTTGTTCCCTATCTTGGTTTCGTGTTTGAACTACCCATTTGTATATTGAGAGTAAGCAAGCATGAATATTACATTGTGTCATAGATTATTTCATATGGCTGCACAACTGCTTCAATTATGTGTAAGTTTTAAGAGTTGTAATTTTTTAATAGAAGAACTTGTCTGGATGAAATATATTTCATCATAGACGTGAATGTATTTCTTGCTGCCCCTTACTGTGGCCAAGCAACGCATCATTTGTTTTAAACGAGTTGATAAACCAATCTACTTTAACGATCATATCTCTTCGAATGTTAGCAATCGAGGGGCAACCGAGCAGCCCCAAATCGAGTTCAAATTCGTTCCGATATAACTCTATAACATGTCTGACACCTTCCTCGCCAGCCACAGAAAGTCCCCACAATATAGGCCTACCAACGCAAACGGCTTGCGCACCTAACGCCAATGCCTTGATGATATCTGTTCCCCGACGAACTCCAGAATCTAATAGAACCGGGATCTTGCCTTTAACACCACTCACAACGTTCTCCAAGCAGTCAATTGTTGCAGGAGAACCATCCAACTGTCTCGCACCATGATTGCTAACAATAATACCAGCAACACCACAGCGAGTCGCTAAGTCCGCATCCTTTTCAGTTAATACTCCTTTCAACAGAATTGGAAGCTTGGTTATAGTTTTCAGCCAACTAATATCTTTCCACGACAACGATGGATCAAATAATGATGCAATGTAGGCAGCCAATCCAGAACCATCAACTTTCCTGGTTCTCTGACGATCCTCGTTTGTACCCTCGATAAAGTTGGCAAAGGTCAAATGCTGTGGAAGTTCGAACTTGTTGTGTACGTCAGCTTCTCTTCTTCCTAGCTTCGGAGTATCCACGGTAACAACGATTGCAAGATATCCTGCCTTCTCTGCCCTTTCTACGAGCCTTCTGGTAACTTCCCGGTCTCTGTAGACATATAATTGGAACCATTTTGGCCCTTCTGGAGCTGCTTTTGCGACTTCTTCTATACTGCAAGTGGAAAGGGACGATAGAGTCATGATGACCTTCGACTTTGCTGCGGCTTTGGCTACTGCCACTTCACCATCTGGGTGAGCCTAATATAGAGATTACTATTGGAAAGCACAAGCTTCAACCAATATACCATTTTCTGCATTGCTGCAGGAGCTATGACGAAAGGAAAACTACAAGGAATTCCGAGAATATTTGCAGTAATGTCTTGAACTGAGATATCAACCAAAACTCTTGGTTTGAAGCGAAATCTCCGAAACGCTAAAATATTATCTTCGAGGGTATACTGATCATCTGCACCTGAGGCATAGTAGTCATACGCCTGAAACAACTGTTCAACTTTCCTACAAGGTACAATAATATTCAAATACCATTTTTGGCAGTTTCTGCTTTGCCAATGTTTCATATTCATACACATTTACTGGCTCAAATGGCTTGTCTCCAGACATATCTAGCTTGTCGACAACGAAGAATGTCGAAATGATAGCAATTGATAATTTCTCTTTTACGACATGAGGGTGGGAAAAAAATTTATATATAGGAAGGTGAATTTTTGTTGAGATCGACTCCAAGTTCGGAACACTTCGAGTCCTTTTTCTCTCCATGGAAAGTTCATTTTTTTTCAAACTAAATGACTATTTAGAAAAGGAATCTCAATGCCGTGAGAATCTGAGAGAATGTCGAGATCGATGCGACGCTGCCGTACGTTCAGCAGCAGTTTTAGTCGAATCGTTGCATAAGGAAAGAGATCTCTCTTCCAAACTTCAAGAACTCTACGAGTCACTAAGAGAAGTTGCCAGTGGTTTTGTTCGTCTTCAGTCAAATGTTCCCGTAGATGAGTACTATAAATATAACGAGCTGTGGAGAAGTTCCTTATCTCAAGCAGTTGCCGTCGGTTGCCTCGTATATTACTTGGATTGCAATCAGTTGGCTGACATTTTTGTTCTTGAAAGAATTTTTTGTCCTAAAGAACCAGAAGCGTCTTCTGTGAGAATTGAGTTGGAAGATTACCTTGTTGGCGTATGCAATCTTGTTGGCGAATTGTCGAGATTGAGTGTGAACCGTGTCACAATAGGAGACTTTGAGTTTGCTGTTAAAGCCGCAAAATTTTCTTCCGAGGTTTTGGCGGGTTTCAGACTACTTAATTTTCGCAACGATTATTTACGAAGAAGATTTGGTATGTTATTGCCGACTATTTCCTATGGAGTCACTGACATAGACTCTGAATAGATGGGATGAAATATGACGTAAAAAAGTTAGAAGAAGTTGTTTATGATATCTCCATCCGTGGACTTTTAAAATAGAACTATCGCCTAGTTTGACAAATTGTAAATGATATCGAACCAAAGTCAGGTTGCTAAAAATTCAAATCACTACTACTCCGTTCCGAATTATACGAAGACGATGATGACTCGTAGATAGTTGTTCTTTGCAGTTTACGTAATAATTCCTCGGTGCGCCATAAAGCTGGTACTTTTCCTTCCTCATCATCAAACTCGTCTGAATCCTCGTCAATATCATACCAATTCTCTGAATAGAAACCATCATCTTCTGTTAAGCTCGCCGGAGTTTCTGGATAGTCATATGTCCTATTAGTGTCACTAGAAAAGCCATCTTCAAGAACTTCTTCGTCCTCTGCGACTAACCAGTCCTCGTCTAACGCATTTGTTAAAACTCGTATTGGTAGTCCTATGTCGTGAACTGGCATCATAGTGGGACAAGACAATTCATAAAGGTCATAGACGAAGTCTCCTTTTTCTTTTTGAAAAGAGTTGAAAGGTTCCGTCGTAAGTTCTCCAATGTATTCCTTCACCAAAGTGTCACCGTTCAAAGTAAAAGGTGATGCATATCCTTCAGACACGTCCACCAAGTCCAAAAATTTCCATTCTGAAGTAACGTTTGTTTCTAGGGTATTTTTCTGTTCACTGTTATTCCCAAAGCTTGAATGTCTTTTATTGGTGGACCATGACTTCTCGTTCCCTTCAGTGTTTGCTGTTTCACTACCCTCCAAAGTCAACACGTGTGTGAACAGTCTTTTTTTTCCTTTTTGACTGATACTTGAGTTGGTTACAGTCTCTTCGTTTGATGACGACTGTTTCTTTGCACATTTATTGGACACTAATTCAACCTGCAAGAACGATAAAGGCTTTTCCTTCCTCTTGCGAGGAATTCGTAAGAGCACAGACATGGCACAAAAATGACTGGACACTTGGCAAGGCACTTTTCAATGTAAAAATGCTGTGCAAAAGTGAACATCTGCGTTCTAAACAACGTAAATGACAAAGTCTCGTGATACTATAGTCCTAACATATACGAATCCTAGCTCAGTCAAAAAGTTAGTCGTTTGTTCTTTGTCGTTTCCTTGCTGCTCCTCGTGATTTGTATCTGCGTTTTCTTCTTTCGTCAATCCGCTGCTGTCGTTCTGCCTCCTGTTTTTCCATGTCCTTTCGTTTGGCTTCCAAACGCGCCTTGCTGACCATTTCTCTTTTCTTGGTTCGCTCATTTCGAATAGTATTTAGCATCTGAAACGTTTTCTGTTCTTTTCGTTCTTCGGGATCCGTCACTGCTGACATTACCTTTTCTAAGTTACTGCGCCGCTGCTTTTCCTTTGCAGATATTTGCTTTGGTTTGCTGGAAAACGGTAAAGTCGCTTGTAAAGAACGAGGAATATGGAAAGGTCGAAAGTTACGCTGTGCGGGTCTTTCATCAATTTTGCGATATTCCGAGTCATCATTTGTTGGAATAGGGATTTGTTGCATTACACGCAACTCTCTCAAAGTTTTCATTAGGTGACGGATTTCTACCGAAGGAGGGCATAAACGGTCTTGAACATCGACACAATAAGACTCCACGGCTACCTTTACCCACGCACGCAAAAAAACGATATCACTCATAAGAATTTTGTCCTCAAAAGTTGCTCGGAAGGCACCAGGAGGACTCTTCAAAGCTTTCTTGATGGCTCCTCTAATACCAGAAACAGTTCTAATCTTCGCACCAAGATATTTCGATACTTCCAAGTCCGAATGAAACATGCCCCGAACAAATGCCGAGTTCTTAAATATTTTGAGGGGTTCTCCAATCAACTTCAACTTCTTTACAATGTTGAAGTCTCCACTGACTTCAGAAATATATCCACTAGCTGCAACTCTAAAATTGCTCGTATTTGGACCATCCAATCTTTGAAAACAAATGACTCCAGTACCCAAGGCCACTCGAGGTCCAAAAAACGTAGCATCACAATGTAAGTGTTCCGGTGTATACTTCAGGTAACGATTTCTTCCATTTTGATCTTCACTAGAATAAACAGGAATGGATTGAAAACGTCGCCATCCAATGGAGAAAATCAGTGGATCACCACATTTTAACAGACCCTTTCTCCAACGGTGCCGTTTCAGTCTGGCTCTTATATGACAAAATTGTTCTTCTCCAATTTTAACAGCTCCCAATAGTATCGGCGCGAATGGATTAAAATAGCGCAGCTGTATAAATGAGTTAAAAAACATCAACAATGAGTTTTGCACTTACAAAATCTTCAGGAACATCATCAACTTGAAGACGAAGATATGAGCCTGGTGGAAAGCCTTCCATCATCTGACGGCTTTCTTCATCCAAAGTGGCAAGCTTCTGCTTCTTTTTCGATTCCCGCTCAGCAAGTTTTAGTTTCAAAGCTTGATCAAACGAAACATCTTCGTCTGAAGAGTATTTGTCCAAAGCATCTGCGTCATATGCAGCGTCAAACTGTATTTTCTTTTCAGTCTTCTTCCTCATTCGTTTTTCTGGAATAGGTTGAGTTGAAGAATTTATCGAATCCCTCAGTTAAAATACCTTGTGAATCTACCGACGTGGCATCTTCATTATCTACTTCAGGGCTTGAATCATCTAATCCTACATCAGAGCAAGTTTCACTGTCAAGTTCTGAGTCATCATTTGAAGAATCCTCGCACGCGTCTGCAGTGAAATAGCCATCATCGCTCTCAGCTGACAGATTTGAGTTTTCCTCCACTAACTCACTGTTCGAAAATCGTCGCTTAAGACTGGAGTTGTTCAGCAAGTCCCACGACTTGGAAGCAATAAATTTACTGCAGTCTGCTTCCTCACTTCCACTGAATATGAAACTACCCAAGTCTTTAAGGCATACTTCAGTGGGAGCTAGTCTCTTATCATATATCCACTTTGTCAAATTCTTTGGACGAGTGTCAAGCTGAAAATCATCCTTTGCAAGTTTCCATTTTTCAACAATACCATCATTTTCGTCTCTGGACTCAAAACCGACGTTTTCACTCTTAAACTCATTTGCCATTGGATCTTCATCTTTGTTATCGAATATTTCATCCAAGCTATTCTCCATGCTTCCTTCTTGGCTATCGATATCTGAAGCAAATTCTTCAAGAAATTTTTTAGAATCCAAAAGATCTTTTGAATTTTGGTCCAAAAGGCTCTGTCGAAGGATATCCAATTTCCCACTTTGTAGTTTATCATCCATTGAACTCTAAAAACGTTTCACTTAATGTGTATTCAACTAGAAATAGAAAACTAACCTTTATTCGCTGCAAATTACGGATCATCACTTCTCCTTCACTTTCTGGTTCAATATCACCAGTCAACCGAACAGTCTGATTGGGAAGATTGATATATATGGCGTCTTGATCATAAGAAATACCCGAAACTTCGCCCATTGGAGCGTGAATAGCTCTTTCCTTATCTGACAGCTTTCGTTTTCGACTTTTACTAGCGTCCTCCTTATTTGGAAGCGGACAGGGATCTGGTAACTGCTCCACATGGTTGACAGTAATATCTCCAACGCCAGGCAAGTGCATCTAAAACTCGTTGAGTATTCGTATGTTCTGTGATTCATTTCAATAGTTTCTAATACCTTAAAGTTTACACCTCGTGGAAACCTTAAATAAGTTCCATGCAAATATCCAAAAAAAGCCACAGTTCTGCTTTTAGTATCATCTTTTGACTCCTCTGTTTTGTCTTCCAGCCGATCAACCAATATATAGCCATGCTCATTCCTCCAAGTTATTGTCTTAAACTTCGTAACGGAAACAAAGCGCGCTAGATTAAGCACTTCTCGCTTCAAATATTCACCTCCCAATGTCAAGCCGGAGAAACAAAATAATTTGGCTCCTTGAGTTATTTCATTTGTAAAGCGATTCTTCAAATGCTTCTTCATCTTCTTCATCTGTTTCCCTTCGCGAATCTTATCCAAGTGAGTCAAGATGCCAATCACACGTGGCATTCCATGGACTGAACATATATTTAAGAACCTAACAATTAGAAGACTAAAAGAGTGCAAAGTAAAGACTCACTCGAAAGTTTCCATTTCAAAACCAAAGCTAGCGTCAATTACAAGCAAAACCAGATCAGCAATCTTTGCTGCGTCGATCATAGATGGAAGTTCTCCACCAACCTATTGGGTATAAAATATAATTAAAGTACAATACGTGTGATAACTCACTTCCAAAAAACTGAGTCTTTTCTTGACACCGCTCAAAACAGTGATTGGTCCAACTATTTGACCGACCTTTTTCTTTGTATAGTGCTTCACGAGACAACGAATAATGGTGGATTTTCCAACACCTTTGGGCCCCATCTATTACAGATATTATCGCAGTTGACCAAGCACAAGTCATCCGACTTACCACTACAACTATACGAGGAGCTTCATGTCCACCGGTGCGGTCGGGAACAGCTAAGTGCGCTCTTAGCATCTCTTTCTCAGCCGATGCCTTTATTTTACGTTGCATGGCCACAGGGCCTGAAACTGCCTTTTTCTCCTTCTTTGGAACATTCGAATGACTAACTGCAAAAGAGTTTATTTCTTGATGGGACTGTACCATGACTTTTTACCTTGCTCAAGGCCCAAAGAACGCAATTTACGTTCTGCTTTGGCAGAAGCCTTTTTTAAAGCCGCCTTCTTTCCAGCTTTTGGCTTGTGATGTGGAACTGAAGTAGTCTCCGATTGCATTGCTCAATACTGAATCGGCCAAATAACTACAAAAATATTTTGAGATGTTGCTATTGCTATACGATATTTTCCACTTTTAGAAAATTACCTCAAAAGAACTTGCCAGTCTTCAAATTACTATAAACATTCTTTTTATGGAATGTATGCCATGCAACAATTCTCGTTCAGGTAAGCAACGAAATGGCTAGTAAAGAAAGGAAGATAAAGCTGCTATCGAGCTATTTTTGACTCTGAAATCGGAGGGAAAGAATCTGCAGCATACAATCGTCAAATTCCTTCAAAAACAGACAATTTTCGATGTACCATCGGAATAGAACAGAAAATAAAATATTGTCATATTTGGATCATTTATCGGAAACGGCATTTAGAAATTGTTATAATGTGCCATCCAAATAGAAGTGGAACTGGTAGTTGAAGGACCGTGTGTATAATAACAAAAATCATAAATGGCAGAAAACTCTTTTGAAATTTCACACGAAAGTTTTATGCTCCCAAGTTCCTCTTCAAAGACTCAAGTGCTTTGGGAAGAGTTGGACCCCAGAGATTTAGAAATAGAAAGACTGAAAAGAACCAACTTTAATCTTCGTTTGCGTGTGTTTCACTTGGAAGGTTGTTTAGGTTTGAACAAAGATAGTGAAAAGGTTCTTGAAAGAGGAAAGAAAGAACAAGAACTTATGGAAGAACTGCAACGGGAAGTTGAGAAGAAAGAAGAACTGCTCCTGAGTGCGCGTGATTTAATTCGTTCTTTGAAGAGCGAACTTACAGAAAGAAACACTAAGCAAGATTCAAAGCACGAGAAGGATCTTTTCGCAGTGGAACAGGTCAAACCTGCAATATTTGGTGTGAGTGATGTTACGCTCAACACGTCAACAGAAAGTGGTCTAAATTTGGATACCAACGATATAATATCTCGCTGTGAGAAGATCATGGAGAAGCTTCGTTACTTTACACTTGGAGAATTTGCAGAAGAATCGAAACGAATATATACGCACTTGAAAGGACAAATATCTGTCCAAGTGGCTTCCAATATCGTCGTACAGTTTTTAGATTTCATAGATCGTCTTTTAGCTTCCATTTTGCAAGGAGAATTTTTGCTTCGACCGAATAATAAGTTAGAGTCACAGCATGTGCAGACAGAACCTACTGTAGCGCTTCCCAACACGTTCATGAGCAACTTGATAAAACTGTTGAAATACCTTGTTGATGTCCGACTACAACTTCAAGGAATTGTTCAGGGAGATGAAACTAGCCAGCCTGTCTTTCCCGAAACTGACGATGCTTTTGTGGGCGATGAAGTCCTGAAGTTGATGTCCAATGAAGTTGTTGATTGGGACCAGATTATCGATCAAATTAAATTGCAGAAGGAAGACTTAACCTTGACTTACGATGCTCTGGAAGAAGCAGAAGGTTTGAGAGATGAAGCTGTCGAAGCTTTGGAGACTACCGAAGTAGAAAGAGATGCAGCAGTTAAACTTATTGAGAATTTGAAAGAACTTGCGTCATCTATTGCATCGAATGATGTGACAGCATCTCAAAGAATTTTAGAAGAAATTGGAGTTGGCTATGATTTCATAGCTATATCGAATGATTGGAAAGCAGATGTTCTGAATGGCGTGAAACAACAGAATGATGCTTATCAGCATCTCGAAGAAGCTGTGGTGAGTTGGAGAAAACGATGGGATTCTTTAACATATGACGATCTTCATGAATTTAATGAGGATGGAAAGTTTACTTGTTTTGTTAAAGAAGAGAAGATGAAGTTAGAACAAAAGGTTTATGATTTGTCACAGTTGTTTAAGGAAGAACAGGAAATGTGGAACAAAAAAATTGAAGCTTTGAAAGAAGAAAGAGACTTGGAGATTATGAGATGCCAACAGCTTGAGGACGAGTCAATGCGAATGATAGAAGAACAAGTTGAGTTACATAAGACGGAAATGGAACAATTACAGAAACAGTTGTATGAAAGAACAAAAACTCAAGAAAACTTAGAGCGAGAATTGGAAGCGACTTGCGACATCATTGAAGATTGTAAATTGAAGACAACAGGTTTCTTGGATATGATGAAAAGGTTAGAGTATGCCTTGTTGTCTTTGGACGAAAATATCCTAGAAAGTATTCAAATAGAATGTACAAATGAGGAAATTCTAAAGAATTCCTTTCAAGTTATTTCACAATTGAAGCAAAGAATAACTTCCACGGACGAAGCCACTCGAAACTTGCTTTATATGTTGAAAGAGCAGGATAGAAAATTTGATGCGAAAGTACAACAACTTGACAGGGGAACTTCAAAATTGGAGTCGAAAGTGTTAGAATGGTCCGACAAAGTTGATTATTTAAGGAAGGAGTTGTTTCAACGGAATCAGAAAGTGGAAGAACAAAGAAAGAAAATTATTCTCTTGGAAGAAGAAGAAAGAGATAGAGAATTTCAATATTATTGTAGAGAGGAAGAGCATAGAAAACAACAAGCTATTATTAAGGAGGAGAAGGAGTCCACTTTGATTGAGTTATCAACCTGTCGTGAAGAGTATCGATTGCTTTATGATGAATGGCTTCAGCTGTGTGAACAAGTTGAAGATGTAACATCTGCATTAGAGCAACATGAAGTTTTCAGTAAACAGTTAGAGGAAGAAAAGGAGAATTTAGAAGTTTCAGTTTTTAAAGTGGACGAAGAAAGAAAGCAAATCGAACACAAGTACAAACATTTGTACTCGTTGCATTTTGAAGTCAGGGAGAGTTTGCTTAGAGAAGTCAAACTCTGGAAAGCACAGTTTTCCAGTTACTGGGAAGATAACGAGATATTTAAAGAAACGATTAGAGCATTTCAGGAAGAAGTCCAAAGTCGTTGGTCAGAGATAGTGTCTGTTTTTCAAGAGCATTACGCGTTGTTATGCAATCGATTGCTTGGCGGAAATGAAGAAGCTTTTCAAGGTTGGAAGCCACTTGAGTTTGAATTTGTCCTTCAAGGAACAAATTTTTTCCCCGAGTTTGTAAAACATCTTGGCTTATTGAGTGCAAATATCCAACTACTTTCTCAAGAGTTGGAATCTAGTGTTGTAGTAAATAATATCAGTTCAGTACCAGAGCGACATTTCATATGCCAGCATGAAGTTACTTTTTCGTTACCTGAGGAAACAGTTCCGGTTGGTAAGTGGTGTTCTTCTTTTGACATTGTTTTCAAACCTAAATACAAACTAAAGACAATAACATAACGGTGACAACAACCACGGATAGAGAAACGCTAAGACAAATGTGCAACTTTATTAGATCTTGGAATATGGAAGGATGGTTCCAAATAATGATGAGACGGCTATTAGAGCTGAAAAGAAAGTTGACAAGACTTGAAGAGAAACAGGAAAGGGCTTTGTCGACTGTAAAACTGCGAGATGTTCGTTATTATAGCTCGACCATGAAAGAGTTTTCCGCTAGTAAGGAACCAAAAATTCGCAGGCGCTTCTCATTTTCACCAGCTACTGGTCAAAAAGTTTCTCCCTTACAGTATCTGCGATGGAAAGAGAGAGAACAGGAAGAAGGGATATTGAGACACATGAGAGATAAGTGGTCGGAATCTCAAAGATATAGAAATATGTAATACAGAAATGTCAAACTTTGACCAATCCGTAAAGTGTTTATAAGATTTGTCAACTTTCTTGGCAACTCCTCAGATTTTTGCTTCGGATGAAATGTCTTGTAACATCTCCTCGTCCGTTTGTGGAGATACCAGATATGTTTGTATTAGAAGACACGAAGCTCCAGCATACGAGATCCTATCGTGCTTTCTTTCTGTATAGTGGGTTCTCTCCTTGTACTTCACTGCCGAAGCCTTTCTCGCAAAGAGCCTTATTGTGCCGTAACATTTCGCTCCGTAGAGATGGTGTGATTCGCCTAGCGCGTATAGCGCTGCTAAGAGAAAGAGTAAAATTTTCTTGTTTGACTGTAAAGTGTCGAGAAAATTTTGAAGTCTTATGGAAGTTTGTTTGCAGAAATGTCACGAACGAGTCGTCATCGTTGCCTGAACGAAATGGGGTTATTAGGGAAGAGACTAGGTCAACTCCAAATAACATATTAAAGAAATTCTCACCACGAGAGTCCGTCAAACTTTTGTACAATGCTAAAGAAGAGACGTTCATTCAAATGTTGCAGAAAGGACAACGACAGAAACAAGAGCAGCCTCTCAGTCAAGAACACAAGGAACAACTGATTTACTTGGCAAAGTTAACGGAAACGAGTAGGAGCAAGCGTACCAAAGCTGTCTATTTTTTGTTTTCGATGTTATTTCTGACAGTTTCCTTATTTTTATCGGCTCAGACAAGACAATATTGTCTATCCCTTTCCAAGTCGGTTGGGTGGATTTGGCTGTTGTTTGATTGGGAAAGGCACTTTGGATCTCTCCTATCCTTTGTAACTCCTCTCCTGCTATTCATTTATACTTTCTTCTTCTCGTTGTCCTTTCGCGATACATATAGGAGATACATTCTGTCTTATTTTCTGGTTTTGTTTGCTCAAGGAATCGCATCGATTTTTTCATTTGTTGGTTTTGGATATATTCGAATATGGATTGAAATTGTATTGTATGGAATTTACATTCCAGTTGTGCTTTGGGCTTGGTCTGACTTGAAAGTTGAGTTGGAAATGGCGCATATCTTAGACAAACGATATTCTTTTTTATTTACTTTTTGGCGTATTCTTAGAACGTGTGCGTGCTTCATCTCAACATTGTCTAGAATACTTTTTATCTCCTTTGTGTGTGGTAGCAAAACTCTCTTGCCTAGGAATGAGACATGGGTGAACTCGCTGAAGTGTATTGTACTTGGGTTCTCTCGTTCTTCTGTTTATGATTGGAAGAGCATAATATTTGCGAGAGTTGGATATGTATTAATCTATTGCTATATCCTTTACAGCTTGCTGTTCTTTACTGTATTTGTGGACTGTGGATCAGAATTTTATTCTAGACATGATATTTCTCCCTTTACTCAACTTTTTCTTTATTTAGGTTTACTTGATAGAGACTTATCCAAAAGAGAAACTCGCAGAAAGAAAGTGGCATGGACAGGCTTCCTTGCTGCCGTCGATAAAAAGTTAGAAAGAATGATTCAGTTCGAGAAATACTCTGTAGATATAAGAGACTCTGCGAATTATCCATTAAAGAACCAAAGTGATGTCTTTTCGTTTATTGCTAATTTTGAAGTGCCTTGGGAAGATGAACCCGAATTACGGGACGAAGTTTTACTACCGTTTCGAGAGTATCTAGATAATGTAGCGCTTGCAATAAAAGCTCGAAATGAAGTGTATCCGAAATCGGACGAGAAGAAGCTATTACCTGGGTCGACTAGAGAATTGGAGAACGCAATGCTATTATTTTCCGAGGCTGTTCCTCCCAATCGTGAACACTATGATGTTGAACGGCTGTATGATGAGCCTGAGGGAAATATTTCCGTAAACTCAGACAAAACGACTTATAGCGATGTAGCAAAATATCAGACTTGATTTTCTTTATATAGAATTAAATACTGAGTAAGTTGGAAATTGGTTCCGGGACCAACAGAGAAATAGGAATTAGAACCATGAAGAATAGATCATTCTTTAGTTTTCACCACATGAGAAATGTGTTTCATAAATGAAATGGGATATCTTCAACAATTAAAAATCGATGGACACCACACAACGATGACACAACTCAACATGAACTTCCCTCCTCCAATGGAATCCCGGCCACGTGCCTACGGCCTCAAGAATCTCCCGCCAACATTGACTGTGTGTCCCAGTATCTATGGGAATTTCATATAACAAAATCCATAGTGACCATTTACAAGAGTTTTTAAATTTGGTAAGTAAGCCTGTCGTTTGACACTGTCGTTTCTTGCAAGATAACTATTATGGCATCCTATCCAACATCAGGTTAGTATTTCATTTCTCTTCAAGGTTGAACATGAATATTGCGTCAGATATCCACTCCTTTTCCTCCCCCTCGGAACAAGACCATCCTTTTGCATATCCATCAGCGCCTCATAGTGAATATACGAATTATCAGTTTCCAGTTGCAAATCAAACTATGAATAGTATGCAACAAGCTGCAATACCAGCAAATCAAGCACAGGCCCCTGCCACGCCACCGACAGTCTATGTGATGCCCCCGTTTCAAGGAAATAACGTGAATGCTCAACAGGCATCTATACAGCAAACACGAAAAGTCGCTGCTGTATCGAGTTCGAACCTCAAGTTTGGCAAAACCCCTCAAACGAGCATTTGTCCAAACTGTGGAGAACAAGTAGTGACCAGAGTCATATTTAAGAACTGCACAGGATGTAAGACGTATCTATTTGGATATGAGCTTTAATCATTGCTATGACAGGTAATTGGTGCATTTTTATCGCACTCTCTTGCATTCCTTGTTGTGTGTTCTGTGAAAAGTGAGTATGACACATTCGGTAAAAAAAAATAGTGCTAATGTCTTCTAGTGGATGCAAATGCGGTTCCATCGCGTATCATTCTTGTTCAAACTGCAGTTACGTAAGTGCAATACCCTTTGCTTTGCTAAGGAGATTTCATCTAACTTTATTCTTTCCTTGAAAACTAGAATCTTGGAAGAGGGGGTGCTCCGTGCTAAGGTGGACTAGAGCCAATGCACGAGATAGTTTTTCTGACGTGCCTCAATTTTAAGCTTGGTGTTCTGCACCCGACGTGTGGAACATATAAAAGGTGAATACGACTGTTTGCTTCTTCAAATAAAATAGTTCTGTTTGCATGCACTGGGAGAGTCAAAGGAAGCTAAAAGGGTTTTCGGCAACCTCCTTTCGGGTCTTCTTTACTTTCAAAACAAAAAGCTTGAAGAACCAACGGAATGCTCACGAATGGACACCTTTGAAAGCAGTTTCTGAGTTCAACCTTACAAAAACTGCGGACAATGTGACCGTTACAACGAAGTTGAGCTCGTCCGGAACCTATAACGAGATATGGTCAACCAACAAAAATAACGGCAGAAACCTTTCACCTTATCCTTCAAAAGATAGAATCCGATGACCATAAGAAAAGCTTGAAATATTGCGTTGTTTACCATTACACTGTAACTGATTGCAGTTCTTTCCAAGAGACGTAAATGATTTTCAACTGCGCTCTGGTATGCCGAGGTTTTTGCCTTGAAAGAGCTCTTAGTTGGAGGCTCTGTCGTTCGATCCAGTTTCGACCACTTGGCATAAGCCGTTTTATGATAAGACACAACCATAAGCAATAAGCCGATGACGGTACCGATAATAAAGGAAACACTTGCGCTAACTACGTTCAAGTGAAATACTGCAAGATACAAGTAGACATCCAACAAAAGTAGTGGCGTTGCCAAAAACATGTACAAAAGATAGGACGAGACTGGGATTTCTTTTGGGAAGGTCTTCAACAACAGATTCTCAACGGCTTCCGTTGACGACATGACGAATACAAGCCTGTTTCCTCCACCCACAATCCCAATGTGACAAACAAATTCTTGACAAGAAAAAAGTTAACTGCTAACATTGACTAGTTCGCAAAGAGACAAAATATTTATTCCAGGATTCCCTTTTCTCTTATCATACTCTTGAGTCCTCTTCCTTCATAGTGATCCTGCAAATTTAGTATTTCTTATGTTCCACACACAGGCAAAAATCTATAGAGTGGTAAGAATTTACTGAAGAGGAATAAGCAAAGACGCTGAATGCTTGTTATTAAAAGAACAGAGCTTGGATAAATTACAAAAGAGTTTTTGATGAAAAAAGTTGCCAAATCTCACACAAGTTCAGCATATTCTCCTAGACCATTTTAGGAATCTGATTTGCAATTGTTGTTGACACATTCAACATTTGGTTGGGTAATAAAGAGTGAAGACATTGTTCCGTTGAGAGGAAACTGGACAGACTTTACAGACCCCTTTCAAGCACGTCACTTTTTTATATATGGACTTTCTTACTAATAATGCTACTCGCAAGAAGGAACACGTCCGATGGCCAGATGAAACTGGGAGTGGTGTGTTAGAAGTAGTCCATCTTATTGAAAGTTTGGAGTATGGCCTTCAAGAAGAAGAAGAAGAAAATATTTCTGAGGAAGACTTGTTAGAGAAAGAAGGAAAGGAAGAACCAAGGTGGGAAAACAACTCAAAAGGTGAAAAGGTAGCTAGGGCCACAAAGTATGCCTTTGCTGCAAGTCTTGGAGGTGAAGCCTTCCCTGGCAAATCTCGATTAGAGGAAATGGTGAGAGAAGATATGTTGAAGAGAGGACCTATACACGAAGAAGTGGGTACCTTGGAAGCAGAAACAGAAGTGTTTGAAGAGTTTGTTTTGAGGCAACCGTCACACGTTTCAAGGTACAAGAGGACTGAGAAGGACGATGTGCATAAAAAGTTAGCGGAAGCGTTGGAAGAACTCTCTATTGTTCGAGATGAATTGATAAGTGCAAATGAGAAAGTTGGCATTCAACAAAAGAGGATATTCGAATACGAAAGTATCTTGAAAGAAAAGGACAATGAAATAAGTGGATATATTAGAGAGATAGAAGAGAAGAATCGTATTATTGAGTTCTTAATACGCAGGAGTGGAGAGTCCGAAAATCTGATGGCTATGGTAAATGGAAGAAGATGGAGCGACTTGTTAGACACCAGAAATAGTTTGACTAGTCGAAGGGATAAAGTTCATCGGGAGCTTATTGACAGTCCACGTTCAGTCGCCTTAATGGGTGGTCACTCACGTCTGGAGGATTTGAGAAATAATACTGTTGGAGCGCCAGTTGTTCCTGTCGTTAAAGCTGCAGAAAGTCGAGATAGTTTCACCAAATCTGCAGTTTTTTCTTCGAAAATTGGTGTTAATAGACTTCAGGAACTTAAACACAAGTGATGTAAAATAAACAAGGATTATTATTGTTTTAGAGAGTTTGTCAAGAGAATATTCCAAGGAGATTATTGTCTCCTGTTCTCTCAGTAAGCTTTTTGTTGAATTATGATAAAAGAGAAAGGAAGTATCGTACTATGAGGACTTGCTTTACGTTGGCATTAATAGAGAAAATTCAACTGTGGTTTGTTGACTGGAGAAGTAGTAGTATACTGCCAGCGTAGCCAAGGCCTTCATATATTGTATCTTATGAGGAGATTTCAGAGTTTTCTGCATCTTCCATAAAAATCAAGCCGTTCAACTTGGAAGAAAAGAGGGTGCAGAAACTAGTGACATATTGACCGAGGTCTCAAATATTGCAAACAGTGCAAACGCCAGTCATTAATAGTTATCAAAGGTTGCGAAAACCATTGTTTTAAAGCAGTTGCACAATCAACTCGAAGAATTGTTTTGGAGAGTGTAGCTAAAATAGGTTTTGAGAGGCACTGTTCGTTAGTGAGATCTAGGGAAAGTCCGTACCCGAAAGTGTCTGGATAGGAGAAGAGTCCACTAACAGTATCACGGAGACGTGAAGAATTGTGACTAAAAGCTTGAAAGATTCGGGAACTCATTTTCTACGAAAAAGAAAAGACGCTTCAACTTAAAAGTGTCGTCAATCATGGCAAAAACTATTATTTGAATTTTGAACATAACGACTTGGGTTTTTATGGTCAAGAAATAGACTCGTGGAAGAGTCAACTGCTTTTTAAATAATATTATATAAGCTAACGAAAACAGGACTGGCTAGTTCCAATCACAGAAAATTTCCTTGTTTCATGCTATAAAGCACTAAGCGTGATTCGCCAAACTTGTGAAAACAACCAAGCTGGACGAAATTCTCTTTCTTTTTTTGTCTGACATAGCCAGTGATGAAGCCTGTATTTGGTTTAGAAACCCAATGACTAAATACTTGAGCAAGCTTTTGTTTGTTTATGGCACAAATGGAAGTTGAGATTGTCAAATAGAAGCTATTGAAATGAGATTATCAGGTTTTGGTATGTTTGGCATAGTATGTGGTCTGCTGTTTCTGTTGCAACTGTTGTGGTCTTGTTTTTTTGCTGCAACACTGCTTGTTTTGCTTGTTCGTTTATTTTGTCGTTTTCTGGGTGAAAAAGGGTTACAGATTTCAGAGTTTGTCCGTAGTTATGCCTTAAAGATGGTGCAGTTGAATATTTTGACATACGCCCAGAAGGTTGCAGGACTTCGAGTTGTCTTATATGGCGATAGAGTACAGGAGGGAGAAGGAAGTTTTCTCGTAATAAGTAATCACCAGAGCTGGCTGGATACAATAATCCTTACACTGGTTCTTATCAAGCAGTATCCAACAGCTCTTTGTCGATATATTGGCAAGAAGTCTATTGGTTACATTCCTATGTTGGGTTGGATGTGCCTTCAAACAGGTGCTTTGGTTAGTTTAAGTCGTAAATGGAGCTACGACAAGGGAAGGTTGGAGCAAGAGTTGAAAAAGCTGCGAGGACTTCGTAGTGATTTCTGGGTTGTGACATACCCTGAGGGTACGAGATTTTCATGGGACAAGAAGGCGGTTTCTTTGGACTACGCAAAGAAGAATGACCTTCCTAGATTGAATAATGTCCTTGTTCCACGGTTCAAGGGCTTCTTCGCTTGTATGCGGTTATTACATTCACGCTTATCTTTCATATACAATGCCACTATCATATATGAAGGAGAAGAAGACGAGAAGGGGGTTTCACGAATTAATCTTGCAAAAATTTTTTTTCTTCAGAGATCTCAGTCTGAAGCCTCACCAAACCAACGACAAGTGTTCCCTGTAGCACACGTATTCTTGGAAAAGATCTCTATAGATCAGGTTCCTTTTGAAGAAAAGTCCTGTAGAGATTTCTTGATGACTATTTTTGAAAATAAGGAGAAACTTATCAAGAGATTCAAAGGGGCCGAGTCATTTGGTGTCAAGTCGCTTACAGCAAATCTTGAGCTTTCTTTCACACAAGTCTTTGAAGGTACATTATTGCTGTGGATTTTTTCCTTGATTGGTTTCTTCATTTTTTGGTTTAGTGCAGTTGAACTGAGAAATTTCATTGCAGTTCAAATGATTCGCTTCTATCCCATTCGAGTATAATACGACAATCGCATTCCTCGGCCAATATTTCTTTTTGGCTGATTAAGACTGGCTTGCTGCTGCATGTTGAATAATGGAGTCTGTTACACGTAAAAGTGTTCTACAGCTAGAGGAAAGACCTGGTGATAGTTCGTCTTCTAGTGATGAAGAAATAAATACTATTGGAAACGTTCCACTCGATTGGTATAAGGACCTATCACATATTGGCTACACACGGGACGGAATAAAGCTATTGAGGCGAAAACGGGTTGGGCCACTCTGTCCTGTTTACGTGAAGAAAGGTTTTTATTATCTTTATGATGAGAAAAACGATGAAGAAATTGCACTTTCAAGGAATGATTTGAAGAGATTGGTGTCCATCGTTCGCTTGCAGAATCCCTCTGGAGCAACAGAAAGTGGCTTTGTCGGGGAAGAAATCGTCTTCTGGACGGGAACACCTCGAATCGAACCGATAAGAAATAGAAATGAACCAAAAAGAAGTTTCTTACCTTCGAGACACGAGGCAGCACAAGTGGTAAAACTGGTTAGAAGTATTCTTAGGAGAAAGCGTATCGAAGAATTGAAAGAACATAAATCAGAGAAAGAGGACTTGTCTATTTGGGAAGAAACGAGCTTTGAACAGGTGGGCCGATCCCACCATTATTTGCCACCTCCAAAGACGCCATTGCCAGGTCATGAGGAAAGTTATCGCCCACCTCCCGAATTTCTTCTAAACGAGGAAGAAAAATCGAAACGGAAGGAAAACAACGAACTCGTTCCAGAAACATATAACTTCTTGCGACATGTTCCTTTGTATACCTCATTAATACGGGAGCATTTTGAACGTTGCTTGGAGCTTTATTGTGCCCCTAGAATGCGTGTGAGACGAAGAAAAATAGATCCGGAAGCACTTTTACCCAAGTTGCCATCTCCAGACACTCTAAGACCATTTCCAGATTCACAAGTGGCTTCTTTTGGTCCACATGCTGGTGCTATTAGGGCTATATCTTTGAATTCAAATGGTCAATGGTTGGCATGTGCTTGTCAAGACGGTTCAGTTTCCATATGGGAAGTGGCAACAGGAATCTGTCGAATTAGGATAGATTTTCAAGAAAAACTGAAGGAAATGTTGGCATCTTTTGAGTCACTATCACAAGCAACAGAGTCCGAAATGGAATCCATGGGTCAATATGAAGACTTGTCAATCTTACACGTTGCTTGGTCTCCAAAAGAAAATGATTTTAAGCTTGCGGTATGTATCAAACATTTTGTTGCTGTTGTCAATGTCGCACATATATTATATCCTGATGAAGCTCAAGATTCTCAATCATTTGGATACTCTGTAGTTGGGGAACCATCCTCAAATTGGAAAGACTGGAAAGACGAGAGAGGAAACTTGGGAAGAATTGCCATTATTGAGCATTCTAGGAAAGTTCAACATGTTCATTGGCATCAAAGGGGTGATTATTTTGTTGTACTTACAAAGAATGCATTCGGATCTAGTCTCGTGGTACATCAATTAAGCAGAAAACGAACCCAATCTCCTTTCTCGAAATCTGCCAAAGGTGTAATCACGGCAGATTTTCATCCGTCCAAGTCATTGTTCTTTATTACAACGAAGCATCATGTTCGAATTTATGATTTGGCACAAGCACAGTTAGTAAACAAGTTAGTGACTGGTATCAGCGAAATTTCGGCGATGAGTGTGCATCCATCAGGAAATCATGTGCTTATAGGCTCAGTTGAAGGGCAGCTTGTTTGGTTCGATTTGGATTTATCCAGTCGTCCATACAAGAGAATAAGGGATCATACCTATACGGTGTCCAGTATTGCGTTTCATCCGACACTTCCTCTTTTTGCTGATGCTTCAGATGATCAAACTGTCGCGGTATTCCACGCCACAGTGTATGAGGATCTTTTACAAAATCCGCTTATTGTTCCTCTTAAAGTATTGAAGCTTCCTCACAATAGTAAAGGAACAGGGGTTTGGAGTATATGTTGGCACCCACAGTTACCTTGGCTGTTCGTGAGTGGTATTGATGAATATGTTCGTTTATATGCAGACACTAGTTGAAGCCTTTCGGGCAACTTTCAACTACTTGTTTTTACCTTTTTGGGTTCGGCAGGGAACAACATAGAGATTTACCAAGGTGGAACGTCCGAACCTACCGTATGCAAAACCAACTCGGACTTATTCGCAGGAACCTTTGCTATACAAGGTCTAATAAATAGTTTTCTATGTTTCTTAGTTTGTTGTCGTGACAAAACTTGAACTTCACAAGAACCACAGTCACCCACACAACAACTAAACAGCAACTCTACGCCAGCTTATTAGAGAAATTTCTGTCAGTAAGACTTTAAACCATTGGGAAGGTTTCCTTTATGACGAACCTCTTTCTGCCACATTATACAGAGGCTCACCAGGCTGTGCTAATACAGACACGCCTTCTGGAAGAAAGGTTATTTTCACTTGGTTTCCGATAGAAAAATTTGCGACACTTCTTAATTGACAAAGTTGTGGTTTTCGAGAAACCATGGCTCTGTTGGTCTTTCTTGTAGTACCAATAACAAGAAAAGAACAACGATACAGCAAATGACTAGAGGTCATGAAAGATCAATTGCCAATGATGCATCTTATATGGAATAGTGATAGATGAATCACGGGAAAGCCAACATTAGTTTCAAGTAGTTTGAATAATATTTGCAAGCGTCTAGAATCAACAGAAGAAGAACATTGCAAACCAATGAGAGATTCTCTACAAGGTTGAGGGAAATCCTTCGTCGTCAATAGGGCGATTGTCATTTGTGCAATGCTTGGTATGGCCTGGACACGATATATTCGAAAGTCACCGTTCCAATATTTATGCAGGAGGTTACTTTCTTATAGTCAAAGTGAAAATAGCTGGCATGGCACAACGATACTTTCTGTTCGCAAGGATGATCAGGTTGCCGTTATTGGCGATGGTCAGGTGACTATGGGCTCTGTGGTGGTAAAACCAAATGCAAGGAAGGTGAGAAGAATTGGGGACGATGTAGTGGCGGGTTTTTCAGGAACAACAGCCGATGCGTTAACTTTATTTGAGAGACTTGAAACCAAGATGGAGGAACATCCTGGTCAATTATTGAGAGCTTGTGTGAGTTTGGCAAAGGATTGGAGAACAGATAGATACTTGAGACGACTGGACGCGTTACTTTTGGTATCTGACGCGAGCATATCTTTGACCTTAACAGGTAATGGTGATGTTCTGGAACCTGAAGGCGGCGTCGTTGGTATAGGTTCAGGAGGTCCGTTTGCGGTCGCAGCTGCACGTTCTCTCCTTCAACACAGTACGCTTAGTGCAGAAGAAATCGCTAAGAATTCCATGAAAATTGCAGCGGACATGTGCATTTACACAAATGCTGAATTTATCGTCGAAATTATCGACACTAGAAAAGGCAGAATCCAGTCTACTGATTCTCGTCCAAAACCCTCAGTTTAGAGAATACCTATGAGATGGAGACAACTGAAAGGTGCTTTTACCACATCCAATATATATATATGTTCTTTTATAAAAGTGAGCAAAATTTGAATAGTCTTTTGTGAATGAATTGTGATATTCAACATGAAACAGCTTTGCCATACGAAATGAAACGGGTCCAGTAGTTGAGCAGTAAAAAGGTGAAAATGATATCCAATCATTCATAACTTCTTAGTTGAGATCTGAATTGGTTGTCTAATGATACAAGCAAAATCAAATTCATACAACTTACGAGATAAATTTTAAATATTCACATGCTCGAATCTGTACTTCAAGATCTTGACTGGTTGTGTACTTCTTGAGAATATCGACTGCCGTAGCAACTGCCTCAGGATGACATTCGATCCATTTCATCAAAAAATTCAAAAACGAACTCTGCAGACTATATAGTTTCTTGTGATAACTGTAATATTTTGTCTCTTTGACTTGCTTGATGTAGAACAAGTACATCACTTACCACATTTGTCTGTATAACAGAGTTATCACATCCACAGCATTACAAGCTCCAGAGGATATCAACAAATAAGAATGCATAGGAAATACCAAGAAAATCAACCGTAAGAGACCAGGTTCCAATAGCGATCCACTATACAACAACTGAGAGAACTAGAAGGATTCCAAGGATGAGATTTCTGAAAACAATCTTATCTCGTTCCTACCTGTTTCATGGATTCACTTTGCAAAGATTTGCTTCCGTGCAGTTGTGTTAAAAATAGGTTTGTGATTTCTCCTGTTTTTGCTTCGTCACATACACTCAATAAGACTACAACTACAGTAAACAGTCTTCAATGAAAATAGTACGTTTAGAAGGAAAGAAGCGAATCGAGAGTTACTGCCTACTTTTCTTCGTTCTGCAAGAAACGCTTAGTAAGGCTAAGACATTTGTCCATAACCAATCTTTGCTGCAAATCCGAAAGTGAAAACATCTTCAAACGTTAAAGCTGTACAGATATACGGAGCTATTCTATTCTTACCGAACAAATGCGCAGGATGTAGTCGAGAACTTGTTCAACATTGTTGGCATTACATACCGAACTTAGTAATTCAACGCTTAAATGAAACCACAAAGGTTCTTCCCGTTCTTTGTCGACACCTTGACTTTGTGAAAATGGTAGTAAAATACTAAAGTTTCTTTGAATGTTTGTCCATGTTTCTGGTAAGAAACTCAGTTCTGTCAAAGCTCGCAAAACTAAAATCACTTCAGCGGTTGCACCTCTTCTATGTACTTCTGATACTTACCAAAATATCTTGTGGTTGGACGAACATCTTCGGAAATGAGGCTCATAATCAATGTTAAACTATGTATAAATAGATCCCGACTAAAGGGTAATTTTGAAACTACTTTCAACGCCTCAAACGAAATAGAAAAGGAAGCATTACGTCTGTTTGAATGGTCGCCATTCCGAATATAGCTCAAGCACTTTAAAAACAGATTGCTGATTAAACTCTTCGATTGCCTATTGAACTCCATGATTGTACTTGCCGGGAAAAGTCCTATTAACTTCCATACATTCGACAGCAAAAAAGGACAAGGAATTTCATAATAAGAGTAACTCGAGGAGTCAAACGAGGAATCCAGCAACCAAATATTTAAAACTTGAAAAAGCCCTGGCAGCAAAAATGAAAATATATTTTGTTGTCCAACTTCTTTGGCTACAAAGATAAGCTTATATAAGAAGGACACAGTGGAAGTCAACAAGCCAGGGTCTTTTTCTGTAAGACACTTTTGCAACATGTGGGCTGCGTCTTGACTGGTTAGAAACTTCCAACCTGTTTCTGTTGAACACAATAACGATAAACAACTAATTGCTCGCTGATATAAATCTCTCGAACACTTTTGCATCAATAAAGGTACGACATTGTCCTAAATATAGACGACTTAAGACCCTAAGAGAAACTCACGGTTGAAAACTTACAATAATTGCTTTGCTATTGGTCTCTGAAGGAGATAGGCTACTCAGTGTAGAAAGTGCTAAAAGTTTTACGTTAGCATCTGAAGCAACCAGATCTGCTTGAAGTATTCGCATAATCCTGTCCTGGGTTGCAGTTTCGGTTCCCAGAAACGTTGGAAAGGTCAAGTATCCAGCCCTTTTCTCCAAATAACTTGTTTTCTCAAGTCAGTGACGACTTTTTCAGAAAAGAGACACTTACTTGGGAGATTTTGCCATAGAAAGACAGTGGTTTTCAAAACTTGAAATGTCATATCCAAGCGTTTGGATGTATAACAGTTTAAGCGTCGACTTTATTCTATCATACGGTTTGCTCTTGGGTTCGGAAAGAATACTTTGAACTTTTTCCAATTCTTTCGTAACTCTTTCTTTCTCCAAGTCGTAAGTTTTGCAGTCTCTTATTTCTGTAACGAAATTGGTAAGGCCTCGATAACTGCCTTGTAACATATGTAGGTTCGGATCCCAATCCTCAAATAATTGTTGTATTGACAATATACGATGTAATGTTGTATGCCACTAGGAACTATTCCAAAGCTTGTTTATCTACGGCTGTATGAAATAAATTCTATGTTTATTCCGAAAATATGAAGATCACATTGAAGCGAATGTCATTCGTTACATGTCGTAGATTTTTCGTCGTTACCAAATGGATTTGCTGGTTGGTTAAGTATCGACACCTTTTCGTTTCTACGCTGTATTCCTTTCTCTTACTTATATCAATAAAGAGTGCATAGTTCACATGCACGAAGAATATTGCAAGGGAACTCGAAGCTCAACGGAACGTTCTCCTTTTGGTAAAAAGCTTTTACCAGTTTACAGCAACGGTCAAGGAGGCGCAGGAGGGCTTTGGGCAGTGTTTTCCGATATTTTAGCAGGTGGAGTTGCAGGTTTTGCTGCAGATTCTGTGGTGCACCCCATAGATACTGTGAAAGCACGATTGCAGTTTCAACAAGGTTCCAACCTCAAATACAGAGGAATGTTGCACGCTTTTACCACCATCATAAAAGAAGAAGGAGTTAGAAAGGGTCTGTATACCGGAGTTGATGCTGTTCTTTTGGGCTCTGTTCCTTCGCATGCTATTACTTTTGGAGTGTATCATCTTGTAAAGCGAACAACGGAACCACGTCTTAAATCAACAGAATTGTTACCTTTGGTTGACTTGGCGGCTGGCGCTCTCAGTGAAGTCGCTGCTTTATCGACATATGTGCCTGCTGAAGTGGCTGCTAAACGAATGCAAACTGCGAAACTTGGGTTTTCAAGAGAGTATGTCTCAGCACTCCATGCTTTTCGTATGATTGTTAGAACGGAAGGGATACGTGGCCTGTATGTAGGATTTTTGCCGACTATGTTGAGGGATGTTCCTTTTACTTCTTTACAATTTGCTTTTTTTGAGCAAGTCAAGATTTTGTGGCGGTCGTTTGCTCATCGTTCAAGTTTAAACAATACAGAAACTTATGTTTCAGGTTCGTTCGCTGGAGGTTTGGCTGCAGCGTTGACCAATCCATTCGATGTCGTAAAAACGAGAATGCAGACTCAACCTGTTGGTAATGACAGAAAATATAAAAGTCTTGTACATTGCTTTTGTCAAATCATGAAAGAAGAAGGTTTTTTAGCATTCTTTAAAGGAGTTGTTCCTCGAGTTGTTTGGATAGCTCCTGCTAGTGGCATTACTTTGGGAGTTTTTGAAGGACTCGTTTCTATCCTGGATAAGGAAAGAAGCCAAGAAAGTGAAGCAGAGCGTCGCGTACGAAACAATTTATCAAATAATGCGATGTGTAAACAGACGGCAGTTATTGATGGTTAATTATTGAAAAATTTTGATGTTTTGTAACGCGTATATCAGTTTATGTAAAGATAGTAAAATTTGTTCTAATTCTGCTCGAATACTGTCATATTTGCACATCTTTAGTTCACCTTGTATCCTTCTAGCAAGCCATTCTCATTAATCGATTAACTTCCAAACTTTGATGGAACAATCTGCATCCAATGCACTCGAAGCTAATAGAGGCTCTCTGGGATGTGCAGACACACATATCACTGTGCCCATATGTCCTTGTAATTTTTGTATAATTTGTCTACTTTGCAAATCCCAAACATAAATATACCCATCTTCGGAACCACTTATAACATAACTATGGGACTGGTCCATAACGACAAAACATGAATAGATTGCATGAAGTCGGTTAACATGACCAGCATAAGTCTTGCAAATTCGACTCGAATAAAAGTCCCATAACCTGATTTTACTGTCCAAAGTTGATGCCAAAATATAACGGCTATTAGGAGAAAACCGTACGTGAGAAGTGGCAGAATGAGAGTCAACAACAAGTGTCTTCAAACACATTCCACTTGCAGTATCCCAAAATCGACAACTTCCATCGTAGCTACTCGAAACAATCAAAGTACCATCTTTACTAAAGTCCACGGCAGTTACTACGTTAGAATGTGCTGGTATAACCTTGAGAGTACGCCCCGTTCTTACATCCCACACTCGGATGGTCTCATCTGTGGATCCTGAAGCAAGAAGATTACAGAGAGGGTTAAAATTAACACAAAATACAGAGTTCTTGTGTCCGCTCCATTTCGCTACCTGCTCGGAGTTGTGAATATCCCAAACTGCGACTGTTTTGTCGTCACTTGCTGTTGCCACGTATCTCGAGTCGCGCGACCAAGAAGCATCAGAGATTCCTAGGTTGTGACCTTGAAATGAGTGAACAAGTTTTCCGGTTGGAACGTCCCATAACTTTCAAGTCTGTTAGCTTCAAACGAAGTAACAGACTCAACACTGTACCTTTACAGCTTTATCAGCTGAACAAGAAGCCAAAAGATTTCCATTGTACGAAAACTTCACGCAAGACACTGCCTTATCGTGCTGAGTCAAAGTATACAAACAAGTTGACAACTTGTCGCTCATTTTAGTGAAAAATAAAAGTGCGCAATCAACCACTTCATGACATTGGAAATCAAAAAAGTTTATTTGAGACCATTTCGTTTCGCAGGCGGTCATCGACTGTATACAATTGATGGTACCAAAGTGCAAGCTTATCTAATCTGACCAAACGAAAGTAATAACAAAACAAAAGAAACTGATTCAACAAAGTAGTCTTCCATATACCAACAGAATTCCAACGTCTTGCGTCCGTCCAGACTTTAACTGGAGCTATCCTTATTCGTCCTTGATGAAGACGCTTCAATCGGCTTATTATTTCCACATCTTCCATAAAAAGTTGACGTGGGAAACCACCCAACTTGTGAAACTTGGTCGAAAACAGGAATAAACCTTGATCTCCAAAAGGCAACTGAAACAGTTTTGACCGTACATTTGCAAAGAACGCAATGAAGGTGAGGGCAAGCTTACGTTCACTATTCCGAAATCCCAAAGAGAAAGCACCTGCAACAGTGTTCGGTTTCAATAAAGTGTCTCTACAAGTGATGAGCTTCTTCAAACACGAAAAGGTTCGTCAAGTACCTGACAGTTTCGTCATAGTGTTTTGGAAGTATTGTATCTCCATGAAGGAAAAGAAATACATTGGAAGAGGCTGCATATCTAACTCCCCAGTTAAACTGAAAAGCTCTACCTCGTTCTGGACTCGAAATAATTCTTATAGGAACCTTAGACTTCGACGCCATCTTCTTCGCAAGGTCTACTGTATTATCCCGACTACCAGCGTCTACAAGAACAACTTCATTGATTGCACAAGGATCCTTAGCTTCATTTATTACACTCTGTAATACTTGTGATATGTTGGCTGCTTCATTTAGAGCAGCAACAATAACAGAAATATGGACTACTGGCAGTGAATGCGAGTTTGCTAAACATTGCAATCTCTTCATCTTTTGATTGCCTGGAACTGATATGCAAAGTTTCTTATTTTCCCATCCACTCACGTGTCGTTGTCACCCTATCTTATCAAGTTTTGTTGAGTTTAGAACAAGACGTCCTTTTTTGGGCAGTTACACATACTCAAAGCCTGTCAGGCTTTGGATGACTTCTGTGAATACAGAAAGGACCGCTCCTTCTGATGGTGAGCAGTCTTTTCCTCAAGTAAAGCAGTTGCTTGAAAGAACAAAGAAGTTAGGAAAACTTAGAATTATTGGTAAGCAGACAAAGTGAAAATATTTCTTTTGCGTAAGTTGATTACTTTGCATCAGTTACCAACGCAGCTTCAGTCATGGAAAGCATATGTACCACTGAAAAACTTTTTTATGCAAAAGGTCCAAACCAATCGACTTATGCCAACTTAATCGACTCAAGTCTCAATCTTGATCTCCATATAAAGTTAGAAGCGCTGGGAGCTGTTCGTTTTGAACAAGGAGTTAGTCGCTCAGCTTCAAAGGCTCCTACTTATATTATCCGTTGGTTGGGCAAAGATCATACAACGGTTGTCTTGAGTATGTTCTTGCAGGGGGACAAAGACCCTTCAGATGTTCCACCTGAAAGTGTTGCGGAGTGGAAACAACTAAAACAAGAATATTGTCAAAATAGCTTGACGTACATTTTCCAGTGATGCTGTACTTTTCTCTTTCATAATAATCTACAATAATAAACATTTTGCTTGAGATTGAAAAGAGATTTCTCAAGGTAATATATGAGGATTGACAGAGTCCAATGCCTTTTGTAGATTTTGCTTACGGGACTGGAAGTCACTGCTTTCAACTGATCTTATTTCGTTGAAGGTTCGGCTCATGGTTTTAGAAAGCGATTCTGTCGAACTTTTTCCATCTGGTTGAACTTCTGAGTCATTTGACAAATATGTCGCACACTTCTCATAAGGAACATAAGTTGGCTCGTCCTCTAAATTGTCATCCATCGAAAAAAATGTTTTGCCCTCTCGAAAACACCATCCAAAGTTAGCTATGACCATATCCTTTAGCTTTTCTATATGTTTTTTCAACGATGCATCAAGTGACGACGTCTCATCAGCAACATCAAAGAGTTTCTCAAGAGAGCCACGAAGAAAGTTGTCAACCGAAAGTTCATCCGTAAAAAGATCACATGGTGCCGCTTCTAGTTGAAAACGAAGGTTCCTAGTGAAAATAGAGAACAAATGTGCACGAGAAAACAACATGTCATCGCAAGAACACAGCAAGTCAGTTAATTTCTTCCACTGTTCCAAACCTGGAAGAGAGAAGAGCAGCATAAATAATATAAAAGAGACTTGTTGTTCACCTAGTAATAAATATTCTTCTCTCCACAAGTATTTGTCCGCATAATCATGTTCTTCACAATCATTTGCCAGATTACGGTAGTGTTCTAACAAAGTATCTAGTCGTTGTGTTGCGTCCATATTAAATTTCGTTATTTCTTCGGGAGTTGAGTGATTGCTTGCTCTTCTTTCCGAAGGTGTGGGAGTAAAAATGGGAGTTCTGACAGTATTCGAAGTGTAACCAGCAACACTATTGCTGTCGTTTGCCAAACTTCCATAAAGTTCGTCAACTTGTCCTGGCTGAACTTGGGAAAAGACTTTCAGGTTCAACTTGTGCAACAATTCTTTTGTTAAATAGCTGGACTGACGCTTCCACTCTCTGTCAGCTTCAGGTGGTACAAGGGCCAGGTGAACGTTGAACTGGGACTGACGCCACAATTCTGTGTTATCAACTATCTAAACATAGGTCAACGCTTTTCAAAAATACTAATTCTGATAGATACCTCCACTAACCGGAAGCACTCCTCATCGGAGTCCCAACCAAATATAATCAGTTGACGAGAGAAAGCTTCAAAAAATATGCCGGAACGCATGACGTTACTTGTGGAAAAATATAAGAAATGAATGCCTGGAGAGACACCTTTAAAGCCCTCAAAGTTTTCAGGAACTTCAAAAGTTCTCCAATCGAAGCCTATCTCCAGGTATGGAGGAGTTCGTAAACAAAGTACAACTGCACTAGTAGCTATTCGAGCCTGCATGTGGAATGGACCAATTTCTCACAACACATTTATGCAAGTCCAACCGGATCATAGTCTTCATGGTGGACAATTCTCTCCTCTTCTTCATAGTTATCATATTTTGTCTCGTTGGAATCCAAGACCTTGGTTAATATTCTTACTTTATACAATCGATCGGGTCATTGCTGCCTTCTGTCTCAGTATATCGGACTGTGACGAAACTTTTAACTATTGGGAGCCCTTACACTTCATATTATACGGCTTTGGTTTTCAAACCTGGGAATACAGTCCAGAGTTTAGGTTGCGTTCTTATGCGTATCTCTTGATTTATGCCTTGTTTGGCAAGTTATTTGCTCTTTTTGTCTCCAAAGAAAACAAAGTAGCGCAATTCTTTTTCATTCGAATACTTATTGGAATATTCGACGCCGTTAGCGAAACTTTTCTTTACAGAAGTCTTTCAAAGAAATTCGGAAGTTCAACGTCTCTGTTGTTTTTCCTGTTTTCTTTGCTAAGTCCTGGTCTTTTTATATCTACAACCTCCATTCTGCCGAGTAGTTTTTCGTTAATACTGTTCAACTTTGCTTTGTCTTATTGGATCTCTGAAAAATGGGTTAAGGCTGTTGTCTTCGTATCTATTGCTGCGTTGTGGGGTTGGCCTTTTGTTGCTGTATTAGGTATTCCATTGGCTCTTTATATCGCATACTTGAAAGGAATCGGATATATGTGCAAAATAACTTTTTTATTAGCGATTTTCAACTTGTTGCCGTTATTTCTCGTCGATAGTTATTTCTATGGAAAACCTAGCGTCACGCCATTACAGTTGATTCTCTACAATGTCTTCCCAAAGAAAGGAAAAGGATCAGAAATATTTGGTGTAGAGCCGTGGTATTACTATATTTTGAATTTATTCTTGAACTTTAATATTGTTTTTTTGCTGTCTCTCGTTTTCATGCCAGTTTTCCTTTTAATATTTCCATTGTCAAAATTCAAGATAAGTTTCTTATGGAACAACAGACAACAATGGATGGAGTCTTTATGGTATTGCAGTCCACTTTACCTTTGGTCGATGATATATCTAAGCCAACCTCATAAAGAAGAGAGATTTTTCTTCCCAGTATACTCATTGATTTGTCTTTCTGGTGCCATATGCTTGCATTCCTTGCAAAGAGTTTTGCAGCTTCTTGAACAGTGGTTTAATAGTAAGAAAATTTTGCCTAACTCTTCGATGAAGAAAAGTAAGCTTTTGATTGGAGAGAGATTGATTGTATGTTTCCTATTCTTATTCATCTGCTTGAGTTTGGGTCGTATTATTATACTGGTACGAGGCTATCAAGCTCCATTAAATGTCTATAAAGAATTTTCGAGAAGAGAGCTTCAGAAAGACTTTCATTCGTCAAGAGAATACAATCTATGCATTGGCAAAGAATGGTACAGATTTATGTCTCATTTTTTCATTCCGAAGAGGCAAATTAGAGTGAGGTGGATACCTTGTGGTTTTGATGGTATTCTTCCCCAGTACTTTGATGAGAGTGGAATTCCAAAAGGTAAACTCTTTTCATGCTCTTTATTCAGAAACTCAAGTTTATAAAAAAAGGAACACGTACGATTCCTCTCAGTATGAATGATGAAAACAGAGCCGTACCTGAACAGTTTTTCTATTCATTGAATGCTTGTGACTATTTGATAGACTGGGAAAGTTTTTTCGATGAACCAAATGAAGTACGTTTATATTAATTTGTTGTTTGACATGTTCCGAACTCTGAACTTTTTTTCAAGTTATCAAAGGGTTTACGTCCTATCTTATCTGAACCATTTCTAGATAACCGTCTTACTTCAAGATCCTTTCGTGTCTTTTACATTCCTTTTATTTCTAGCAGAGCAGTGTACGGTCGTTACGTTTTGTACATTTTGAATGGCTTTCAAAATTCGACTACATGAGTTTCTGATGGAAGGTGAATTGAATCCTTGTTGGATTATGAATATACAGATTTATAGTTTTTAAATTTTTAGTCATATAAAAAGTGTATTTGTAAAAGTTACGATTATTTTGGTCGTTTCACCATGTTTCATTGTCGTGAAAGATTCTGTCCTTATAATTTAACCACAATAGAATAAGCGAGTTTGGTCTTTCGCCACCACTAGAGCTGAAATATTTCTTTTTCGAAATGGATACGGCTTGTTGCGGTTAGAGTATCATGATACAGCTTTCTGTTCCTTGTTTGAGTTTATTGTATACCATTCATTTCACTGAAAGGTCGTGGTTTGTACATCCCAAGTGTATAAACAAAATATCGTTTGCAAAGGAAAGCACATTTCTTGTTCGTTTTCGGTAATAGTTGAATACTTCGGCTTCATGATGTAATATGACTTTTTGTATTTCTACGAAGTACTCTATTTGCAAATCAGAAGGATGCATTTTTCCACTTTTATTATGGTCAAAAATGATGTGATAATTTTTAGCTGCTGAAATAGATGGTTAGAAAATCCCTTGTTCTCATATAATAATGGGTGGTAACAGAAGTTATGCAAAATTACTAGAGTCGAATTTTGAAGTGTACATAAAAGTCATGACATTGCACTTAACAGTCTCTACCATTGAAGAAATACTTCTCTTTGAGAAACAAACCAATTGAATTTGCAACAATAGGGTAACGATCAACGACTTCAGGTTGCAGAAAGCAGTGGCTAAAAATTATTGATGAAATGATTTGATAGGTATACAAGCAAATGACATTGCATCAAGAATGAATATCTTTACGAATCTAGTTATAATGTTTTGCAAGTAATGAAACATATTACTCGACTGGACAAGTCAACCGCTCATTTCCTTGCAAAAAGGAAAGACATAGCAAGTAATTACGGCGTACTGAACAAGGATTCTGAAATGCTCGAATGTATTCCTTAAGCAACTATTTATCTGAAAGCTACTCTAAGATAGAGTTGAGCTGCAAGCATTATTAAGTCGGATACATTTGAGTCACGATTATATACTGTAAGAGAAAGGTTTCGTTGTATTTTGTTCCGATATTCAGAAAACTCCATATATCGAATCGAATTGCAACCGAACAAACGGGTTCTCTGATTATAGAAGGGGTCCCTTCATAGTTGTCAACCAATTCTGACAGAAAATAAAGTTGTTTTAAAGTTTCAAATGCACACACACAGGGAGAGAACGAAAATCTCAGTGAGGACGCGCTTACACGAAAAAAAAATTCTAATCGCTCTGAAAAGATTCGATGATGGCGTCGTCAATGCGGGATTTTACTCCGGATCGACCAAAAGCAGTTCGATAGATGAGTCAAGTCTCTTCGAGTTCTGAGACCCAATATTACACAGAGCAGGAAGTGAAACTCGCACAGTCTGGAAGAGAAGAGAAGAATAGAGGCAAGGTTTTTGTTGGAGGTCTCTCCTGGGAAACCGGAGAGGACTCACTTCGAGCATATTTTGAAGGCTATGGGGAAGTTGCAGACTGTGTCATAATGCGTGATAAATATACTGGTCATCCTAGAGGGTTCGGTTTCGTCACTTTTCAGGACGACTCAGTTGCAGACCTAGTTGCTAGCCTCTCACACATACTGGACGGAAGACAGGTAACTTAGGTTTCTGCTTCTTTTTGCCCTTTAGGACTTACGGTAGTGTTGAAGGTTGAAGCTAAGAAAGCTGTCCCGAAAGCTGAGGTGTCAACCAAGAATGAGACAACAAAGACAACAAAGAAACTTTTTGTTGGTGGGATTTCTTCGTCCTGTTCTGATGAAGACTTTCTCGTTTATTTTCAGAAGTTTGGAGCAGTGTTGGATGCACATATTATGTATGACCATCAAACGGGGAAATCCCGTGGTTTTGGTTTTATTACTTTTTGCAGTGTTGAAGCAGTAGATAAAGTGTTCCAAACTCCACGCCACGTTATAAAAGGCAAGGTTGTGGAAGTAAAGGTAGCTGAGCCGAAACACCAGTCAGTTGAAAGTCGAAAGGTGAAGGAAAGTGAGTCAGGGACTGGTTACAATTCTGCAGTCGGCAAACCAGAGTCGTTCAAACCTGCAAAGTCACCCTATCAGTGTTCGGAAGCTTGTACATACGGCCCTTTTGTAAATTCCTTTGTGTTTGATCCTTCTTTAGCTTCATATTATGCACAGTTTTATGGGGGTACGCCGTTGATTTGGCAGCAATATGCAGCAACTGCGTCAGCAGCTGCGGCGGCAGGTTTAGGTTACTTTTCACCGACAAGTAGTTTAGGAGGAGAATTGATAGCCTTCAACTTTCAGCAGTATCCTGGAGACTATGTAAGCAATAGCAATGTTTCACGAGAAAAGTCAAAAGGTGGGTTATATTTGTCTCATTTTATTGAAATTTGCTTTAGCTTTTTTCAAGGAACAGTATTGAATCCGCGGCAACACTCATTAACACATGATTTTCGTCATCGTCGGTACGAAATGTAATGAACTTGCTTGCCTATATCGTACTTTTCATACTTATTGCAGAATATTCGTTTAAGATGTTTCTCTATATTTTGCAAATTGCATTAGGAGTCTCAGAAAGACGTGTCATGTTTTTTGTACATTTTGACATATTAAATTTTACACTCTGTATAAAGTATGGCTATCTTATTTCTCAGTTTTGTCAATGCCGGTGTAGCAGTTTAACGGGGTTCTTGCCTCACTTTGGACACGACGTATTTTTGGTATTCGTAAACCTGAAGATGCAGATGTAACACGCATAAGCGGTCCTTCACTGGATCTAACACGTCGCATCGTGGCCTGGAAACGCTTACTTCCAAAGCCATAGAAAATTCCATATCCTGGTATTGCTCCATAAGTGGGCAAAAATACTTCTGAAGGAGAGGTTCTGATTCGTGAGCGTGAACGTGGAACCAACAAAGGCACGTTTTCTTCTTCAAGTGTTGGTTCGGAAAACCCACTTCTCCCTCCTCCTAACCCTGCTTTCGATCGCACTCTGGATCGAACGGTTCTATATCGATCTTCAACCTGTTCATCTTCTTCTTTTTCTTCCTCTTGCCGTTCCTCATCTTCCTCTTCTGTCTCAATTTCTTTTGGAAGTGTTAAGTTAACCACAAAAAATGCCGCAAGAATAGCTGAAAATCCACCCAGTACAAGAGCTGCATTGAGGTTGCCACCAAACATTTTCAAGACTGCACCTACACTGAGAGCTACTAGTAGTTGCGGTATGACTATGAAAATATTTAATACACCAAGGAATAATCCTTTTGCGTCCGGATCAGCCAAACGAGCAACAATAGCATATGGCAATGAGAGCGTTGCAGCCCATGGTATTCCAGTACTAGAGACAAGCAACATGGCAAAGATTTTTCTCCAAGTAACAGGTAAGTAAGTAATACCAACGGCAACCAGCAAAGTCATAGCCAGATCAATTTGAGTAAACAAATAAACTGCTCTCAAACTTGTTAAGCCTATAACGACAGGTAGCAGTGCAGAAAACAATAGCGAGACGACAGATTGGACTGCCATACTCTAATAATTTCAGTGAGACAAATAAACTGTTTTAAGCTATGGCGCTTACCAAACTGAAAGCCTTGACGCCTGCCTCAAAAGCGTGAAGACGCTTGAAGGCCTCTTCACTATATTCTGGATATGCAGTAGGCTTTCCACCGAAAATATTCTCACCCATCCAACTACTTGCGTTGATCTGAAAAGCAAAGAATGCAATCCAACTAAAAAATTGGACATACATCACGCCTTCCATAGGCTTCGGCATGTCCGCAAAAGCACGAAGAATCTACCTTTTATGAGCAAAGTAAGAAAACACGTGAATCTACATACTTCTGTTAGAACAGTTGGCCTTTTCCCCGTATCTATACTTTGTCGTCTCCCCGAGTCTCCCATAAATTCTAAAGGATCTTTGGCCAATGGTTTCTCATTCGCACATAGTAGAGTTGTCAGACAAGTAGGAACGAGAACTGCCACGGCAATGATGAAAACACTGTTAAGGTCACTCCAACCCAAAGGTATCCAAGAATATATGGCGGGAAATCCACCCACAACGTAACCCCCTTGAAGAAAACTTCAACCCACCGCAAGCAGCATTTGCTATCGCTCTTACCTAAATTACCTACTCCCATCCAAAACGAAGTCAACGCGTTGGCCAATTCTTGCTGCTCTGGAGGTGCTAAATCTGCAAGAAGAGTTCTTCCTGGAGCCTACACAAACCTTATCTACCTAAAACTTTAAAAATATACTCTCTAAACTACCTGTATCGCATTGTTTGACAAATCTATGATCCAAAAACCGATAATCGAAATAACAAGAGCTCCTCGTGGGGCGCTCCTGGAAGAGTCTCCAAAAAGTTTCCCAATATTCTTCGAGTTCGCAACTAACAAAAGTCCACAGACCATGCATAACATTCCAGCAAACAAAAAAGGTCGTCTCCTTCCAAAGCGCGACGTGCAGCGATCTGAGTATGCGCCAATGGTGGGTTGTACTATTAAGCCACTTATTGGACCAGCTACCCACAGGAAGTTCTACCTGTGGTTTAGCAAAAAAATCACAAAAACATTGAAAATAAACTTACAGCCCATTCCTTTTCTAAACCCAACTCTAGGAAGTGTGGAGTCATGTACGTAAACTGACACGCCCAGCTAAAGGCCTGTCCTGCCGTACAAATGGTCAATAAAAGTAATCTTCTCAAGGTTAAAGGCTGGAGAGTCTCTTCATCTTCTGATGAGGAATTATTGTCGAGCTGTTCTGTCCTTTCTTCCACCTTAAAAAGGTCTTTATTGAGGTTCTTCATCTCTTCTCGAGCCTGAGGCTCTTCTTAATCGTGCGCCAGTAACACAGTTGAGGAGTCAAATTGCTTCAGTTCGAGATGAGAACATTTTTCATTTTTGCTCTGGGAAGTTTTTTCAACATATAGTTTTATAACTTCAATGAACAGGAAGTTATGTTTCGAGTGTTCATCAGTTGCAAGGTTTAGAGCATTATTTTTTCTTACGGTCGTTGTTGCTTCAGGTAGTATATGTGCTCTTTCTCTGGAGCTTTTTTCCACCTGTGAATTAAAAGAAGATTCCTTTCGTGTTTCTATTTTAGCCATAAAAAGTTGGCTATCTCTTATGTCAGTTCAGAGAGTTACTCTTTTCCAAGAAAGTTATGACAGCTGTGCACGTCTTTTCCCTTTTTTTGAGGATTCAAAGTTTCGCTGTGTTGCTTTGAACGAATCAAAAGACAGTTATAGCCTACAAATGAATCATCTGTTCGACGCTGCAAAGCAACATACTGTCTCAAAGTATGTGGGGTACATAAATTGTGATATTGCAGTCTTCTCTGAATTCGATCACGCTCTTCAAAATATTTTGTATTCTGATGGAGGTTCAAAGAAAGCAATCGTTGGTAGAAGAAAAGATGTTTCAATTTCAAATATTTCTTTGGATTCCTTAATGAAAAATATTTCAATTGTTCGGGAATATGCACAGAGGCATGGCCATCATCACGGAAGTTTCGGGAAGGACTACTTTATTTTTCCTCGCGAGTTCTTAAGGGATTTTCCACCGTTTCTTATTGGAAGGCCTAAATGGGATGATTGGTTTCTTACAAAATTGCTACTTCAGGAACCACGTGACTTATCCATATACAGATTGGACGATAGTATTCCAGTGGTTCATATGCAAATCGATGAGAACAGTTGGAGTCATGAGAAGCTTGGCGCCCTTGAGAATGAAGAGCTTTTTAAACAAATTTGGACTTGCCAGCCAATATCCGATATATTGAATGTTGAAACAGTGGTTGTCCCTGCAAATGGCTCTGAGAGAGATTCGTTTCAGATGGTAGAAAGCATTCCAAACACTCCATTACAACTACTTTTTGCAAGAAAAAGCCAGTGTAATGAGACACTATATTTATATGAAGACCTTTCCTTTGGTTCAGAGTTTGCACTGTCCTTCAGAAAGATAATCGAAAGTTGTAAGCGATGTATTCATATCGTGCATACAATGACTGCTTGCATATACTGTCGAAGATACGCGTCAGCCTGCATTTGTATGCATGAATCGGAAACGAGTATGCAACAGTACTTTCAAAGGGATTTGCCTCTTATGAATCAACAGGTGCAACAGATAGAGTTATTACGTCGTCGATTCTATATTCTTTCAACAGCTGTTGAAAACGGCTATAAAGTCAATTATCAGATAGGAGCGAAAATTCCTAGAAGTAGCCTCGTTATTTTAGGTAGCCACCCTGAAGACATGGCATATACAAAAGGCTTTTTGGAGGCAATTAGTGGTACCTACGAGTTTCCTCCTAGTAGTTATGAATTTATAACGCTAAAGCCTTCTTACGCTGCAAGAGAATTTCTGACAATATTACATATTTGCATTTTAAAGTTCACAACAACAAGTAATTGGGAGGAAGTACAAATGAAACTGTCTTCAAAGAATGGGCGTAGAACACATTCATTCCAGAAGTGCGTAGAAAGTCTCGGAATCCGGTCGAGAGATTAACCCTTAAGATTATTGGGAGATATTTAGCTCAAAGAAATTGGTTGACGTCGAGTTGAGAACTTGTTCTTAAAGGCAACGTAGCATTCATGTCTGAAACTGTAAACTCCAATTCAGAGGAGGTTTCTCTGTTTAATGAATCTCCTCCAGAGATCTTTGAAATGGAGGAAGAAAACAGTACGACCATATATGCTCAATCTATGGACACCGAGTCTAGTTCAAGTGAAGTGAACACAAGAAGCTCAACCTTGACTTTAGAAAGGAAACTACAAAAGTACAAGTTTCTGAAGCGACCAACTAGGCAACCACATTTTACGGAAGAAGAAGTAACGAGGGCGTCACTACTATATGAGGGATAGCAAGTGTGCGTGAGACCAAGGATTTTCGGTTGGCGACTTAGGAACTAGCTGGCAAGTGAAAGTTTTCAAGTTTGTCGAAAATAAAAAGCGATAAAGCATAAAAGTCAAAACACACATCTTTGCTTCTTGTAGAGTCCCTCTTTACTATGCACAAGCTACAACAAAACAATGCCAACTACACCAGTTAAACCCGTCGCTTCTGCTTATGTGATCTATTAAGGTATTTAAGACATAAAAAGGCGAAATATCGAAATGCAATTCCATAAGCCAAAACTATCGCGATATTGCCTCCTCGTCCTATATTGCTTATCACACCTCGCATCGAGTAAATGTCTTGCGCAGTCATTGGACAACTCAGACCAGAACTTGTAACACCTGAAGTATTTCCAGGTGGACAAGGGAAATATTCCCCTTCAAACTGATTAAGCATAAAAGAATCGTATATATAGTGAATGAATGACAGATATTGAATCCACCGTATCCAAACAGGCATCTGACTGTCATTGACGTAGAAGCCTCCGGTTAACATGCTTCATCACTTTTAATACTGAACAGTCTAAATAAAGTGCATGCTCACCTTGTCAACATAAATACTGCTGCAAGTGTCTGAGACTTTCGGAAGTCCATGAAGACTGCGGCGATGAAGAGACCAATGGACTGTGCAGTGAAAACAGTTATCCCAACAAAAATCAAGAAAAGAATGAAACGACTGGCTTGGGGATTCAAATTCAACATCCTACAACAAAAATTTGAGCAAAAACAAATGAATAGGACAAAAAACTTACCAGTATATATAAACGCTAAAAAAGAAGGGATAGATCAAATCCAAAGGTACTTCCACTAGCGCTTTCCCAAGAAAGTATGCAGAAAGCCTAAGACATTCAGTTTTCACTCATACTTGAACCTTTTATCTTACCTGTATGCACCGGAAGCCCGCTCCTTTGAGAGAACGGGCTTTTCTGTTGGTAAAGTCGTCAAGGCTTGGAACATGGTAAAGAATCCCCAAAATAATCCAGCAAAGAAGAGAGCACCCATAAGGTCCATTAAATAGTTGATATCGTGAGGGATTCGGAACCAAATAAACGAAACTATTAGTGCAACAAACACAACCCTGAAAAATTGTAAGCTTCTCAAATAATTTTCCCTTCTTCTGAAGATATGCTCTCCAAGCAAGGACACGAAGTTGATCAAGGAAGGTTGTCGGATATTTCCCACTTTCAGGGGAGGTGTCAAACTCGGAACGTACATCTGCGACATAATCTTTCACTACTTGACCAAACGTCCTATGCTGTTCCGCTTCTGCTAGTTGCAATTCGTGCTTCTCCTCAGATACCTTGTAGTCGAGATCAGCATCCAATTCATACCCTTTCCAGGCATCTATTAGTTTTTGCCTTATGGGTTCACTTTGACCGAAATCTTCATTTGTCAACAGAGCAATAAAGTAATCCGCAGGATTGAAGCCGTAAGGACATTCATAACCCAGACGACTAAAGTAACTGACTGCCTCTTTCGCAGGACCATAGTACACTGTTTGTCCACTCGCAAGTAACAACAACTTATCAAACTCCGCAAACATCATTGAATTAGGTTGATGAATTGTGGTTATGACAGTACGCCCTTCACTAGCTAGCTCCTTTAAGAGTCGAACAACTGTCAGGGCTGTATTTGAGTCAAGACCCGAAGTAGGTTCGTCCAAAATAAGAATCGATGGTTCCACTAAGAGCACGTCGGCAATATTGGTTCGCTTCCGTTCACCTCCGCTGATTCCTTTTCTGAATTGATCACCAATAATCGTATTTTGGCAACGGAGAAGTCCCAGTCTCTGAAGAATGTAATCTACTCGCTCCATTTTCTGTTTATGTGGGACGTCCCTTGGTAAACGCAATCGTGCCGTTATTTCTAAGGTTTGTCTAACTGTCAGGTTGGTGAAGAAAACATCGTCCTGCATGACATAGCCAATTTTTCTTCTAGTATCAGCTACTCTGGGTTTCCCGTCAAACAGTATGGACCCCTCTGGAACAAAATTAGCTCTTCCAGCAAGGGCATTGAGCAAAGTTGTCTTTCCTCCGCCGCTACAAAAAGGGGTTTAATGCTCTGTGTGAGAATAAAGAGCTAACCTACCTTGGTCCCATTACAGCCAGTAACTCTCCTGGTCGTACAAGCCCAGAGACATTTTTTAAGATTGTAAACTTCTTGGACTCTTGTGTTTCAGTCTTCTGAAAGGGATTCCAGCTTCTCTTCCCTGGGAACGCCACTGAGTAGTTTACGTTATGCCACTCAAGTACCATCTTCAAAACAATTACGAAAAGCAACTTAACAAAGACAAAAGGAACAAACCTGTCTTCTATAGGGACTCCACTTTGAGGATTGTCTTTCGGAACTCATGTTCTTGGCCTCGTTATCTCCAGCTTCTCCATTGTCTACTACGACACTTTTCAAGTGTTTCTCGACGTTAACTGAGTTCTCTCCTCCGGAACCTTCTCCTCTCCCTTCACCGTGGCCCATCTTCGCCAGTCAAAATGTCTCAACCTAAAACTCAAATAAAAAAATACTTTTAAAGAAGAATGAGCGGTGAAAAATTGCCCGTATTTACACCAGAGGACACCCACAAGGACATTACAGGGAAAATGGGAAGACTCTTCTCATTCTTTGAGTCTACACGACATTTTTCAATATGGCGGCAGAATGTTGTGTGGCCTTGACCAAGCTTGCTGCCATCAACTAGAGCACAAGGTCTACAGGATACGGCACAGTCATTTCGACAATGAAAAGGATTTGCATTTCTATCTTTTACTATTATCTTCGTTGTTGGCGTGACCGGAGAATGGTGAGTGTTCTATTTAAGCAGAATTGTACATTGAAACAAAAATCAGCTGTTCATTGCTAAAAAACTTCATTGGTCTTTTCGTCTGCGTATAATGTGTACTATGGAGAGATTTCTACTATAAGTAAAACGTTTTAACAATGAATAATGACTGTTATTTTATAATGTTATCATTCTTAGCGAAACATCGTCTAAGTTACATAATGTGTGCAATGATATCAACCCTATGGCGAGTTTCCTCAAGAACTCTCTCTCTCTCTCTCTCTAGGTCCAAGAATATTTAGAAGAACCTTTAAAATGCTTATGTTTTGTCTTGGTATGACACTTTTCGGGTTAATAATTTCATCTGGCGGTTTATTTCTGGGATAATTTGGGTTTAGAAAAACGAAAAGCGTGACTCCAACAGAATCGTAGTCTTCAGAGCCATCTATTATCGACTCGAATTCTTCTATCGAGGGTAAATGATTCGGAATATGCAAGACTAGCTGCAATTGAACTTTCATAGTCGCAACAATTTTTCAGACTTGACTTGGAACGCCTCATTGCTAGTATGTTACAAATAAGGTTATTTCGAAACTTATTTACAAGTGCGTTTATCAAGAGACAATAAATGCCCCTGAATAACTAGTCTGAACTAAATTTCTTCAGAGCGCCTCTACAAAGGGTGCTACGCAGACAAACTATTAAAACACTATGCATATCATTCGAATTTCACTCTGGATTCTGCTTCTTCAGATCCCAAGCGACTACTTGCTACACAGCAAAAACGGAAAAACTTTAAAAATCTGTAACTCGACAATTTTTAGACCAGTCACCAAACCTTCCATTTCAAAACTTTACAAGCCTTCAAAACAAAGAGGCCACTTACTTTGTTGGTTCATACCCTCTAGGACCGCCCCACTCTGGTCCATTAGGTGCGTCGTGATTCCACATTTCAACGGTCTCGTCATCAACCTCTGTCGAACCCTCTGACTGCTTCAGGGAGATATTTTCTCCGTCAAAATTTTCCTGCTCTTCTTTCTGTCTGCCAGGTTTCTTTGGGTCACTTGACCCTTGAAACCTCATTTGGAGAACTGTGAGACGACGACTGTTCGAAGAAGAGATCAGCAACAGACTCCTCCCCAATGGCAACATTTCAAGTTTGATTGTAATAACAATGTACGGGCAAAGTCGTTGAAGCACAATGCGTCAACGCCGAGTCAGCCCTTCTGAAAACTTTAAGAGAGAGACTCCTAAGGAGCCCAAAAACGAGCTGAGTTTTTTAATTCCTAGTATTCATCTGTGCCTCAGAACTCGATGTTTCGATAGGTTTTTGATCCGACTTGATAGGAGTACGAACTTTTTAGAAAGCTACTCGACGAATCTTTTGAAAAACAACTTGAAAAGCCAAGGATCCTTCAGTCGTTCTTCAGAAAAATTTTTTGAATCTGGAAGTAGCTGTAACCGGAGAATTGGAAGGAGAGGTGGATCAGTTGTTCTTGTATGGTACAGGCAAAGTCTGAACAATGCCCAAGCTTTAAAGGATGCGAAGACAAGGTTTCCTTTGTCAAAGGTTTTCCTGATAGTTTTTGGAGATCATAAAAAATTTATTTTGAGTGGAATCTCAAAGAGCATGCTGAAGGATACAATTTTCTTCACCAGCAGTGGTTGTTCCTTTCTCGATGTCCCCTTTGCAGCACATACTCTCCGTGCTAGGCACGTATTTGCCGCTGCATGTTGCGACATTTTGGATGTGGAGTTATACAAAGTCCGTCATTTATGTTTTGGCCATGGAATCTACCTTCATGTCTCGACTGGTAGTTATTCGGCAAGATCTCTCTTGATGTGTGTCGCTCTTCTCTTGGACTCTCGGTCAAGGCTGTCAGCCTTTGCGGATTCTTCATCCACGATTTGGGAAAGAAACTTGAGGAGGGGGTCTATCGTTCCTTATCAGTTTTCAGATGATATGATACAAGAAGGAAGATTTAAAGATGATAGACCGATATTTGAGAAGTTGATTGACTGGCTTTCCCGCGTTTATCTACCAGATGGATATCCAAATAGTGTTACAAAGGATTATTTAAGTTATTCTATTTGGAGAGCCATTCAGAATCTGGCTGCATCTGTAATGGGTGTCTTCGCTACAGAAGCACTATTATTTGGTTTAGGTTTAGGTCGAAAGAGCACTCCAGCCACTTCAGCAGCGATTTCTTGGGTTTTGAAAGATGGTTTGGGATATATTGGGAAGGTATTTTATGGATCAATTGCTGGGAATCAGTTTGATGTGGACCCAAAAAGTTGGAGACTGGCAGCAGATGCAGTTGAAGACGCAGGTGGCGTATTGGAAATTATAACTCCTTTGTTCCCAGGTCACTTCCTTCTATTAGCAAGTGTTGCGAATGCAATGAAAGGTGTAGCTGCGATGACCGTAAGCATTTATAGTTTCTCGAATAGTTCACTGAAAAAATCGTTAAAGGGCACTGCAACGAGACATGCAATTTATAAGAGTCTTGCACTTCATGAGAATCAGGGAGATATTGCCACTAAAGGAGAAAGCCAAGGTGTCACGTGCAAAATGGTAATGACAACTTATTGTGGCCTTCGAAGTTGGAAATGAAATATAGATAGGTTGGACTCGGTTTGGGTATAGTTGCGTCTTCCAAGATGGGTCAAAATTACTTTGCGCTGCTTAGCGCTTATGCCTTGGGTTGTTTTGTTCACCTTTTTGCGAACTGGAAGTCTTTGAGTTGTGTCCAATTCGCGACACTCAATCGACAGCGTTGCTCACTAGCTCTACAAGAATTTCTACAAACAGGAAACGTACCCAGTCCGTACGAAGTTAGCCGCCGTGAGAAAGTAGTTGTACCACCTTGGAAAGGATATCTTGACAGGATAGTCGTGGGAGCTAACCTAAAAGAGTGTTTTCAAAATGGTCGTGAATTAAGGGAGGCAGTAGCTTTATATAGGGACTGCAGGTATATACTAACACAAAGAGATAACAAGATTCTCATAGTTCTCCATGAAAGTTGTCGCCCTCAGGACATCTTTCAAGCCTTTATGCAAGCACACAAGCTTCAAGATGGCAACGACTTGCATAGCTCTTTGATTTTCGCAAAAAGACATATCAAAGAGTTTCTTCGACTTTGCTCTCTTAAAGACTGGAATACGCAGTATCCGCTTATGGGTTGCAAACCCGTCAGAGTACATTGGTAGTTAAGAAAATCTCCAATGTTATTAATATAGCATTCTTTTCGCTTCTGCCAAATTTATTTGTAGTTTGTTGTAATTTGAATATATTTATGCAACAGCCCCATATGTTATGGAGTGAAGGTGACGACGAGCTTCATGAAAAAGCCAATGAAACTATACGTCGTCACCTTCTTTGGTCGCATAGAGTGGTAAGTTATCGTTACTGCTTACCTTCCACATACCGCTTATTTAACATAGAACTGGGAGGGAACCCAATTAGGAAAGGAGTTAACGAAGCCAAAGGAAACGCCAGTTAGGAAAACCGTGTTACCTGCAACGAGCTTTGGAAACTTGAATGACTATGGTTGCGTAATATGCTCGTCGGATCTCAAAAGAACTACGGTTTCGTGCTTGTATCCTTGCCTCCACAGATTCTGCTACGGTTGCATTTTAAGGTGGTTGAAAGTAAAAGCACGTTGTCCTCTGTGCCTAGAAACTCCTCAGAAGCTGTTATTTTCAATTCAAAGCTCCTCTTTATTTAAAGAGAACGATCTTGATCACAAGTCTCCAAGTAGTCGCAGGCAGAAACTGCGCAATGATGTGCATAGGCAAGGGGATAATTCCTTCTATGCATCTCAAGACTCCAATACCGTCTACCAAGAAACACTGCGAGGAACCAGAAGACAACGAGATTTTGTTCTTCAAAGGGCGGAAAGACTCAAACTATCCCGCAAAACTGAGATTGAAAAGTTAAAGCAAACTTAATTTGAAGACAGAGAGGAAAAGGTTTCGAACGAGTTCTCAGAGCTCGAAGGTGTCTCCCCCGTTGAGAACTGATCGAGTGGTGGCCTTCTTACTTCACCATTGCTTCCAGTTCCTCTCCTTCGAGGTACGGAATGAGTTCTTCGTCTTTTTTGGTTGGTTTTCTTTCGATAATTTGATACCTTAAGCAGTTTTCTTCGAATGAGGAGTTTATAATTCTGGCAAATTCTTTCAATATCTTGCAGAATGGCCTGGATTAGCTCTTTCGCGAAACCCTTGAAACCATCAAACACATAAGATGAAGAGAAGAAAGACGCAAAAAACAGTATTGTATCATCGGGTGTTGTACGTCTGATATCAACGTATGGATTTTCAGTATATCTGTAAGTTACGGTATCGCCATTGGCTTTAAAAGATGTTGTCGTTGTTTGTCGTGCAAACCAGGAATTTCTTATATTAAGGTATTCCTCTTCAAGGTTATAATACCGTTTATAAAATTCGATTTGTGCGTTCCGAAGAGCATCCATGGCATCCTGTAAGTTCTTTACAATAGGAGGCACATTTGACCCTTCACCACTTTGCATTTCCCGTACAATGTAGTCCAACATAGTCGACCCGACACTACCAAACTTGGTCGAACCAGTGTTGAGTTTGCGCTGAATAACTGCAACTAGTCTCTGCCAAGTTGTCAAAAGCTTAGCAGTGGCGTCTTCATTGCCTTGTGGTGTTTCACGAAATACCTCATTCATCATAGTAGATTTCACCGGAGCAGTTGTTTGTGTTAGTACGTGTCTTGGATTACTGTCATTTTCAGTGTAACTGTTTACGGCATTCTTTGTGATGACACAATCAGAACTGCCGCAAATTACATCTTCCTCTAAACTAGAATCCTTTGGAAACTCCAAGCTTTCCTTCTCAAGCACAGTTAAATTTTTCAAATGCTTCTTCTTGTTTAGGAAAAATGCAGTCTTCCGTGAAGATCTATTTCTTTTTCTTTCCTTGAAAGCCTTTACAGCCCTCTTCAACGTTCGTCTTGTAAAATTTGCCGAATACCAGGCAACCCGAGCCGTTCGTTTTGCTGATAACAAACCAAATTCTTGAAAAAACTGCACTGAACGAAATGGCCTGCCATCTAGTATGCAAGAAACTGAAACATCTATTAATGCCTTTCTTGCAATAACCAAGCGCTTTGTTGTTTCTTCCAAAGGCTCTATGAAATGTTTATGTAACACATATCGAAACGAACCTGTAATGAACGGATCGTAACGCATGACGGTTTCAAACGCAATCAAACGATTTAAAAGTTTCTGTTCTTGTTCAAGTGCTACATGAAGAACCATTGGAACTGCATGAAGAGTTGAACCTGCGCTATTCTGAAGAATTTGCATACGTAAACGAGCTTCAAGAAGCATTCCTTCAATCTCCTGCAAATTTGTCTGCTTTATCTTGCGATTTGAGTTAATTCCATTTTCGGTAGCTTCGGAATTCTCCGAGGTCTGACTGTGCAAAGATTCGTCTGAGGAAGATCTTCTCATCGTCATTTGTTTCGTAGAAGGTAAACGATCATCAACCGAGTTCACTGAAATACGACCTTCTACTGAATATGAACTCACACTCGACATCTCTGAAACACGAGAACTATAAAATTTCTGGAGCATCCAAGATTGCCCCGTACTCATCTTCTTCAACGAACCCGCAAGCAACTCTCTAATTTCTGTTAAAGCCGAATGCGGTAAAATAAACTCGTTTAAAATCACAGCCACTGTGATGCCACTGAATATCATAATAAACCGAGACAACGCATAATACCAGTGCGCAACATATTCAAACGGGTTGTACTGATAAAATATAATAACATACTCCGTAAATGCAAATGTTATAAAAGTTATGGACAAGGAACTGTTTGCGAAATATACGGAAACGCCGGTGACAATTCCTAAATATAAATTTAACAAATAGCTATTCATTGCAGTTGCTTGCCAGTTCATAAGCAAAAAGCCAATGGTGCAACCAACTGTTACTCCTGCAAGGCACATGACGCTTCCCAACAATGTTCCTTCAACAGAAGGTTGAATATAAAGGACATATGCCATCCAAAGCCACGTTCCATTATATTTCAATGCAAAGCTCCTCGCCGGTGTAAGCAACAGAATAACTAAAAGAACAATGGCACCAAACCATTTCTTGCAGCAAAACTGAAATTCTGGGGACGACATCAAAGCTATTGCTTCTTGTTTTGTTCGAGGTATCTTCCCTAAAATTAGAAACCAGTGTTTCGCAGGCCAAAGTAAAACATGGAACCATCCAAACAAGTTTTTAATCATTCTTATGAGGGACTTCTGTTCTCGAACAAGTTCTAGCTGGATGAGTGATTCTTCGATATCTACAATGGAGTCCAGAAGAGACTTGGCAAAGATAATCATTGACATAATGGGTCCAAGCTCAATGGCTGTTCTACCTAAAAGATGCAACTCTGTATCTTGCCAGTAATTATCATATGCTACCTTCAAATCCTCCCTAAAATGCCTTTCATAGGTTTCCACTTCAGAGAACTCTAGCAACACTTTCATAAAGTTTTCCATGGAAATACGATTCGAGACACGGCCAGCTTCTCTTAAATACTCACCAAGCACCTTGCAGTATGCAGATATGAAACCAAAGTGTTTAATCAATACTTGATTGAGTTCATGACACGACTCCAATACTGCCCCCTTAAATCGTCTTCTTTCGCCATCTAAAATAGACTGTGTACTTTGAACAATCTTTAAGAGCTCCTCCACAGAGTTGATGACTGCTTGCCACTGACTTTTAGGTTCTTGATGTAAGGGATGCAGTATATCTGGTTCATAAATAATATATTCAATAAGCTTTTGTGCTCGGTGCATTTTCATCCGATGCTCTAAAGAAATGTCCTCGCATAAAATATGTTTCAGAAACGCTGGACTATGGCGTAAATGATTCAAGCAATCTCTATCAAACGGGTCAACAACTTCATCCACATATGGAGTAAGCAACAAGGAAGCACATTTACTCAAAGAACTTCCTGCACCAATTAGAGAAGAGCCTATACACAGCTTCATTTCGGAAGTAGCTGAAGTTGGAAACAGAAGCCCCGCTACGAGAAGAGAAGCTACATGTGCCAATATCGCACCAATAATCGTCTCATAAAAATAAGTAAAGACCTTCTTATTATTTCCACTATGGCTGTCTAATAAATTAAACACAAAATACATTTCACCCATACTGGAAATGAACGACATTCTACTGTCTGAATGCAATACAGTGAACAAAAGAGTACCAATAGAGGCTATGAAAAAGGTGATCACGTAGCTTTCACTACTTGCATATGCTCCCAGTGCGCCAAAGCCAGCAGCAAGTATCAATGCGGCTGTGGATTGCAGTGCACCTAGAGAGATAAATCCAAAGGCAAGCTCTTCATAGCCAAAAGTGACAGTAAGAAGAAACATTTCAATTGCCAAAGGACCATAAACGTCATTATATAAACTCGGAACAAAAACAAAAATGGACAACAAGAAATAGCCAACTAAACCTCGCAGTGAAACCAAGAAACTTTTGTTTCTACAGAGAGCTAATAGGCGTCTTGCTATATTCGAAATAAACTGGCAGAGCCACGAGGTGATTTTATGCTCAACCTGGTTATATCTTTCTTCTTCACTGGCACTTCTCGTCGAAGACCTCGTGCAACTACTATTAGCTCTACTCTGGTTTTCGGACAATTCAAGTTGAGAAGTCAAAGGCGAAAGTCTGTTCATCTGGTTATATGAAGGAGTAACAAAGAGATGTTCAAATACATTTCCGTAATTTGAAAGGCTCCCCGAGCTCTCCAAGTTCAAAGGTTTCAAGAAAGGTTGCTGTTGTGGTCTTCCAAAATAGTCATCGGAAATATCCAAGTACTGTACACTTTGTACAATATCCACAGTGTCTTTTTCTTCCGACTCTTCACTTGGTTCTTGAAACATGCTTAAAAGGTGTGTAGACCCTTCTTGGAACGAATCCGATTTAGTATATTTCATTCGGGTTTGTTATATGAAGTCCGATTATTGCCAAAGAGTTTCTTTTGCAGCATCTCATTTTCATGTTAGAAAAAACTTTTTGTATTGTAGGTCGTGTTGTACAAAGTTTAGACTGAAACTACTAGTTTTTTCCAAGACCCTACTGTATTGTAAGGTTGGCACCGTTAGACTTTTTTCGCTCAGAACGCATTTTGGCCTTTTGGCATGTTCGACAGAAGAGGAATACACCATTTTAGAGGGTCCAGCTTTTCAAAAACCACCTTCCAAGTTTGTATATAGAGATTTTCCAGATATTCGGAAGCTTCAGTCGTGGCAGCCGAACGATGAAGTGGACACTTTTTGGAAGGAATTCCGAGATGAACAGTTAGAATTTCGTGGTAAGTCAAGTGAGTCAGACGAAAAACCCCGCTTTATTGAGCCAGCAAGCCTCTTAAGAGATTATGAAGACAGCGAAGCCTCTGCAGTATTTGACTGGGTTAATGGGGAGTGGAAGGCAACTGGTTGTCTTCGATACTCGGAGCCACCTAGTTTCGAAGCATATTTAGAAGACGCTAGAAACCTAAAGAATGTGTTAGAAGAGAAGATTTCCCAAGGAAGTTCGGAAGAAGATACTCTTGAAAAGTTGGAAGCTCTTCGTGGTTTTGTTTCCTTTGCAACAAGAGAAGAAAGACTGTGTTTTCCTCCTGGTTACTGGAGACTGATTTTTCTTGGTACATCCTCAGCACTTCCGACACTTCAACGAAATGTATCGTCTGTGGCACTTAGAATTCGCTGTCCTTTTAACGTAGGAAAAGGAAACGAGTCCGACGTGAAAAATTCTCATGAAACACCTTGTATACCGGAAGCTTTGTTTTTGGTTGATTGTGGCGAAATGACGTTGACAAGACTTATTGAGGCGAAATGGCACTCGATATATGGGTTTAGAAACTTGAAAGGAATATTCATCACGCATCTACACGGTGATCATGTGTGGGGTCTCCCTGTTTTAATGGAAAAGATCGGTTTTTATACGCAACATCAGCAACGATATATGCGTCGCATAAAGAGAAGTGCAACTTTGCATATTTTTGGTCCCCAAGGACTTCGCCTGTTTCTACGCACTGCTCTTCAAAATACTTTTCTAGGTTTTTGGTTTTGTGTTCATGAGTTAATTCCAAGCGATAAAGATTTTGATCATGTGGAGCCGTGGTATGTTCCTGAATGTTTATTAGAAGAGAACCAAACATCAGCAACTTATTTACCTTTCTTGGATAAGTTGCCTGGAAAGCATTGTGAAGAAATAGTAGGGGAAGATGTCAAAATGGATACAGAAGAGAAATGTTGGAAACTCTATGTCGATGAATTATTTCAAGTACAGGTTTTAGCACGTCCTATAAAGCATCGAGTACCTTGCTGGGGTTATTTCTTTAAGGAATTGACACAGTACTCATCCGATTGCCATAAAACTGCGAGGAAACACTTTACTGTGTCATATGGTATCAATGACTGGGATATATCTTCTATAGAAGACAAAATAGATACGAAATATGCTTATTGTCTTGGAGTTCGTGGAAAACAGTTTAACATGTTGAGAAACTGCAAAGCCGTTAAGGTTAAAAGTCGTCGAGATCCGATAGAATTCTCAGAGGTTGAAGCTTCCATGGAAAACTTTGCAAATAGAGCAGTCTTTAATGAATTTCCAGTTTTTCGACCCAAATCTGTTGCAGGGATGTGTGGAAATCGCATTCCTCGGAGTATTTTGATTCTTGGTGACACTAGTGATCCCTCGAATTTTCTTAATCTTGCCAAAGAATGTGATGTGCTTGTTCATGAAGCTACTTTCTCAGAAGCTCTGAAGGATAAGGCTGTTGAGTCTTTTCATTCTACAGCAAAAATGGCAGGTTAGTAGAAGGTTTCGGTGGTCCAAGTTTCTAAGTTTTATTCAGGGCAATTTGCAACATCTCTTGAAGCGAGAACACTGGTGTTAACTCACTTCAGCAGTCGATATGAAACCAACTTCTACAGGTCTGATGGTATAGGAATGAATGAAGACCTATTGAAATCTGGTCCAAATTTTCGAGATGATAATGATGACGATACAAATTCGGTTGTAGTAAGTTGTGTAGTATTATAGTTATTTCCTGGTTTTTACGGTTTCTCTATAGGCTTTATCCGCTGAGGCTAGTAGCGCTTATTCCAAAGGTCGTATCTATTTGGCACGAGATTATTCAACCTATGATCTTGCTCCACATTCGAACAAACGCAAGAGTGATCTGCGCTGTTGTTTGACCAGAAATATGGATAAGAAACATTCGAAATGCAAGAGTTACAAGAATCCTGTCGAGCTCTGGTTACAAAAACCAATGTCTCGTGCACAGTGGAAAAGATTGAAGCGAAACGTTCTGCACTTTTCCAAAGAGTCGTTTGAGTTGTTATTCAATGCCCAACAAGAGAGTGCGACATCACCAGTCAATACTGAATAATCATCGTATCTTAGAGTAATCGTAAACTAAGTAACTTTAATGATAATTTCAGCCATATTTCTTCTTAGCTGTTTCGGTCCATGTAGAATATTCGTATATTCTGAAGTTTGTCTAGATAATGTTATATCTCTGTCTACACCGTTTTTTCAGAATAACAAAGTCCAAAGATATAACTTTCTGGCTTGTCAACGTGAATTTATTTTCTCTGAATAATGTTCTTTAAAGAAAACGTGTATCTCTATAGTTTCTACTTCTTTCTGAACATTTCAAAAACCGATGTTGGCTTCTTTTGATACACCTCCGCCTGTTGCAGACTATCAATTACTGTTTCCCAATCAGGTCGTTCAGCAGGATCTTCTGACCAGCAACGTTCAATCATGCCCTTTAAAATGTCGTTCTTTATCTTCTTTGTACTAGGTCTAGCTCCTTTCTTTGCAACTGCAATCGCGGCCTGAACTGGAAGTAAGTATCTACACAACCAAGTAAATTCAAAATATTAGAAAAATGCAAACAACCAACCTATATGGAGGCTCTTCACAAAACATTTCATTTATCACTACAGCAAAACTATAAATATCTGCGCTCTCAGAATATTTTTGATGTCGCATCACTTCAGGAGCCATGTATTTATACGAACCTGTTTGCTGTTGTTACATGAAGTCATCAATTCAGAAAAGAAACAAACCTGTCTCTCCAGTCATTCTCCCCGAGTAGTCAACCAGTCTTGAAAATCCAAAATCGGTAAGTTTCGGTTCATTCTGCTCGTCAAGCAACACGTTGGCAGGTTTCACATCTCGGTGTATTACTTTATTTTTGTGAAGATATTGCAACCCACGCGCAACTCCAATGGCAATTTTGAACTTGATGTCTTGACCTAACCTTGAAAATAGATTGATACCGGACTTCGGATAGAGAGCCTTTCCAAGTTCTCCGTGAGGTGCAAGTTCTGTCACTAGGCAAGCTGCGAACGGGTTCTTCATGAAGCATATACCATAGAATTTAATAATGTTTGGGTGTGACAAGCGCGCTAGTAATTCCATCTCGTTTCGAACGCTCACAAAGTCCTCTTTCAATATCTTTGCAGAATAAGCCTTCACCGCAACTTTAGCTTCTCTATATTTTCCCTCATACGTTGTTCCACTAGCACCATTACCCAACACTCTTATAATCTGTAGGTATTGTTGTTCTATACACCAGCCTGACTCTCTATAATTGTTTATATATTGCTCAAAGAGCTTAGTTAATTCTTCATCAGTATCATTTTCCATGAAAAATAAATCCAATTTTTGGATGACTATTTATATATGTGTTATCTCAGAATGACTCTTTGCACTTTGTTCATGCTATTCCTTATATTTCCTTGTGGATTATCACTCTTGTATTCCCGTAAGCTTCAGAAGCTTTGAGGAGGAACTACGAGGAATCATTTGGCTCAGCTAACCTACTCTTGTTCCTTCAAGTTGACGGTGAAAATGCAACTCGGTGCACTAGAACAATCTCCATAAACTTCACAGTTCATTCCTAAACTCTCGAAAGCTCCCTTTATAATACCCAAAGGAAATATGATATAATCCTCCAGCTGTCCGATAGCGTCAGGTGTCTCTGATACGTGTAAGAGACTTCGAAAACGTTTATCACTAAGAACATAAGTACCCTATACGATAAAGATATCTTCGGTATACTCTTTTACTTTAACATAAAAATAAATACCTTGTTGTTCGTCTTCAAATTATCTATTTGTTTCTGGAAGGTAGCTATCCAAAACTCCTTACATATGAACTTGACCTTATCAAGTTCAGTCGAAAAGTGCGGAGTGCCTTCAGACAATTTCTCCAGCCATCTTCTACCGATATCTCTTCCTATGGCCTCCAGTCTTTCCACCTTGCGCCTTGTCGAAAGATCGTCTTTCAAGCTTACTTTTTTGCGCTTTTCATCATTACCCAGAAAATAATCAACCATTATCATAACAAGAAAGTCAAAACTTTCCTCAGCAACTTCCGTCATTCAACAATTCCGTGACAAGACGCAATCCACAAATATAATTTCATTCTGATGAATTTCATTCGGTTGTTCGTGCTGCTTTGTATTTCACTTTTGGTTTGGAACAGCCCGAACCTGAAGAAAGACATCTCAATATTTACAGCTTCTGAACTTCCAGACGAGGCCATAACTTGGGTTCGAGATTTTTTTTCTTGTGAAAGCGATGGAGATCTATTTGTTCCGAAAATTTCCTTCTCCGATATGATGCACGCTGTATATAACGAAAGTTTTAAAAATCGTCTGCACGAGGTAGTGGAGGAAGACAATAAAATAGGAACAGAAGCCAATATCAGCTACTTTATTCAAGTCTCAACCAGCAACGTTGCCACTTTAAGTAGGCTAATGCGAGTCTTGTATCACAAAGATAACTTGTACGCCATCCACTTTGATAAGAAAATAGAAGATCAACTAGTAACTTGGACTCTAAGAGAGATAGCAAGGGTCATCACTAGAGTTTCAGCAGGAACAAACTTGACGTTGCCTTCCAACATCATTGTCATTCCGCGGAAGTATGTCTCCTACATGGGTATATCCATGGTGCTCAACACAATAGCTGGAATGGAAGCTCTCGCAGAATCAAGTCATTGGGATTTCTTTATTAATCTTTCCGGAAGTGACTATCCCCTTCTATCACAGTCACAAATAAGGAGGATCTTAGGTCACGCCAAGCAAAAGCATCCACGTCCAAATTTCATGTGGATCGATGGAAACTCCGATAAATGGAGAAATCGTCTGTCAGACGTAAGATTTCTCACTGAATGGTTAATTCATCTAATACTAAACACCACATAGTTGCATTTTGATCCCGCTCTCTACGAAGAACTCGACGTTCCTCACAATCCTGGCGGCTTCGAGTTACTAGAAGCTGTTCCTCCAGGTGCTAAGCACCCATTAGCAAATGCTTCCTGGTTTTCATTTTCAAAATGTGAAGCATGGATGATCCTTTCCAATGAACTTGTCGAACATATCATTCGAAGCGTTATTTCTAAAGAGTTATTGATCAAGTTTGCTCATTCTTTAGCATCTGATGAACATTTCTTCTGTACACTGTTGAAAGCACAACAAGATAATTTTCCGCATATCAACTCAACAATGAGATTCATATTGTGGTGGCATCCCCAACTAGGCAACTCAGGAGCTCGACCGTTCACTTTGGATGATAAATGGTGGCTGATTGGAAAAGCTTTAAGATGTTCGGGAGCCTTTTTTGCACGAAAATTTTCCGATTCTAATGCTGATGTTCTTGAGGCGATAGATACTCTCTTTATCCGAGGTCTCGATAAAGATTTTGCCAAGCTGGTAGAACGAAAATTTTTAGAGATGATAAAGAATTCTTCTGATATTCATTGATATTACATTTCTTTGATATCCTCATCGTTTAAGTTGGAAATCTCCAGTTCCAACAAGCTTCGTATAAAGTCTGTTTCAATATCTACAGTCGTCTGAAGGCACAACTGTAGACATTCAATAGACTTTGGTATCAAATATTCTAAGAAATATTCGCATAGTTTTCCAAAGTATTCACGCTGTGAGTTGGGTAAAAGTGAACCTCTGCTACCTCCAAAGTCTTTAACCACTGCAGCTGCTTCATAAAATGTATTTTGTAACAGCTCAGCATAGGTTTTCTTTTGAGAGTTGAAAACTACTTGACGTATTTCATTCAATGCACTGAGAATACCATTAAAGAGAACTGATAAAGGTGGAAATTCAAGAAGTTGATAAGGAAGAGATACGCCAGGAATGTCATGCTGACCCGTGCTCTCCGTTAACTTCAGGGAAGACGTTGAAGGATACCATTGGAAGCTTTCTAACATTGTTTCAAACGCTAACAAAGCCTAGACACAATAAGTACAATAAATGCAATTTCGTAGAAAACAGACCTCCTGCAAAGACTTTGAGAAAAGTAGCACGCTGGCTTCTTCAAATGGAATGCAGAGCAGCATCCGAAAATCTGCCCCAATACGACTCAGAGACTCGCCACAGTAGTTTGCTTGTTGGATTAAGGACGATAATGTTCCTCCATCAGTTATGTTGCATAAATGCCGTTTAGTTACTTGCAAATAAAACGATATCCATAGATTTATAAAATCATCGTGAATGGTATCACGACTCGCAATATCAGTGAAGATTGCATGATACTGCGTCGTAGTTTCTAGCGTACGAATTCTGAACTCGTCACTGAATTGTGCGAATAGACTCTGCGGTTTGGGATTGCAAAAACCCTTTAGACAGGAAAGCATCCAATGCGACCGACAACAAAGAAACAAAAGACGCAAAACTACCTCATCAAGAGACGTAATCCTTCTAAGAAGAGTTATCAAACGGAGGCATTCACTGAGAGAAGTCTTTGACCTCAACCGTTGGAGTATATAAGACACAACTAGTAGTCGCATGTCTTTTACCCTGTAACAAACGTCATTCAATATTCTAGAACCAGATATAAGAAGGTTAAGTCGACGAGAGTGTTCTATCATTTCTACAGAGGCTTCGATCTCTCCCGCTCGAATCAGAGACACAACAAGAGAAGGTAACTCGATAAGGTCATTTACGTAAATATCCGAAACATCACTAGAATAACTTTCTCGTTCCTGTTGTGATAGATTCAAGACTTTCAACGCTTCAATACTCTTGTCTACGAATAATGGAAAACTCTGAGAGACTTTTCCCAGCACTTCCTGAAGATTCCTTAAAGTAGACGACGATGACACCGATTGATCATAGTTTTGCAACAAATCTCGGTAGTTCCTGGAAACGATATCTTGCAACTGAGTACTGAGTTTGTCAACTTCCCCTTCGACTTCACTGACATCGGCGCTCACTTGTTTCCTTGACGAGGCAAGAACCCGCTCCAAAAAGCTAGACAAGCCAGCTTCGTATGCCTCTTTTTTTAAGCTTTCCAAGTCGTCCAAACCTTCTCCTTTGTCAAAGTCAGGACCGATTTCCATCGACATGCTACAAAGGATATTCTATCCAAATCCAAATTCCATTTCATAATGGTTCAATTGATGGAATGTATAGACAAATTTTGTTTATCTAGATTCAGTAATCCGAAATCTCACTTTCTGTGATTGTTTCTTGCACTTGTGTCAAGTTGGTTATTCAGCCAATAGACCCAGCAGTTTTGATATTTCCAACAAGAAAGATTGAAATATATATATATATATATGCAGTTGTTTTGTTAATTATTCCTGGTCCTTCAGATATGTAGGAACGAAGTTTATCTCAAGGCTAAGCAGTGTTGCTCTTTTATTTTTGCAAATCTAACTTTCTGTTGAGCATTTCTTGAACGGCATGTAACTTCCTTTGTTTTTTCTCACAACGGAGACCGAAGCAGCTGTAGCAACAGAGTTGCTTGTTTCGTTTTTATTTTCAGTGACTTTATTCAGGCTCTGTTAGCTGACAGTGTAACATTTGGGGTTCGGCAAACAAAAAATGCCTACATTCTTATAGAGACTTCTCGCTTTTATCGAACTGCTGAAAAGCAGTGCAAGCTATCAGAGATGGAGAGTTTCTTTATTCGTTGAGAAAGTCATTATGAACGAAAAATTTCCTAGTCTCATTGTCCCTGTAATTCTATTTCGCATAATAAAGGGCACAGAAAATACAACTGTCCATAGTGATTTTTTCTATCCGAATTGGCGCCACCATTTTACTGATAAACGATACTTTTGCCAAATTCTGACTACCATTATTCTTTGTGATGGCGCCAGTGGATCTGGAAAAACAAAATGCTTTATTATTATCGGAAGGACTTACGAGACTTGTATGGAATCTGTTCATGGACTATTTCAGGAGGCTATTTTTCTTCAACTTCCTTACTTCTCGATGGACCCAGTTCAATATCAAGATGGTCTTTCAGGTAAATTTAATATACTCCGTGATTATTTGGCAAATGAGTTGGCTTTCAGGATCCAATCCGTAGGAAAAAAGTGAGAACCTATGCTAATCTGTCCATAATTTTTATTGGAGCATTGCTTATCGCAACTTCTAAAAAATACGTCACTGCAAAGAGTTCGGAAGTCACTCATTCTTCTGTAGAAAGGAATACCGCAACAGGTAGTTTTTAATATACTATAAACTTTTCAAATGTGAAAGGCTAGATTAAAGGTCGATATGCTTATGCCACATTGCTATGTGACGATGTTATGCTCCCAGCGACACGAGCATGGTTACAAAGCTTGAAAATGGTTTGTATGCTATCTCATAAAAATGATTTCGATTCATTTATCTATTTTTGAAAAGACAAATACTAGCTTCCCCATCGTGGTTCTTGTCCTTCCACAGTTAAGCCTAGAAGGACGAGAGGAGCTAGAAAAGCTAGGATCCATTGTCCTCGATGTTACTCCATTGGAATATCCTTTCACACTGACCAAGGTTTGTGTAGATGTTGAGTGGTTTTTGTTCTCATGACTGTTTGCATAGTCTCGTTTGAGAGATAACAAACCTTGTCGCTATTCAAAGCTGCATCTGTGGAATTTATTGAATTATGACAAAGTAGTTTACATGGATAGTAAGCAGTCTTTGGTAACAATGAATTTGAAAATAACGTTAAAGGTGATATGCTTGTAATGCAAAATATCGATAATCTGTTCGTAGAATTTGATGAATTGAGCGCTTGTGCTGACCTTTACCCGGATACTTTTAATTCCGGCATTATGGTACCTTATTGCATAGCTTAAAGTAGTGATACTAATTAAGCAAATAGGTGATTCAACCTAATGAAACAACATTTCGAAATATGAAAGCTGTGTACAAGAACGTTTCTAGCTACAATGTGGGAGATCAAGGTTTTCTAAACTGGTTCTTCGGCAACGAATGGAGTCAGAGAAAGGACAGGTATTTTGTAAAATTTTTGGGTTGTTTGAAGCTCACTTATTTTAGACATATTCCACTGAAGTACAATGTGTTGCTAAAGGTAAGTCGATTTTGTGGAAATTTCTTTAAGCAATCATATGTATAGTATCGTGATACAATTATGTGGGGACATGTGAAAGATGATATTAAGGTAATTTTGGAGGACGCTCATCACTTTCTTATCTTATTTAGGTCCTCCATTTTACTGGTGAGACAAAGCCTTGGAATTTCTACTATTCTGGACACAAAGACTGGGAGAAGAATTCAGAAATGAGAAGCTACTATGCCTGGGTTAGAGTAAGGCAATAACCATGGAAGGTATTCTTTTAACTCTTTATTTCAGATGGAGCGAATTTCCAAAGAAATCCTTGGAAAGGCACTCTCGTGGGAAATGTCAGACCGAGTAAAACATCTCTGCGAACAAGAATATGAACGCAATTTGGTAAGAGAGTTTGAAGTAACGTTTTTTTACTAATTGGTACTTTATAGACACCGCGTTTTAGGATTCAAAACAAATTTTCCGTTGTCATTTCAACCTATAACAGACAGAAGCTATTAGAAAGATTGATTACTCATTACAGTCGGTGTCGAAAAGTACATAAAATATACGTCGTTTGGCATAGCCCGAACATTGAGGTTGGTGTTTAAAATGTTTGGATTTTGCTATAGCGTTTACTAGGCTCCTTATGATTTCCGTGTTGGTTCAGTGCCAGTAGTATTTCTTTCTCAAAAATATGACTCTCTAAATAACAGATTCAATCCTATCCCTGGTCTAAAGACGCAGGTTGTATATTGCATCTAGTATTAGAAAACTTTTGAAAACCTATGTCATAATTTTAGAGTGTCCTTATATGTGATGACGATGTTTATGTGGAGCCTGATGATATCGATTTTACTTTCGAGGTTTGGAAGAGTCATCCAAATTCTTTGGTGGGAGCATTTCCCAGATTTCATCGGAGGACAACATCCAATGAGTGGGAATATTTAGTTGCAGAACCCATGAAAAAGTTTCGGACCTTCAGGAGGTACGTCTCTATTCCTTTCTCCAAGAACGTTCTTTAATCCATGCACAAAGATATTCTATAATGTTGACGAAGTTCATTTTTATGAAGAGTGACTTCCTGTTCTGGTATTCATGCATTCTTCCCGAAAGATTCCATAAGTATATTGACGAACACATGAACTGTGAAGATATTGCAATGCAAATGGTTTGTGTGCGTCCATAGTGCTGAAATGAACTTAACTTGAATAGATGATAACAGGGATGACTAGGACTCCACCTCTAGCAGTTGTTGGAAAGGCCATTCCGGAGGATTATGGAACAGATAAAAGCACGGGAGGAATCAGCACCAAGGTATCGTTGGTAATATATTACTGTAAGCTTCTAATCATGAAAAATAGAGTGGTCACAAAGAAGCAAGAAATAAGTGCTTGACATACTTCATTAGTGAATTGTTCCATGGGAAGGATCCCTTAATATATAACTCTGTAATCCAAACACGTTTTGTCAAGGTTTGTGGGATTCTAATATAGTGTTTGACAGTTGTACTCAATTCCAAAATTACACAGATACCCTTTGCGAAAAGGTCTTGGAACGAAGGAAGTCTATGGATGAACTCTTCGGGGTCGAAGAATTCTCTTAAGACTTCTGTTCATCCAAGGGCGTTGAACAACAATTGAATCATTATAATACGTTCAAAGTAGAATATTTTGTAATATCGTTTTCGTGGATAGATACTGTGCAGTTTCTTTTCGAGTCGCATACTTGTTGTTTCACGAATCAGCGTGCAGTAGAAATGTTTGCAAAACCCGTAAAAAGTTGTTTTGAAACAGGCTAATTCCTTTTGTATACACCATTATTCACAAATCCTGAGATCGGATGGTAGATATGCAATGAAATCCAAACTAGGAACATCTTTGAAAGCGAAACGGAAAGATACTAGTTGAGCTGCAAGCTTGACCTTTCGTTACAATATTCTATCTTCCTTTTGCCCCTTCTAGATGAAATTTCAACTCAATAGATAACATCGTAGCATAAGGAAATAACACGAAGAGAATAATAAGTTGCCAGGGTTGAAGACGAAGATACGAACTTGCTATCTCCGTCTTTGAGAAAGCTCTACCACAGCAGTCAATGATAATATTAGCAAATAAGTAAAAATCAAATGACCTTAAACTTTTCAAGTATGAAAAAAAACGTGTCATTACAATTCTGACTGTCAAGAAACTTTGGAAAGTCTTAGACACAGCGATATTCTTTTCTGATTGGGAAAAGTTAGAATGAGCACTTCGGAGTCCAACTCGGAAGGTAGCGTTTGGAAAGAAGTATTCCATTCATTTACAAACAGAGTAGGTCAGTGCAAAAATATTCGACCCAACTAATAAGAGTTTTCAGTGGTTGCAGAGATTCGAACGTCTTCCACAGCTTCAAGCGGATATTAGAAGTGGTGTTGTGTGGGACTCTATGAAAAGGTATGATAATGATACAGTGTCACTTTCGCTTTGTCGTTGAAAGTTATTTTAGAAAATTTCTTGAAGTTAAGGAATCTGTTGAAGCAAATCCTTATCCCACTGCAGCTTACGTCGTGACTTTCGGTAAGATAACGAGCTGGAAGAAATATTGCTTAAATACGACATAGCTACCTTGTATGGACACCTTTTGTGGAAAAAACGAGCAGCACAACTGGAAGAGGCTAGAATTAGGCGTACTTTTCAAGAAGTGAAGGATCGTCAAGTAGGAGGAAGAATTATTCGCATAGTTCAATAAGAACTTTTTTTTAGGCAAGAGAAAAGGCATTGCAGAAGCTTAGAGAACAAAAGCTGGACTCTCTTTCTGCGGAAGAGATTGAAAGACTTCGCAAGAAGAAAATAGAAGAAGAAATCAAAAAGGAAAAGGAGCAGTTGGCAGATATTTCTCGTAGTTGATATGTTTTTGGGGAAAGTAGCGCGACAGGTAGTGTTTTTTCAGTTGGAAGGTTTTAACTTGGACACACTCTGTTTAAAATTCTCTGGATGAAACTCATATCTTATAAAAATGAATACTCATTTCTGACTTTGGTCATTTTGCATATCCAAATTGTTACTTGGCTAGTTGAATCCTACTTGGTTTGTCTATTCTATCTGTTAGGTCAACTCAATAGTGTTTGAATTCTTAAAGACTTGGTGAATAGCATCCTATAACCTTTCTTTTGATTTTGGTTTTTCCCAGAACAAACAGATTGTCTCAAAAGAGATAGTCAAAGTTTTACAATGTCGGCCTTTGCAACGTTGAACTGCAAATATGACAACTATTATTTTCGAAATATCAAAGGCTATTCGTCCTTTCAAAAACGCAGTACTTATGTAAAGCTTACTAGAGGAAACTCATCTTTATTTTGGCGAAAGCAGATTCGTGAAGCGAAAGTTTTCAGGTTGTATTCGAAAATAAGAGGCGACCTTCATCGTGTCCCAGAAAGCTTGAATGGCGGCACAGCGATCTTATGGTTTCGAAATAATCTTCGTCTATCAGATAACAGTTGTCTGGACTTAGCGAATACTGCAGAAGCGTATGTTATGTCTTGATTTTGTTGGATTGAGTTGTTGATAAGCGATAGAGTCTTACCACTTTATGTCTTTGACAAACGTTCTTTGGTCCGTAATAGACTTAAACAACAACGTTGCGGACCCTTCCGATATTCTTTTGTCAAAGAAAGCGTAGAGCAGCTGCAAAACAACCTTAGAGGTCTTTTCAGTGATTTGCTTGTCGAGGTTGGAACAGCAGCCGAAGTGATTCGCGAGTTATGTGCAAAATACAGCATAAACCATATCGTTGCACCGAAAATGATTAGTCCAGAGGAAGAAGAATATGAACAAGGCAAGTAGTCGACTTTCATTGTTATTTATCTTATAAATTGCTGTTCAGAAGTATCACAAGTTGCGACAGAGTTGCATTTGAATGCCTGTTTTGTATGGGATTGCACTTTACTGTCTTTTGACGAATTGATTGTCAATGAATATCAACACAGTTTTGAGACATTCTACAACAGTGTCATATCCAAAGGTTTGCCTAAGATCTTTGAGTTGGATAACAGTCAACGTCCCTTTTTAAAACCTTTACCTTTTGGTTACAAACCAAGTTTTGCTATACCTTTACCTCATTTGGTGAATGACTTGGGAGTTGAAAATTTATGCACACCCTATGAATGGCCATTTCCTGAACCTCGAGCAGTATATCCTTTTCGGGGTGGAGAGGACTCTGCAAAAGAACGTCTAACTGACTATTTTGTGAAGAAGAATGGCTTACAACTTATCGCCGATCTTGAAAACTACTCCGGTGTTATGGACTCGTCCACAAAACTTTCTCCGTGGATTTCAATTGGCTGTGTTTCTGTACGGCAAGTGTACTGGGAAGGTTATCGTTCTTATATGAAAAACATGGACAGTCAAGTTGCCAACTTATGGTTGAAACGCTTTTTATGGCGGGATTTCCTTTATCTACTTTGTCTTCAAGAGGGTTCGGCTGTTTTTCGTGATAGAACAGTCAACGAGGACGCCCCCGAGTTTCCTTTATATAAACAAAGTGCGACACCTTACGAAACGATTTGCAACCAGGCAATTCAGACGTGGCTAGAGGGACGTACGGGTTATCCTTACATCGACGCTCATATAAAGGAACTTATTACAACTGGTTATATAAGCTTCCGAGGAAGGTTGAACGTATCTTCCTTTCTTGTTCACGAACTTGATGGAATATGGCAACTTGGTGCCGAATTTTTTGAACATTATTTGATTGATCATGACCCAGTCATCAATTGGGGTTATTGGTATCATCTCTATGAGAAGAAACAGATCGGCGTTGAAAGTATACAAGTCGACACTATCGAAGAGGCAAACAAATATGATCCGGATGGTTTCTATGTGAAAAAATGGCTCAATCAACTCGTCTTACTCCCGCCTCCTTTTTGTCATGAGCCTTATCTTCTTTCAGAAGAAGAGCAAAATCAGTTCCAAGTTATTCTTGGAAGTGATTATCCGGAGCCTGTTCTATTCCCAACGGTTTCCGAAGAAATAGAAAGAGCACGTCAATTTCTTTCTTCATCTTCTTGAGAATATTAAAGGTTGGATAGAAATTGACGAGATACTGGTATACTAACTAGTCCTTTCTGTTGATAGTTCTTTACAAATTTATAAACACGTTCGGTTAACCATTTTTCAGGCAAAGGTTCCAGCCTTCGTTTTTGCTTTAGATGTACTCTTTCATTTCGAGGCAACTGTTCGATCCATGGAATTTTTTCCTGTTCGATAGTGAACTCTGTCTGTTTAAAAAAGTCCAAAATTTCACTCGTTGAGTTGAAAGATTCCAAGTTCACCGGAATAATATGCACATGACAATATTTCTGAGGCTGCGACTTCAAATACAAAATTAACTTTTGAATTCGAAGTTCAATATCAAGGTTGTAGCCTATCAACTTGTCCACAACGTCATATTCACTTTCAGGCCGATCGGGAACTAGTACTCTGCTTTCCTCCGAAACATCGTGAATACCATAGTACCACTTCTTATATCCGTTGTGAGCAGGTTGAAACCAACCAAGTGTATATTGGCTATTTATGGTGGCGACAAGATTCCGTCGTAATATTAAAATAAAAAATTTCTCAGATGAAGCAAGCTCGTCGAGTAGAAAGTCTGCCATCGTTTTGATAAACATGTGAGACGTTTCGACATAACTGGTAGTGGGAGAACTTGAAGACAAAATCTGTTCTATTTGTCTAACTTTCTTCAACTTCCGTTCCTTTTTTGAGCTTTCTGCTGCTCCCTTCTGCAATAAAGATTTCTCCAAGTCTCTTCCTTCCAAACGTGGCCAAGGCTCATGAAGAGAAACAGTGTTTTCCGTGAGTGAAAAAAGTTTGGATAGAAAACCTGTTCCCGTTCTCCCAGAGGTTGCAACAAAGACAACTTTCCGTCTTTTGAAAAAATCTGTCTCTCTCTTGAATAAATGCCGGGGAACTTCCCAACGTAAACCGGTTAACTGAATATGCATATTGACTGCTATCTCAGGTTGCTTCAAGTTCTTCTTGGTCGAAGTTGGAAGTGTTAACTCTGCAAATCTCTGATACCTTAAAGTCTGCCTTGAATAAAACACACTGACAGCAAGTAAGATTACGAACAGGTATGCTAAGCCAGTGCGAGGCTTTTCGACTCTTTCAACTGAGCTGTGGTTATATAGTTTCGTAGGCTTCACAACATTCTGCAACTTTCTTTCTGCTACGCCACTCGCTCTTTCTTCTACTTCGAGTGCCTTTGTCAACTCTAATAAACTCCCAACCTGCTGAGAGTGCTCAAGATCACCCTTCTTATTTTGCTCGATAATTCTACGCTCTGTAAACAAGTTATGCTCAAACTCATTCTGTTTGTGGGTACGTCTTCGAAGTTGAATCATTCACTGAAATTCCACAATTTCGGAGAACAAATTTGAATTCGTTCTTGACACTTCATCTTAAAGCCGTAATTGGGTAGGCAAAGCGCAATAGTTGCTTTTCCAGTGACACTTTTCTGTATACATGAAAGGCACTTTATCTAGTCGAAAAGTAAAAAAAACCTTTAACAAAAAAGATACAATACATGAAAAATTAAGATATTTTGAAACCGTTTCATATGACTCCCTGTAATGAAAGTTACGTCAAATCTTCATCCTGAGCCTTTAGGTTCTTCTTAATTTTCAATAAGATCGAAGTCTTCCAGGCATCAAGCTTCGATAAAGAATCATACTCTGCAACGGCATCTGTGAATGCTTCTTCGTCATTTTCTTGAACTGCTAAGATTACTCTTTCGAGCAGCTTAGCTTCACGACTGTCGTTGAAACTGGAATCCAAAGACTTGTACTTTTCTAACGCACGTGAAGCTCCAACTTCATCTCCAAGGCAAACTCTACAAAGCCCAGCTCGAAGCAGGTACTCTTTGGCACCATACCGAAGCAACTTGTTTTCAAGAGATACGGTGGCAACCTTTTCAAACAAATCAATAGCACGGTTAAAGTCTCCAGCAAGTGCAGCAAACTCCGCAACTTTTGTGTGACATTGATTTGCATGGCTCTTGGCATCTTCACCGTCATACAGATCAGCTGCTTGCTCATATGACTCAGCTGCTTTACTTGTCTCACCCATGGTCTCATATAGTTCCGCAATTTCACGACAAGTTTTAGCGCCCTGTTGGAAGCGTGCTTCTTTCGTGTACATTTCCATAGCCCTCTGCATAGCAACGATAGCGTCTTCGGAATTTACATTTTTCAAACAACGAGCTGCGTCCGCAAACTTCGATGCTGCCTCGAAGCTTAAGTCCGGAAGCTGGGCATAGTTTTCTGCAGCACGCATGTATGCATCACCTGCTTTCTGCCAAGCTTTGGCTAGTTTAAACGTGTTTCCTGCCTTCACAAATAGTTCAGCTGCTTCTTCCACCTTAGCTGCGTTGCCTCCCAGCCCAAGAATGCTTCGAAACCCGGAAGCTTTGGCACTCTTAGCCTTCTTCTCAGCTTTCGAGAAGAGTTCGTCTCCATCATTTTCATTGACGCTTCTTACGGAAGTGTAAGATCCGCTCATCCCTCTTTCAAGTTTTGACGAATTGATTGAAAGATCGAAAATGTTGACCAACGGGAAGAGAAGAGTATCTTACTATTATGACCGTAAGGAGTTCCTTCCACACTTTTTTGAATTCAAACCTAAAGATGTATAGCGGATGTTGGAAATTACTACTATAGCCAAGGCCATCCTATGAAACCTCATCGAATGAGAATGACGCACGCTTTGATTGCGGCTTATGGCATGTTCAAACATATGGCAGTTCAGGTCAGTTAAGGATGGTGTACGATTTTTCCTATGCTTTACTTTATAATAGAGACCTCCACGAGCATCTGAAAAAGATATTACTCGTTTCCACTCGGACAGTTATATCAATTTTTTGAAAAGTGCCAGTCCTGAAAAGGTTTGGGATATGAACTCAAGCATAAGAAAGTGTAAGTACGGACAAATTAAAAAGCAAGTATTTTGACTTTTGTTTTTGAAAGTCAACGTATGTGAAGATTGTCCCGTTTTTGACGGTTTATGGGAGTTTTGTCAGATTTCTGCAGGCGGGTCCTTAGCTGCCGCTTCGGAGTTGAACTCTGGCCGAGCAGATATAGCAATTAATTGGTCCGGTGGCTTACACCACGCAAAAATGTCGGAAGCATCTGGTTTTTGTTATGTTAACGATTGTGTGCTTGGCATTCTAGAACTTTTGAAATGCCATACAAGAGTTCTTTATGCTGATATCGATATTCACCACGGTGATGGTGTAGAAGAAGCTTTCTATACCACTGATCGCGTTATGACTTGCTCTTTTCATAAATTTGGAGACTACTTTCCAGGAACTGGAGATATTGGTGATATTGGCTATGGTCCAGGGAAATATTATTCCCTTAATATTCCGCTTTATGATGGTATGGATGACGAGTCACATCGAGAAATATTTGATGCAGTTATGACTAAAGTGATGGTATCGGAAATCCTTTAAGTTATAAGCACATTACTTATATGTAACATAGGAATGGTATCAGCCTGGAGCTGTGGTTTTACAGGGTGGCGCAGATTCGCTTTCTGGAGACCGTCTAGGCTGTTTTAATCTAACTATTGCTGGTCATAGCCACTGTATCGATTTTTTTAAAAAATACAATGTTCCTATACTGATGTTAGGTGGAGGTGGCTATACAATTCGCAACGTTGCACGATGCTGGGCATACGAGACTTCCCGAGCGCTCAATCTGGAGATTCAAGAAGATATACCTTACAATGAGTACTTAGAATATTATGGTCCGGAATTCCGTATTCAAATCCATCCAAGTAATATGGAGAATCGCAACACACGTGAATACATTGAAAACATAAAGGCGAGGACATTCGAGGTTAGTAGTTTCTTCAAATCTTAGTTTTGGTCCAATTTGTTGTAGATTCTCAGACATTTAACTCCTGTACCCAGTGTACCTTTTCAAGAGACTCCGAATTCATATAAGGGTTTAGAGAGATTGCACGAAAAAGAATTGGACGAGGAAGAAACCAAGTACGCTGATATCAGAGAAACAGTGAGGCAAAAGGAAAGAAGAACAGAGCATCCTTGTGAGTTTGAAGATTCAGATGAGGAAGATTTAGGTGCTTTGCCGAGTATACGAAAAAATCGCAGACTTGTGGAACGAGAAACACAAGTAATGGAGAAGGATAGAACTGAGAGAGAGATAGAGCAGTCTCACTCGAAGATGGAAGCCAAAAGTTTGGCAGAATGATACTAATACTTTGAAGAGGCTTTGATATTTCAGTGGCAGATTCAAAATGACAGTAAGTTGTTCCATTTTAAGTCCGACAACCTACATGCGAGTAGTCGTATACTTTTGGAAATTTCATCGATTCATAGCTTTAATCGAGGATATGTGAAATTGTCAGTTATTCTTCATTTTTGTGCAAGTTTCGTACATATTCTGTAATCACAAATACAACAGCAATTCTTATAGTAGATAATAGCTCAACAATTGTGACTCAAGTGACAATCAATATCTAGTTTGTATTCACAGTTTCAACGAACTTTTGTTCACAAAGGTTGAAATGGAATATTATGGGGAGTCAGTCTTAGGGATGATGATGACGTGTTTCATCGATTGGCTTCAATTTTTAAATTTTTGCTTTTTGAATGAAGATCATCACGAATAATACTATACCAGAATTCAAAGTAACGGACACAAAGAAACAAGTCTCTAAAGAAGTTTCTGACAACTCGAACAAGTATACTGCCCGATATAGTATATCCACAGTGACAAACGAAACTCAACCAAACTCTGCTATTGTAGGGAAACTTGACTCGTTTCCTTTAAAGAAATATCACCAAAATTTGTTTAAATGTCAAGAGTCATCATCTAGTGAGTTTTCTCAACAGTTACGAAGTAGAAGAAGCAAGAGACTGAGTGAAACAACAACTTCTAAGAATGAGTCCATCTTGCAACTGAATGGTTACCTAAGGAGTGTTTGTGGTAACTTCATGAAGCTATTCAAATCATTTATTAGGCAAGCAGCTGCTGTGTTATACAAATGTTTGGTTTCTTTGTTAAACGGTTTAAGAAAAGCAAAAATACCCTTGAGAAAGGTCTTGGTAGAAATAGTCAAACTGCTCAACAAAATGGCAAAAAGCCGCAGATGGAAGACAGTAATATTGTGCCTTGTAACATTAGCTGCAACTTGCATGAAATTTTCCCTTTTTTTGATGAAGCTGCTGATGCTAACAGAGATACATTTTCTCTCCTTTCTGTCTAGATTTTTATATCTACAACTTCAGAAGCACTATCCGTCTTATGTCGAAAAGATTGAAATGAGTTTCACGGTGATGAAGACATTTCTTAGTGCATATTTCTCTGAAAAACTTTCGAGAATGAACAACTGTGAATGGCAAATTGCAAACAAAATTGTGAAAATAACTGTGTATGAACTCACCAAACAAGAAACAACTTCAAGCTTATCCGTTTCTACAACAATTGCCTCATCTACTTCAGCATTCCTCGAAGACTCGAACATCAATTGTTTGGACCCTGAAAGTTTTCAATTCAGTGAATCTGATGTCGAAGATATAGATTTGGCTGAAATATCTTCATCTTCAAGACTACGAAGCAGTTGCCAAAATTTATCGACAGATAACCATCAAGAAACTCACAGCAAGAGAGACTCTTTGAACTACAATAGTAACTCAGGGCCCACGAACGATACTGTAAATACTACATTGTCCGATAAAGAAAACTCTGGTATGTCTAATTCTTCAAGACAACAGTCTCCGTTGAAGGCCTACAAAGACAGCATGACAATGACACCGTATTCCAGCAAGCAGCGCCAAAACTTCATATCTCTCAACACACAAAGGAAAGGAAAGGGTAGAAACTTGTTAATGGATGAACTGTAAGAAGTTCTTCAATGACGAGCAGAATCGCATCAGCAGCTTCCGACTCGATGCGACAGCAATGGCAATTCCACTGGAAGGAAATCATCAACTTCACATTCGTGGAGAGCATTCTTGAATTTATACCAGATCTTAAAAAAAGAGTTACAAATTCAAACCCGAAATTTCCATTCATATCTTACATGCAACACTTTCTTCTCATCACTATCAATGGTAGGATCCCAAAAGCCCATGAGTCTAGCCTTCGTTGTTGCGTATAGGGTCAAACGGGAGTCTTCCACAAAGTATTGAAGGGCGTCTGATACATCGGCAACTTGCTCTGTATTCTGATTGAAACCTTTTCAATATACAAAAATAGAATTCTCGAGAAAATGCATACCTCTAGCGTGCTATCAATCGACAGAATACTGATTTCCCTGCTTGATCCGTATAAAGCTCTTATAATGATAAGACCACCTCCCGGTACATTCTCTTCTCGGCTGCGACAGCGTTCGACAGCGGGCTTCATTAGTTCTAATGCGGTCAACGCATCGTTTCTCTCCTTCATTCTCTTCTCCAATCTTTCTTCCTTTTCCTTTTGCTTTCGTCTTGCATCCATTTTGTACTGATACGGAGCTATTATTCCTCTTTGAATTAATGTAAACAAGGAAGATGTGACTAAGGATGTTGCTATCGCTAACAATGGAGACGGATGCGCCACAACCAATATTGGCAGCTGAAGTTGATGACCACTTCGCCCCACTTTGCACTTCAAAATAATTCCGTCTAGTCCAACTCTTACACTAACGGACCATGCAGCTTCATAGGAAAACAAGTCCCGGCCGATTCCAACTTCCAACTCCCAACCACGAATGCTCCAGCGACCCCGAGCCTTCCAGTGACCATTCTGGCCCACTAGTTTCCTATATCCAAAAGATACTGAAGTGTCCAACATACCAAGTTTCATTGAGCCTGTTGCAGTTCCACTGTCTTGTGAATTTTGAAATGCAAATAGTACACCGGGAGCCAAACCTGCAGTCCAAGTCAACTGTGCGCTAGTATTTGGACTTAGCTGGCGAGTATTTGTGACTGCAAGCAAAGGTTGAGCTTGAACGGATGAGTAACTGCCCTCGATCATACCCGTACTAAAATATATTTTACGTTGATGAATGATGAATAAGAAATAATGAAATACCTTCGTTCAGAAAGTCTCCTCCAAAGTTTCCATGAAAAAACACCTTCAAGCAAAGAACGCTGACTAGAAATGATATAAGATATCTCTCCGTAGGAATTAGAAGAAAATTGTCTGCGTGTGGTTATGGTTAAACCATGAGTTGACATTTTTCTTCTACTTTGGATATGATATTGGAAAGTCAAGAAATCCTATTTGAAGACAGTCTTAGCGACACAGCAGTCCAAAAGAATTTCATACCTTCCTACTCAAAACAACAGTAGCACGAGTTGCAAGTGACAGCTGTGAAACTGCAAAAGGTGCAACAAAGTAATCTTCTTCCTCAGAAAGATCCTCGAGAATCACAGCAATACCTGTTGCGTCAATAAGAACCTCAGCTCTAACTTGGTGTTTAAGACACGCTTCAACAAAGAAAACTTTCACCGCACTCACGTATTTTGGACAATAAAAGAATTGTCCTTCTGATAAGAGCCTCCTGTTACACGACCGCTTTGCTGAAAACGAGCCTTAATGTCTTCATATTTCACCAAAGAGTTCGAAACCGCTCGGATTCCTTCCATTCCAAACTCGTCGTAGATCCGTCGCTTCTCAGGATCCGAAAGAATTTCAAACGCCTCGTTTAAAACAGTAAATCGTTCAGTGGCCTAGTTGTATGGTAAGTAAGAACTCTGTAAAGAGTTTCAAAGGCAACCTTTTTTTTCAAGTCTGGCGACAAGTGTTTATCAGGGTGATATGTCTGGCAAAGTCTTCGATAAGCATTCTTAATTTCTTCCGGTCCACAGTTCCGCGCAACGTTTAGAATAAGGTATGGATCAAAGTCATAGTCTTCCGAGGACTCACTTGGCTTCGTCATGAAAAGGAGCAAAGACACCTGACAACTTAATTACGAGGCTTTGAAAGCAATTTGCGTCAATTCGTAGAACTGGTTGATTTGGAACTGTTTCAAAGGAACTTTGAGACTCTTTTTCTTTATAACATAACGTTGGGCTTATTGAATTTGTATTTTTCTACTCGGTTTTTTTTGATTATTGGCTGAGCTCGTTTTTGGTCTGCCATATTTTCTTTTGTTCAAATTCTAAAAAGCAAAGGAGTCCTGTTTCACTACTTTGTCCACTTTGATGTCTTTCTTACCTTACCAGTGGTTACTCAAGTTTTGCAGCAAAGATTATCTGAATTTTTGAGGAGCAAGATTCTAATGCGTGGTTCTTTCATAACTTTGAAAGAGTCTTCTTTGAGGATATCTATAGGCTTTGAAGGAACTTGAAGTGTCGGTTTTCAATTCTGACAAAAGCAAGGCTAAAAAATTTAGCCAACCGTTGGAACCGAACTTGGGAAACCCTTTAGAATCATATACGTTGATAGTTGTAATGTGGAACATTCATAAGCAATTTTTTCTCGAATAGAGATAGTTTGAATATGTCTCGTGAATTTTCTGAGTACAGCCTCAAGAAGTCGAAATTTATTTCATGTTGAAGAATTTTTTTGGGATAGTCGATTTTTTAGACATCTGTCATGGCCTCACAGTTTGGAAGTTCAGTCAATAGAATGCCACAAGACAACATTGTTTCGTTGCGTAATATACGGAACCAATATTGTTCCTGCTGTGTCTATAATAGCCCTTTTACATCTTAAGCGGCCAATTATTGGCTACTTTTATTTGACTCGGGAGACCTTTCTTGTGTTTCATTAGTATTTTAAAGATATCATTCGATCTTCGAACGTATGGAATGCAAGCTCCAAAGCAGCAATCTTTGGAGAGGAAAAATTGCAAAACTCAAAAAGCCAGAAAGGTTCATAACAAAGAAAGATTTGAAGGGGCACTCTAGTTCCAAATGAAGATTGTTATAAAAAGCAATTGTAGTTGATTTTTTTCAAAACATTCAGCCTCAAAAGAAATTCAGATAAGGTATGCTTCTGAGAATACTTTCTTGTACTAAACCCACGGCCAAATTCCTCCAAAGCTATTTTAAAGGAATGTAGAATGTGCCGTAACTTGTTCCAGGGGTTCAGCAAAGATTGCTATTTTCAACAACAGATACGGCGTAGAGTTGAACAGAATCTGTTTTCCTTTCATGATATCGCACAACTATTGGAAAGGATACTTGTTTCAGCACTTATAGAAAAGTCTCGTAGATTGAAAAGTCATGTGTTACAACCGCCAGTAAAAGAAGAGAGCAAAACTTCTTTATTTGATATGCGAACTAATGTCTTTGCTTTTTAAAATCCTAAGAAACTAGAAATCAACGTCCTCTGTTCTGTTCTATCTAATCAAAACATCCAAGTATGCTATTGCTGCTTTTCCACAGCAGTTGTTTGAAAAGACAAAGAGTCATAAGATTACGGAAATGAACGGTCTGTTTTGAAGCATTAAAAGCGTTGTTCTTTCATATAGGATTTCATTTCAGAGAATGAATTGCAATAGGAGTCTTTCTAGTGGCTGTTTGAAATATTAGAATAGTTTCGATGACAAAGAGTTCAGATTCTTCAATGAATACAGCATCAGGAATATAACGCCTCTATCCAACTTCAAAAGAAGGGAAACTTTTCAGGACCATGACCGTTTAAGGTTAGTATATAGTGCAGCTTTTCTGCAGACTAGTATTTCTGTTTGGTATTTTAAGTGAACGGGCAGAACAATCTCCGTGGACGAGATTGATGAGAAAGACTTAAGAGCGCGGCAAATTTTTTAAACTTCTAGCGCGCTCTAATTTAATTGCTCCTGGTTTGGGATGGTTGTGCTTCGAGGGAGGAACGTTGAAACTCCACTAGACCAAAAAAGAAGTGAGAATGCATCATATCTTGTAAAAGAAACTATAGAGGAAGATTTTGAAGAAGCTTCGAGTCAAGGTGATAGTAGCAGTAGCGTTCATGAGAGTCAATCTGAGGATTCGGAGAACAACGAAGCTCAGGAAAACGAGACTTCAGATGTCAACGGTTATTCCCCTCCGTCTTCGAAGAAAAGAAAAATAGGAAATATTTCCGAAAGTAATAGCTCGAATGATATTGTTACACTCGAGAATTTCGAGAACAGATCTTCAAATTTGTTTGTAAAACTTCAACGCGGAATAGATGGCGTGAATGCTTTGTTAAGAACTCTCTTCGAGGAGATATCTCTCGGGAAAGAAACTGATATCCTGAAAGACCTTTATTCTTTGATTTATAGAACTGCATTCTTTCCAAACGCATCGAATTGGCCAGAAGCTCTGCAAAAGAAACTAAGTGAGTTCCTAGCTAACTGGGACATGAGCGATGCTTCTCTTGAAAAGATGTTGATGACATTTGATGAAAACATACTTTCAGCTCGACTTTGTTTGACTTTAAAGGATAAGGCGTCCAAAAGATTCAGGTCACGTTATGAGGCCTTTTGGAAGAATCTTGCAAAAATAGCACCGCGAAGTTTAATCCATAATCAAAGTAAGATTTTTCTTTTTAGTTCCATGTCTTAATGATTTTAGGTTTCTTTAACTGTCTTGTCGATCAATTGTCTTTGTTCACATCGTCGAACTTCAGAAATCTCCGATTCGTCGCAGCTCTGTCTTGCTTTTCTTTGAGTAATGGCTTTATTAGCTCCGAGGAGTCAGCTAAGAGTGAACATTCTCTTTTTAAGACTCATGAAGCCAAATCCAGTTCTAAACAACGCACGAGTGTCTCCTCTTCAGAAAAGGCAACTAATTTAACTAGTATTGCAGAATATTTGGATAAAATATTCAACAAAGTCTTTGTCTTACGCTATCGTGACGTTGCACCTGAAATAAGAGCTCTTTCTATTAGTTACCTGGGTGAATGGATATTGAACCTTCCAAGAAGCTTCCTTGATGATCGTTTTCTTAAATATGTCGGATGGATGCTAAATGACAAAGCAAGTGAAGTTCGAATGAGTTCTGTTCATGTTGTTGCGAACTTGCTGAGAATACAGGAAAATTGGCCCAGGATGCAGTTGTTTTTACGTCGATTTAGGTCTCGAATCTGTGAAATGACTCAAGATAAAGACATCCAAGTTGCTCAACATGCTGTTCAAGTCATGGAACTTATGATGCAAGTTGGAAGCCTAACTGATGAGGAAAAGAACATATTGTTTAAAATTGTCGCAACTGAGACTCGAAAGCCAGTACAAGAAGCTGCGCAGAGCATTACCAATCAAATCGTGAAAGATTTGACGAGTCATGATGTTAGTAATATCGATTCTGCTACTCGTAATGAGTCTTCTGAAACACTCATTCGATTGGCTCGATTATTTTCCGACGAGAAATTACGGAATACGTTCCTATCTAATTGTATTGAGAGCCTGTGTAAGGAAATTTCGGTTTTACAAGATTGGGAAGCGTATTTCACCATCTTGCGGTCAGAACAAAATGATTTTTATTCTTACGAAGAAAAATCAATTGTTACGAAGATTCTTCTTGAACTCGCTCAAAATTTGTCTTCTAAGATGGCCTCTGTTTCGTCTTCTTTCCATAACAAATCCAAACGCATAAGGCGTCAACAAACTAATGAAACCTCGAAATTCCAGCAACTTTGTCGCAGTATTCTGAACAATATCATTTCATGTTTAACTTATAACCAAGCGGACCCTGTGTTATTGACTTTCGTGGTTCCACTTATTCGACAAGTTGATGAGGATACGTATCGTCTGTATTGTATACCAGAGTCCATCCGTGACATTGCAACTAAACTCAAAGAGCTAATTGAGCGACATTCATCATCCTTTCTGCTACTATCGGAATGTCTGCTTTCACTAAGACATTTGACCCAATTTTCGGATTACTCGTTTAAGAAAGAGGCCGAAGAAGTTTTTAGCCAACTGAGTAATGAAATAGTTTCATCCCTTCGTGACCTTGCCTCAGCTTTTGATACATACAGTCATCAACGTCACGAATCAACTCGAAAAATTTCGACGATAGCAATTTCTTCAACATTGCTGAAAGCTCTTGCTTTTATAACATATGGCTCCGAAATTCAAGAAGGTGGTTTGGAAATTGTTTTAGAAATGTGTCAAAATGCAGAAACTCTGATCTCTTTCTTAGAATCAGAAAGCTGCGTTTTGTCCTTCTTGAGACTTGCACATTTTTGTAGTATCCAGAGTTGGCATCGGTCTGGAAAAGAAAGTTGCTCGATAAATGAAAGCGACTGTTACCATTTTGAGAAAAACATGGCTCAGTTGTTTAAACTTCAAGATTGTGTATGTCAGGACATGTTGTTCATAGATCAATCTTGCAACAAGCTTCTGTTATATATCAACGTGATCAGTTGTTTGCAACTATTTTTCTTCGTGAAGAGTCGTACATCTAAGGATAATTCTTCAAACGATAGGCTTTGGGGGTCTGTTTTAACGAGTTTATCAGAGAAATGTTCCATCTTTTTTATCGAAAATGTGAGAGACTTCACTGGAAGCAATGCTTCGAAGCCATTGGTTCAGAAGACAATTTTTGAAGGAAGTGAGGATATTGGAATGTTTCATTTTTTTCGTTGCTATGCACAGGTTAGCGAATTTGAAGACTTTCCTTCGCCCTTTCGATGCCTATCCTTTTCTCTTTTAGCCATCACAGATCCAAATATTCAGAGTATTGGGAAGCGCTGGTTAAAGCGAGCCAACCATGAAGATATTGCTAGAGGACTACTTGAATATCTTAGACACTTTCCTTCTGAAGTGAAGCAGCTAAAGACTATTTCTAGTGAGCTCAGCCATAGATTTATTCGTATTGATCAACTCCAAGAGTTGGCATCATTTATTTCTTTCTTCCTCAGTTTGTCATTGAACATCGATGAGAATTATAAAGTTGCTGTGGATTCTGTGAAAAATGCTACTGACCATATCCTGATTCCTCTTGCTCGTAAGTTGTCTGTGAAATATGCGGAGCGATGCTATGAAGAAATTTTAACTAAATTTCCACAGCTGCAGACAGCACAAGAAGACAGATATTCGTTTGTTCTTCTTTTAGATACTATTCGTGAAATTTCCACTCGACGAAATGATGAACGAAGAACATCGGTACAAAGAAGTGACATTCATTCTATGGGAGATGAAAAAAACTTGTCAATGGAAAAAAGAGAGTCTATTTGAATCATTTTATTTCATGAGTAACATAAAAGACGGAAAGCGTAAAGTCTAAATGTTTGTTTGCATGACAGGCAAAATTTTACGAATAAAAATTGTTGACATAGAGAATCATATTCTTTAAGTACAGCAAGTTCGCTTGTCAAATCAATTTTTGGAATGTTCCTTAAAGTATTCGAAAAATGACGGAGAATATATCATAGTTCATCATGTTTATGAGCCATATTTGACTTCTGACCTTTAGTTAAGTTGAGATTGGACAAGATTATGTTTGCTTCATCTCGTAGTTTCTTCATTTCATGAACGGAGCAGACCGCACAAGTTGTCATCCAAAAGTGGTATTGGCACTTGGAAGGTTCAGAAACTTTGAGAATAGTTTCATTTACGCCACATAACAAATTCACTACTGTGGAGCGGGCTGGTCCATTCCAACAAGGAGTTCCGTCCGAAAAGATCATCTTCGTGTAATTAGAATCCCACTGGCTAAATTTTCCTAAGTTGATGCTATCCTGAGTGACATGTGAAAGCAGACAAAGCTTGTAATGATAGCCTTGGCTATCGACCTCTAAACAAATATCCCTCAATGCCAAAAACACATTTTCTGGACCATAGTCAGAACTAAAATACTGTTGAACGCGTTCCAGTTCTGTTCGATTCTTCTCCAATTCTGAACGAAGGGTTTCCAAGTGCTCTTTTAAGTTGCTTATGCATAGTTTTAAAACTTCCGTATCTATCTTTCTTTGACTTCCTTTAAAGAAGTTCGATAAAACTGGAAATTTGCTCAAAAAATCGAAGAAGAGCTTTTGTAAACGTAGTAGCATATGCGAAGAGGTGTAGACTTTGGATATGTTCTGACAAGTTTCCAAAACAAAGTCTGACCGCATCGTACTCTTATATACCTCGTCGGAAGTCTTCTCAGAATTAACATTCAGTTCATCATCTTCATTCTGCAAACTATGCGTTCTCCCCAAGTCATTGCTTGATTCCTCGTTAGTTGTAACAACGTCTCCACTACTATGTGAGCTTAAGTTTCCTACTGACGCATTAGCTACAATATCTCGTGCCTCTATAACTCTGAGTACGTGTTCGAGCCAATGAAGCTCCTTTTTAGCTTTCCTTTCTAACACTTCCGCTTCGTGTATGGAAACCTGTAGGAGTTTCGTTTTGTTTACAAGTTCAGAGAATCTTAAAGAAGAAAGACTTTTCAACTCTTCCCGTTTCTTCAAGCCTTGTTTAATAATTTTTACTTCAGCCAACATTTGCTCTATTCTTTCTTTGCCGTTTTGTACACAGCGATTGGGACAATCAACATAACCAAGCCACTCGTCCGAACCATCACAACAATCACATATACCGTCGTTCACCTGAGAAGAAAGTATATTCACAGGCACATACCCAATATTCTCACAATAGAAAGTGGATCCGTCACAAGCAGCAGTACCAGGTTCATCAGTTCCATCGTCGCAGTCACAAAAATCGTCGTTCAAACTACTATAAGGAACCTTCTGAGAGCTATTCAAGCAATGAAAGAATCCTTCCTTATTTTCATAGAGGTGCAATTTTTGGGGATCAGCTCCTCTAACTTTGCTTATTCCGCAAGTTTCCTGCGTAACAAGCAATAATATCCATATCAGAAAAACAGGCACTGGGCGCATCTTGATCAAACCCATCAACCCACGTTCTTTTCATAGTTAAGGATTTTCATCGAGTTTGGAAGTCTACAATAAAAATATACTTTTATTTACGATTACACAAAACACAGAGTTTGCCATACAATGCGTTTTGGAAAAGTCTAGTAGCATCTGTCACACATTTCACTCAGCAGTTATACGCTATCTCTCTTTTTCTGTAACACAAAATCCTTTCAAGACCACATTACTCCGTATTTAAGGTTTCCTTGGACATAGTTTCCTTCAAATACTGTGCCAATGCTGTTTTCTTTCTCTTTGTGCGATTCTTTCTATAGTTTTCAATCAACTTGGGCATCTGTTTCAAGTTTTCTTCGATTTCGGCCTTCCTTTCCGGAGCCTTACGTTCACGAAGACGCCCTTTAAAGGGAACATTAACTACAATCTTTTTTTCTGGTATTTCAAAAGGCCACTGTAAACCTGCTTGTATTGTTTGTTCCCTCAACTCTCGAATCTTTCTCTCTGGAACAGGGGGATCCACGAGCTTTCCATCTACTTCACGACGACGAAACTCCCAAGGAAGCCTCTCTTGTGCAGCTTTAATTTCATCCAAATTCAATATAGAAATTCTTGGTACTTTCATAGCTTTAAGACTTGAAAGTAGTCACCAACAGGACAGAAAAGACGCTCTTGCAACTCTACACACTCGTGCTGAAATAATGCTCCAATTGGTTGTCCTTTCGAATGTCGCTTAATGCGGTAAATGGACAATGGATAATGCTTAAGATGTTCCTATTACATATGTCAAGAATGTAGAGTATTTCTTTCAAGTCAGGGATTGACCACTGAATCTTTGAAAGTTGTTCAGAAACTGAATATATATAGACAATGATGAAATATTCTACAAAAGAAAGAGATTCTTAACTAACAATTGCAGAGATTGGACTGAAAATGTCACCCATGACCCATGAGCTTTTATAGCTTATCTTTTTTTTGCAATGGATCTTCGAAAGGTTTGATGGAGAATGTTCATAGTGGTTTGTTTTCGGCGCTATAAAGAGAAATTTATTTGCCTCCCACAATAAAAAACCTAGATAGTTTTCATTGCAAGTTGTTTGAATATGAAGAACGTTAAGGTAGACATGTAGTCAACAACAAAATGCAAAACTATTGAAAATTGTTTCCAGCCCGCAAAATGTTGACGACTAATGCTTCATCTAAGATTTTTAGCAAGGCAAGCACTGCAGAACTAGTTGGTCATACTAGAAAGGTACTTTGAAGTCTTAGCTTTTCATTATGTGTTCTCACCATTGTAAAGGTCCACTGTCTTTCTTGGAATCCTAAGGGAGGCCTACTGGGCTCTGGTGGAGTTGATTGTGTTGCTAGAATTTGGGACGTCGAAAAGCTGCAGCAAAAAGCAGAGCTTGAAGGGCATACAAGCTCGATTGAACAACTCAAGTGGGATCCTACCGCAAATGTCTTTTTTGTGTCAGCATCCTTGGATCATAAAGTACTTTTCTGGGATTTGAGAGCGAGGAACAGTGAGCCGGTAGCTTCTGTGGAAACGCAAGGAGAAAATATCAATTTGGCGTGGTCCCAGGACGGAGTGTATTGTGCTGTTGGTGACAAGGACGACAATTTGAGTTTCATAGATGTTCGCAAATTTGATTTTTTTGAGCGTTTTCAGTTCGCTGAAGAAGTGAACGAGTTCAAGTGGAGTCCTTCAGGTCCTTTCTTTTTCATGACTCTGGGTAAAGAAGTTTTGGTTTTTCGTTGGCCGACAATGGAGCAACAACTGCGATTGCAAGTTCATGCGGACCGTTGTTATTGTCTTGAGTTTGATCGCAGTGGACGTTATTTCGCTTTGGGAGGGGCAGATTCCATTATTAGTTTATGGGAAACAGAATATATGCTTTGTACTTGGACGGTCGATCGTCTTGAATATCCAATTAGAACAATAAGCTTCTCTCATGATGGTCAGTTTATTGCCGCAGGTTCGGAAGATAGTGTAATTGATATTTCAGATATTCTGAATGGTCGACAAACATATGCACTTGGAGTCAAAGGAGCAACGAATGTGGTTGCGTGGCACCCTTCAAGACATCTCTTAGCATATGCTACTGAGGAAGAATATTCACGCGATGGCGTCGCTATACACCTTTACGGCACAATTTCCAAAGACAATATTTGACAAGTCATTTTAAGTAACCGGTTACTTATTCATGTTGGCAGGTTGGTTGCTAGCAAGCACACCACTGTTTCATTGCATTATAAGGCTAAGTGCTATTGTCTGAAGTTTGCCAAGAGTATGACTTGTGCTTGGGTACGAAAGTAAAACCTTGAGGAACAGTACCCAGAAGCATCTCACTCAGCTTAATCCAGTCTTTTGAGTAAGGTGATCCTAGAAGAGTTTCAAGGTCGCTTCTTCCAACAAACGCAGGATTACGCCAGGTCAATTTGGGAGGTAATCTTTCCAAAAGTCCAACAGGAATGTATCTTAAAGGGAAAGTCAGAAATTATGTTCAACTAGAAAAGCAGCGTACCGGTGAAGGAACGAGAGCCATTCCAGTAGAAACTTTCGAGTTCTTTCTACACCTTTCTTGTCAGCGCCCCAGTGATCAAGGCCATATTTGGCAAAAGTCTGTATAATTTCTAATCTTTCGCTTGCACTTATGTCCCAATGACGTTGTTCCTTCAATTCTGTGAATATCCAAGGCTTTATTAGTGCTCCTCTTCCTATCATTACTGCAGAAAATGGTGCGAAAGGACTACTATTTTCGGCTCTTGTTGAGTAAGGATTCAAATGCACAATATCTTCATATGTGTATATATCACCATTTCCAATAATTGGTAGAGACATTTCTTTACCCAGTTGAGCACATTCGTAAAGATACTCCCAGTCGGCCTTCTTGGAGTATCGTTGCAGTTTTGTTCTGCCATGGATTGTGACGGCTGAAGCACCAGCATCATTTAATATTTGAATGGTCTTCAAAGCATTCAGATGATCTTGTGAAATACCTAGTCGAATCTAAAGCTAGTGAAATAGATTGAATAAAAGTCTCTTAGAATGAAGTACCTTTGCAAAAACTGGTTTGTCTACAACTTGAACCATGGATGACATAATTCGACCAAGTTTCTCTGGTTGCCTTAAAAGTTCACATCCACCACCCTAACCATGTAAGTACAATCTACTCGACAAGCAATTCGTTCAAAATTTACCTCACCTTTTTGCATAGGAGTTCAATAGGACAACCGGCATTAATATCAATAAAATCTATGTCACACTCTTTACTAGTAAGTTGTGCAGCACGAGCCATTATTTCTGGCTTCGAACCCGCTATCTGTATACCAAACAAGTCTTCTTCTCTATGACGACGCAATAAAGCCCACTCTGACTGTTGGCCCTGTAAGAGGTTAGCAGATAAAGCCATTTCTCCACAAGTAATATCAGCTCCATAATGTTTGCAGATTCTACGAAAGGGTAGATTCCCCAAAGTGGTAAGTGGCGCCAAATAAAGCTTCCCTTCCAAGTCTATGTTTCTCGAGTCCCGAAAACTGCAGCCTTCGCGTAAGAGACTTTGTCGGTCTCTCTCTGCAAAATCGAAATAGTACTGCCTTTTACGAAGGCATCTCTGCAACTCCTTCGAGAGATAATTCCGTTCCTCATTAATATCAAAGTGAAAAGACCTTGGCTTCAAGCTCGCGCCATCTAAAATTGCTTTGTCTGGATAAGGAAAAGATCCCGATAAACATCGGTCGTAGAAAACAAGCCTTCGTTCTCTGTTGATAACCAGTGTAGAACCTTCTTCTGTCTTCAAAGTATAACATAAATGGTCAGGAAACACAGGAGCGTCACCTGATTCAAGTCGCTCTTCGGCACTCTTTGACCATATATCTGATACCTCATAGTGGCTTAAATCAGCTTCGAAATCAACTTGTGTAGTAACAACTTGCTCGTTGGAATCAAGGCGTCTCACCTTTCTTTCTCTTTGATCCTCGTAATCCTCTTCAGCTAAAAGTCTCTTGTCTTCACAGTGATTCGTTTCCTGTTGCGTTTCATTTGCTTCAGACAATCCTTCTGTACTACTGACTATATTTTCACATTGCTGAACAAGATCCAAAGCTAACGTGTTTCCCATTCTTCGACAGGGACAGATAATTATAGGAATTCTTCCTTTAGTGGGGACGATAACTCGCTGTGTCTGCAACAGACTGTTGCTTTCAGTCGATGTCGGAAGAAACAGAGTCAACTCCTGCTAATCAAGCCGAAGCTATAGTAATTGACAATTTTGAAGATGCCAAGTCGTTAAGCAGCAGTTCGGACTCTTCCCTTAGCGAACTCGAAAACATATTACAGGGAACTAAAGTGTTCTCGCATTTCAGTCTTTTGGAGGATAACGAGGAATTGAACGAGGCTCTACCCAAAACAAAAAACGAGTTGCTTCCCGAAGAACTTCCTTTTGTAGAAGAAACTTTTCCTCTTATAACTCCTGACTTTGAGATACGACGTGTCGGTAGGTCTTCAGGTTTACGATTAATTAGTCCTCACTTACGAGTGGTGTCAAGGTCGTCTTAGTACGTTTGTGGAGTCTTTTTTAGTAATTGAGTCTTTTGAAGCAGAACCTGTACTCGACATTGGATCCTTAATTGTGTTTGAGGATAGAAATCCAGTGGGACGAGTTTTTGATGTATTTGGACCGGTTAAGCAACCTTGTTACAGCATTCTTGTGCGAACAGACAGTGAGAAGTTAAAAGAATGGTATGCATGGCTGGTTTTATGTGGGAACTTTTGAAAACTCCTCTACACAGCGTAGGGAAGTCTGTATTTTTCGTTGTAGAATATTCACGTTTTGTGGATACAAATAGTGCGTATATGAAAGGCTCAGATGCTTCCTGGTACAATGACGAAGAAATTCCCATCGAGCTTCAAGATTTTTCTGACGACGAAAGCGAGAGAAAGTCTTCGAAAGCTAGAAAAGGCCGAGTGGGTGATAAGGATGCTTCTAAGAGGCATACAAAGACGTCTAGAAACTTGGAGACGAACAGTGAAACAAGTCAAGGTTCAACGGAAGAACAATATGACTGGAGTTTAGCAACGAAACCAGAAAACGCGAAAGGAACCGAAACTCTTCAGAAAAATTCACATTTTCCAACCAGAACGTTACCTTCTCTAGTATCTTTACAAATCTCGAAAAGTCCTTCGAGTATTCCAGGTTTAACCAGAAAGTCGAGTTGAGAAATGGTCTCTTCTCTACTTCACGTTTACAAGTTTAGAGGAGAAACTAGCATACAACAAGGTTTACGTTATGCCAGTATAACTTTTTTATAGTTTGGAATCTCATCTGGTTACTCTATACCGAAGAGGCCTTTGCCGGAACCCAATTTTTTATCGCGTCGAAGCAAACCCTTGACTTCGCCTAACCCTGTTCCAAGGCAAACTGGACAGGTCAAATAACCGCTACCAGAACACTGTGGACAACTGACTCCTTTGTAGTACTGATTGCGAGTGGGAGTTATTGCTTTCCAAAATCCAGTTCCTTCACACATGTCACACACCACTTGGCCCTATGACGTATGTGAAAAAGGACTCACTGGAAAGATATTTGATTACCTTTCCGTTACAGAAACTACATACAGCGTCTGAAACCAAAGGTTCAGCAGACACAGGTTTTCTAACAAACCACCAAATCAAAAACAGAGACGGTCGGAGTAAAGCCAAGAATCCACGTCTTGAGATAGATGCGCTCTTGTTCTTGCTAATTTGACAGTTTCTTAAGTTTATTCGGACAACTTTGCAACATGTGCCTCTTTGATGACACACGAATCCTATCATCATCTTCATCCACCAAATGAGAAACTACCAATTGGCATCGTACGGTGTACGTTTGTTGGAAAGTGTCGGTACGCGTTGTTTGAGAACATGGAAGTGAAGTTGTACAGTATTTTGAATATAGCTAGAGGGGTTTTTAAAGTAGTGCAAGAAATGCAAGGTTTATCGTGGCAAAACAAGTTTCCACTTCCCAGTGTAACTGTATGTGAACAAGACGTGCTTCAGGTGGTGGAAGTAGAGCAGGAAGTGGCTTTAACGAACAAGGGAGAAAGTGACCAGAGTTCTGGAAACAAGGTAAACGGAGTTTTGACAGACCCAAGTAGAAACGATTTTGATAGATTGGATGAATGGAACACTGGAGATTTGTCCAACAATTCAAAGCCCATTATTGGTGAGGTTGATTCACACCAACAGAGTAAGCCACTTGTAAAATCATTTGGAGAAGCAGAATTTCCAGAGCAACGGAAGGATTTTGATGACCTGGGTTGGAAAGAAAGTGAAAAATGGGTGACTAAAGATTCCTTCTCCGTTCCAAAAGAAAACTTACAACCCGAAGTGAATTTAGCCTCGTCAGTTGAAAGCACGGACACAGAATCTTCTTCGCAGTTGAAATTTTGGAAAAGTCCTCCTAGAGAAAGAGCAGTTCCGGCTTCTCCAATTTCGAGGTTTCTTGGTTTTGGAACTCTTGGCATGGGATTAGTTTGGGGTGCGGCTTCCGAAGCAACGAAGAGATTTTTTATAAAAACGAATGGAAGCTCTGAAGAGAACTCTGCCAACAATTCGAAGCCGTCATCCTATAGTCTCCTTCTCTCTGAAGCAAATACCAGTCGTCTTGCAGCAACCTTATGCCGAATGAGAGGAGCTGCGTTAAAGCTCGGACAAATGTTAAGTATTCAAGATGACAAACTATTACCTCCGCAGTTATTGCATGCACTGGAGAGAGCCAGGCATAATGCGGATATAATGCCACGAAATCAGCTTCTAGGAGTTTTAGAGACCGAACTTGGAACACATTGGTCTCAGCGTGTCACGCAGTTCGTTTGGGTTCCGATAGCCGCCGCAAGTATTGGCCAAGTTCATCGAGCCATGACGATGGATGGTGTCTCTATTGCTATGAAAATTCAGTATCCAGGAGTCGCTAAAAGCATTGACTCTGATTTAGAAAATTTAAAACGACTGTTGAAATATCTTAATATGTTACCCCGTGGAATGTATATAGATGAAGCATTGCAAGTTGCAAAAGAGGAGTTGAAAAAAGAGTGTGACTATCGTTTGGAAGCAATTCATCAACAACGAATGGGTCAACTCCTGTCTGGGCATCCATCAATCGTTGTTCCTTTTGTTGTCCCTGAACTTTCTACCAAAGCGGTGTTGACCACACAACTGGTGAAGGATGCCATACCCGTTGACATGGTTGCTGCGGAAGATCAATCTGTTAGAAATCGCGTAGCCAGTCTTATTTTAGAGTTGACTTTGAAGGAGCTTTTTGTTTTCCGTTTCATGCAAACCGACCCTAACTTTAGTAATTTTTTGTATCATCCAAAAGAACAAAAACTTTACTTGTTAGATTTTGGCGCGAGTAGAGAATATCCGAAAGAATTTGTGGATCTTTATCTGAAAATGGTGTGGGCGTGTTCCGAGAAAGATAAGGAGGGTGTTATTGAGTAAGTTAAGTATCCAAACATTGTAATAATATATTGAACGAAGTAACTTTAGATACTCGAAGAGACTTGGTTTTCTAACGGGGGATGAAAGCAAAAGTATGCTTGATGCACACTGTTCTGCCGCTTTTGTCGTGGGCGAACCTTTTTCTGCCGGATCTCTTTATGACTTTAAAAACTCTGACATTGCGAGAAGAGTGGCCGAGTTTGGGCGAACTATGCTTCAGGAAC